CCATTTACCACACCAAACGGTCAAAAAAGTTATTGATTACTATGGACACATTTTATTCAGGGATATTGCACTCAATAATCATATTGAGTTCCATAATTAAGTTAATAGCCATATGATTAGGATACAATCAATATTTTCTATAATATTACCCAAATTAGCCTTTAGTTAAATCAAAGAAAATATATATATTGTCTAAACTATTTTCTCCTTTTTATTTTGGGTTTAGGATTTAGGGTATACATTTTAGAATTATGATTCATTTTTCTGAATCAGGGTTTTTTTCCATTTAGAGTTTAAATTTTGAGATTAGGGTTATATATTTGGGTTTAGGGTTTACTTATTTGTGTGTTTTCTCTTATATATTTAGGTTTTGAGTTTACTTCTTTAGATCTAGGGTTAGATTTTTGGTTTCACGTGTTTTTTCTCCCTTTTCCTATTCTTTTTGTTTTTTGTTTAGTAAATAGTATACTATACTATTGAAAATATCTCTCAATTGTTCATTAGCATTAACTAAACATGAAGTTACAAAATTTTAATTTGATTAAGAAAAACAAAACATGTTACATGCGGAAAAAAAATCTGATTTTGTTGTATAAGACCATGATTTTTTTTTATTAAATGATTATGAATTTTAATTAAAAACTAATATGAAAATATTGCAATACAAAAGATAATATAGAGTATGATTAATAAGAGAATTATATTGCATGGCATTATAGTTATTTAGCATTAAACTCAAGGGGTAAAACGTCAAATGGAGGTGGACCATGGTCATTCTCTTAATTATGAATATATTAGAGCAAAGGCATTGCACAGCTCAAAGGAGGCTCTACAATTTAAAAATAAAGAAAAAATGTAAATAAAAATGACATGTCAAGTCTTATTCTTCAGAACCTTTTCTATGGGAGGCGACGATAGAATCGTCTCTTTAACACTATTCACGACACGTGTCATCATATTATTGGTTTTGTTTTTTCTGAGAATTGTTTTGTTTCTCTCTTCGTCTTCTTCTTCTCGTCTCCTCTCTTCGATCAATCCCGTTTTCTTCTACTCTTCAATCACTCCATTAATCTACCAGAGATTGGATTTGTCTAAAGATTATTTTTTATATTGATTGGTTTTCGAGATCAAGGGACTGGGTTTTTGGTACTCATGGGTTCACATGTAGCTATGGGGATTTATGGGACTCTGTCTGGTTTAGTTTGATAGATCTGAAATTGAGAAGCTTGGTTGAAATTTGCTGGTTTAGGTTTGATAATGATGGATTTAGGGCTGCAAAAGTCTGTGTTTTACTAAGTGCATACAACATGTTCGATGAAATGCTTAAAAGAGAAGCAGATTGTAAAGACAGATTTTTAAAGAATCTCAAACCAAGCTGTGCAATGTGGAAGCTAAACTCTAAACTAAAATTATTAATATTTTTATTGTAAAAAATGTTTAAAGAGCTTCATATGAAGCTGTGTGATGCCTTTGCTCTTATGGTTATATTCTTTAATTTGGTACTCAATATGATTATTGAGCAAATTAACCCTTTTATTCATTATCTTGGAAAAATATTTGAAATGTACTTATATTTTGAGAATCTATGGGTTAATCCCTAAAACAATATAGACATAATAACATAAGTACAAAAATCTACATTTTTTAATTAATTTAAAAGGTTTTTAAATTAATGTTACTATGGAAAATGGATGAAAAGATTAGTTTTTACACTAGACATATTTTATTCATAATTTTGATAAACAAATATACTAGATTTTTAGAATCAGAGGGTTAATGCTCGGATCAATTTTCATTCACTAATTTAGAAAAATCTCAAAGTTCATTTATTCCTTATGAGTTTTTTTTTCTTTCATATTTTGAAGAAAAAAAATATTTATAAATACCTCAAAATTTATCAAATATTTCAGAATCCGTGAGCTAACCCCTACAAGTTTATGCATATTTTGATAAAATAGAAATACTTTTTTTCAGGCTTTCTTAGATACACTTTTACAATGAAAAATGTTCTCATCAATTTATTTTTGTTTTAGTTATATTCTATTCATCAATTTAAAAAACCTCAGATTTTATTAGTTTTATCTTCAGAATCCATTGACATATTTAGAAATTGAAATAATATGTTGTTAGGCTTTGTTAGATACATTTTTCCTATTTAGTAAGACTTTGGGTGAAAAAATGGAAAACAATTCTCGTATTTTTCCATATTTTCCCGAAATCTTTTCAATTTTTCCGATTTAGTAAGACTTTAAGTATATAATTTTTAGTTTTGAACTTCATGTTCCTGTTATTTCTCATCTCATTATCATAAGGAATTACTTTTGGTAGTATAATTTGATTCTCGAATGTTCCGTATCCGTCAGTACTTGTCCCAAAACCCAAAATACACATGGCTTTAACGATGACTTTCTATTTTTCAGGTCTGAGTTGCATATTTTTTAAGTTGGGGGAAAAATTGGCAAATATAATTTATTTGGTGGGTTTCTTAAGCACAAAATCATTTTCAATTTCGTTACAAGATCCTATATTGCGAGGTTCTTTTGACTATATGATTTAGTTTGCACAGTTTTTAACTGATTGTTTGATTTGCAAAAATAATTTAGGTTAAGAGTTTTTTTGCACAAAAACTTAGTTTATTTTGTTTGTCATGGCCTATCGAGTTTTACTTAAATCCTTCAGGGATATCTCACAATATTATTCAACATCTGTAACCTCCTGCGAGGATCCATCTTATACTCACATGGTGGATTGTATACTATACATCCATAGACCTTTAGATGAAAAATATTTGGTTTCTGACCAAAACCAATTCTGATTGGAGAACTTTGGTTACTCATTGGCTTGATGCGAATCAATGATTCTGTATTCTTAGTATGAACATGTGCTATCAGATGTCCACTAAATTAACCTATATTATCAAGTAATCTTGCAAACTTCAGTTGCAGATTGATATCAGGTTTACATAAACAATCTTAAAGTTTTCACTTAGTGGATGATCAGTTCACACAATGGGTTATTAAACCATAAACTTTTTCATGTATACTTTTCATTAATGACAAGATTCCAAATCTATGTCAGCTGGTGAATATCATATTATGAATTTCTAGTGAACATGGGACATATTACATAACATGATTAACGTTCGCATCACATCTGAACCAGATTGGTCTAACAAGTTCATGCCAAATGGTAAAGTTTTCATTAAACTTCCAGTGTACAACCATAAACTTCTGGTGTACGGCAACATTTGCCTCGATTGTATAAGTACAGTACAATCTACATTTAATCTTTCCATAAACTATTTAGAGTCTTGGGTAATATGTGTAATGTGAAGGTTTTCAATATTATCTTCACTCATAGTCTCAATGTGATGATTCTGAAAATCTAGAAGATTTTCTTTATAAACGATTCACTTCTCTAGCATAGTGTGAACTTCATCTTCTGGATGTTTCACTTGATATATATATATATATATATATATATATATATATATATATATATATATATATGAGATTTCTTAATTCTTCCCCTCGAGATGGTGATACTCTTAATCCATCCATCTCCGACAGAATCTCACTTTAGAATCAATATAACACCCAACTTTGATCATGTATCCTTTTAACTTTTGAGACTATAAGGCATACTGAATTTTCAATTCCGTTCCCATAGACTATATGTTCTTCTGGAACATTCAATATAGATACTTTTCTAGAGCTTCCAATACATATGTTCTTTTCTAGAGCTTTCAATACATATGTTCTTTTGGAGCCTTTATTATGCATGCCTTTCCGGAGCTTTCAATATCTATGCTCTTCTAGAGCTTTCAATATACATGCTCTTTTGGAGCTTCCAGTATAAACACATACTCCCTCCGTTTCAAATTAGTTGTCGTTTTGACAAAATGTATCTGCAAATATTTGGACGTATCTGGACGTGTTTTGCATTGCAAATACATCCAAATAATTACAGATACATTTTCCCAAAACGACAACTAATTTGAAACGGGAGAGTATAACAATAACTTAACAAAATATCAATTCATAAATTCATCGAATAAAATGATAGTAAAATGAAAGCTGGAAATAATAAATAAAGCAAAAAATGTCATGAAGTAAAATTCTAAACTTAAATTCTCATTTATTTACTTAAGGGACGAGAATATCAGCAATCTCCATGTGAATTGCTTCACTCATCTCAAAATCCTCTTCACCATCTTCGTACACCAAGTTGGTTTCAACATTCTTTCCCTTTTTCTTAACTGATTGTTAATAAAGGTTAACAAGGTGTTTTCCTGTACGACACAATCGAGCCCAATGGTTGTTTCATCCACAACGGTAACATGCATTCCCTTGTATTATTTGCTTGTTACCACATTTGTTTTCCTGATTTTGTTTGAGCGTGCGTTCTTAAAATAAACTCTTTGGCGTACACCAAAATCTCTTCCACATCCTCGACCATAGCCACGACCCCGTCCACCACGACCTTGACCACGGATGTGGCCTTGTCCATTGCGGTTTATATTATTTCCTATCATAAGATGTCGCATTTGCTTTAGAGAAGGAGCAGAACCAGTTGGGCACAAGCCATTATTTTTTCATCAATAACTCATTATTTTGCTCCGCCACAGGGAGGCAAGATATATAACGTCCCGACCACCCTTTCCGGTGAGTCACCCATGCCCTCTCTCTGGACCCGCAGGCCCCTCTCGGCCCGTGGTCCTCACCCCTGTCCGACAGCCGGTCCGTTATATTTGAGAGACTCTAATGACTTGTTTACTAGCCCTGCAATCAACACCTGACCTTTCCCTGTGTTTTGGCCTCACTCACACGGTTTCAGAAACCACTTCCCGAAATGTCACCCATTCTTTCAACTACTCCAGCCCCAAGCACGCTTAACTCTAGAGTTACTTATAGACCTTTGACGAAAAGGTAAGTGCACTTTGTTGACATAGGTAGCCAAATCAATTCTCTTAAGCCTCTCCTCATTTATCACAAATCGGGATGTTACAACTCACCCCCACTCACTGCGTGCAACGTCCTCGTTGCGCACCTAAATCGTCACCTGACGGTGTGAGTCAAGGCCACTTCAACTTGACTCCACACTCTCGTCTGGTTTTAGCTCTGATACCAAATTATAACGCCCTGTCCGCCCTTCCCGGTGAGTCACCCATGCCCTCTCTGGACGCGCAAGCCCCTCTCGGCCCGTTGGCTTCACCCCTGTCCGGCGGCCGGTCCTGTTATATTCGAGATACTCTAATGACTTGTTTACTAGCCCTGCTAGGGGTGGGACTTTTAACCTATACCCGAAAACCCGAATCGTACCGACCCGAAATACCCGGACCCGTTTGATTTTGGGTATATTGCAAATCACCTATTGAGTAAAATATTTAATACTTGTGGGTATTGGGTAATACCCGAACCGAACTGATACCCGAACGGGTACCCAAATTACCCGAAATATGGGTATTCTGGATTATTTTAATATTATAAATATAATTATTCTATTTTTTTTTATTATTTTTTTATTTTCAGATATATTTTCAGTATATTTTTTTTTTAATCGGAAAATATTTTTTTGGATTTTTTGGGTTTTTAGGTATATTTTAGATCTCAAATTCCAAACTTGTTAGATTTGGCATGATTACTAAAAGTAATAAGAAACAATTGTTATGTCTTCAAAACATATAAATAATCATCATGTCTTCAGGACATATACAAGTGTAATTCGGTGTATAAACAAATCTAGCAGATGTAATATATAATTCAGTGTATAAATATGAATTAGCATATGGAATATATAACTCAGTATTAATCAGTGTTCAGTTTCATGTTAATGCATCATTGAAATCAGTATTCAGTTTAGTGGACGATATGTATGTGATCAGAATTCAAAGCAATATAATCAGAATTTAATTATAGATATGCATAAATCCTAATCATCATGTTGAATCAAGTATTTTATCGCATGTATACCAAAGCATCGATATCTCATCCTGATGTACACTGAAACATCGATTATTGAATCATGTTGTACACTTTAACATATATGTATCTCACCGGGTTGAACTATGGTGTAATTGAACATGATATGATACATGTTTCGTCAAGTTAGAAAATATATAGCAATCAAGAGTGCTTAAAGCAATAAGATATTACATAAATCAAAGTATGAATAATCAATAAATCACATATATGATACGACATAACAAGATGTTTGTTCGATAACTTGGATCGTTAACCAATATATGTTAAACATGGTTATTCATATCAAAAACTAATAAGATCTAAGATCTAAAATCATTACCTTTTAGCTCTGACGGCTAAGGTTTTAACCTAAAATTTAGAGACACGTGCTGATAACGGGTTATAGAAAGAGAGAGATGAATAGAGAAGAGGAATTCATGATATATTATTCTAATAGAAATGGGACTTTTAAAGTGTACAAATGTATGGTTTTCCTTATAAAAAGTACACTTGGTGGACAAGTAAACATATTCTAGAAAATAGGTCTAATAATAAACATCTATATAAAACCTTTATACCGTTTATAGGTTTTTTAATTATATATTTTTTGGAATAAAATATTTTTTTTTCTGATCTCAGCTTCCAGAATAAAGTTTACAGGTTCTAGTAAGGAACCCATTAGAAAGCCCACATTATTTATAAAAGTAACGGGGTTCGTAGTTGTGTTTAGGTGTTTAGTGGTTGAAAACATTGATTTATATATAAATAGAATCAGAATCACTTAAAGCTTGACCACGCTGATTATTATAGACTTCGGTTCGGTCTGTTTATTAACGGTGAAAAACTGAAAATGTTGCCGCTCAAAGTGTGTTTCTTAATTCTTGAGCGCCAAATGGATTTTCATTGTTAAAACTAGGTTCGAAGCCCGCGCAAGCACGGTTGTTTGTGATAGTTTTTCTGTTTAATTTTATTTATACTCGTTGATTTGAATTATGATGGTTTTGTATTAACTTTCATGTTTTTGTTATGTTTTGAGTTAACTCAACCACTAACACTAAAAAATATGAATAATTTGTTTTTATTTTAATTTATTAGGATATTAACACCCGCTTTATCTCGAGTTTTCTATTTCTAAAATTTATCATGTTATAAATATTATGTTTGTTTACTTTTTTTTACTTCTATTAGACTGTAAACATGTATATGTATTTGATTGAAGGTTAAAATTTATAAATATGTATATGCATTTGACTGAAGGTTAAAATTTGTAAACATATTCTTGTTTTTCACTACAATTAAATTTACATATAAAACTCCATTTCTATTTGTTTAGAAAAACAAACTCTAACTCTAATGTTTCATTAGCTTTCTATTATCTTAATTAATTTATATTCAACTTTTTAACTTGTAAACACATTATAACATTTTTAAATAGATAAATCCTTTGAATAAAAAGGTAAATATATACTATTTGAAGTTAAATATTTCTTTACTCCATCTCTATTTTATATTCCAACTTTTTGATAACTTTTAACATCAAATTATCACATACTTTCTATTAATTAATTAATTAATTTATTTGTATATTTTTATTAAATATGAATAAATGTAAAGAAATATGAATAGTCATATATTTAATAAATATTTAAATACAATTTAATGTTTGTGCTGATGTGGACACTCTAGATGGAGAGAGCAACTCCCTATTATATATAAGATGTCAGAATTGGCCTTACGGTGGGCGTACAATGAGGTAAATAACGCTAAGACCATTTTTGTCACATGTAAACAAAAATGAGTATTGTATAGTATACATTGGAATATTGGATTACTATCTCTCTAGACAAAATTTAGAAAGGATTAATCAATTAATCTTGTGTTGGAGCAATTCTGACAAAACATTACATTATAATTTTAGTTAACAACTTGTAATATGTGAATTTTTGTATGAGCGATAGTGACAACAATAGTACAAACCACAAAGCTAAGTGTCACCGCCGTAACTATGTCTCATTACTTTTAAGGTGTATATGTTAACATATCGTAGAACAAAATACGTAGTTTAGTTGTAAAACTAGATTGAACTCCTGACGTTAACGAAATATAATGTCATATAGTATACTTTAATTTACTTGGCTATTGCTCTTGCAAATTCCTTGTTGTTAGGTTTTGATGATTCGAACTCGAGATCACTGTGAGGTTAGGAAAGTCAGTAGATCTGTGACCAAGCCCGTTCCAATAAATTATTGGACAGTAGTATAATAACAAAAATCTGCAAAAAATGCCCTAAATATAAAGGGTCTTAAAATCTTTAAAAACAAAAAAAAATAATTATGTGGACTCTGTGCAAATGCACTTCCAGCATATGTACATGGCCGGGCCTGTCTGTGACACCGGTTATATCGTGTAGCGCGAGAGTTTGACTCGACTGAATAGTATTTGTTGGAAGGAGATCAGATCATGCGATAATATCTCTTGCAGAAGTCATACTCATAAATACCTACATTTACGTTTAAAGATCTTCTTTTATATTCTACTCTCTTTACTATATGAGATATGACATTATTTGTAGAGTTTATATTTCCTAAGTATGTGTTTAGGGTTATTAGATTTTAGTTCATATGCCTCGACTGCCTGATATCTAATTGAAGATATTTTATGGTGGCATCTCTGATGGAGTCCAGATAAATTAAAGGTGATGCTTCCTCATACGAAAAACTTTATCAGGTGAGGTGTGTTATGCCATAATTCGTTTAAAGATTCTAAATAATTCTAACTTCTAACCGCTAGGCGAGAAGAAACACCATGTATCCAAGCAAGAGTGCCATCGATCATAAGAGGTTCGTTTAGATCTAATGTTCACTTGTCATGAGTTGAGTCGTTGTCAATGAATGAAAGTTACCCTCAACATCATTGTATCATACTATAATTTGTTGCAGTATTTAGTAATAATTAAAATTATAATTTATCAGTTTTTACGATAAATTGTTATTTACCATAAAATTATGATTTTAAAATAATTTGTTGTATGTCAAAATGCACAATGTATTTTTAGATAAAGTATCAACTTCTATTTTATATAAACAGCTATTTTTGATAAATTTACGTAATTTTTTTTTGTCAATGTTTAAATCTTTCTTATGATTTTTGTTTTGGTATGCCATATATATAGACATAAAAATTTGGTAGATTTGACTAAAAGTATATGAATGTCAAAAAGACATAAATTTTTGGTAGATTTGATATAAAAAAATACTCGTACTAATGTTTTTTTTGGGTCACCTCGTACTAATGTTTCTATCTATATCTTTTTCGGAATTTTGATTGAATCAAATATTTGGTTGACCTTTTGTTGTAAATGTGTAAGAAAATAAAATATAGGCAATGGGATAAGAACATACATTTCCGTCATAATTTACAAATATTTTGTAGGAAAAGTTTGCAAAATGGCAAGTTTTCTCGTCAAACTTTGAATAAAGTTAGAGAACCATTCTGAAGGAAAGTACAAAAAAAAAACCAGTAAAAACAATTATAGCAAAGTGAACAAAGGAAAAACTGGCTTTCCAATTCAAAAGAGATTTTTTATTTTTTTTTTCAAAAGAAACATATAACTTATTGAGTAAAACGGAAAATGACAACTACTTTAATGGAGTTGAACCATCGACTATGAACACTTGATATACACAGTACTTTTCCTTGTTCTCCAGAACATTTGTCAAGACCTAAATTAACATTGATAGTTATATATGCATGAAATCAAATGGTCATAGACCTCATCTTTGTCTCTTTGCCTCCAGTGAGTAATGTGTCTCGATCCTCCATGACACAAATCCATCATAGGCTTAGGCTAGATGCACGGCTTTTAATCATTACGAAACCATTTGAAAGGCACCACACTCTCTCGGAGACTATGTAGTATATATATCATTATGATCCCGACTCACTTGTCATTCGAATCACACCTTACATTTGGCTCATATATGATTAACTAAGTTAAGTAACTAGCTGTTGAATTTACAGAATTTTGTTATGTTTCTACTTTTTAGTATTCCAAATAACCACACTAGCCAACAAATTATTTTGACTCGAATATTACAAATTAACTAGGTTTGAAGCCCCGCGCAAGCGCGGGGTTGTTTACGATAGTTTTTCTGTTTAATTTTATTTATACTCGTGGATTTGAAATATGATGGTTTTGTGTTAACTTTCATGTTTTTGTTATGTTTTGAGTTAACTAAACCACTAACACTAAAAAAATATGAATAATTTGTTTTTATTTTAATTTATTAGGATATTAACACTCTGCTTTATCTTGAGTTTTCTATTTCTAAAATTTTATCATGTTATAAGTATTATGTTTACTTCTATTAGACGGTAAACATGTATATGTATTTGATTGAAGGTTAAAATTTATAAATATGTATATGCATTTGACTGAAGGTTAAAATTTGTAAACATATTCTTGTTTTTCACTACAATTAAATTTACATATAAAACTCTATTTCTATTTGTTTAGAAAAACAAACTCTAACTCTAATGTTTCATTAGCTTTCTATTGTCTTAATTAATTTATATTCAACTTTTTAACTTGTAAACACATTCTAACATTTTTAAGTAGGATAAACCCTTTGAATAATAAAGTAAATATATACTATTTGAAGTTGAATATTTCTTTACTCCATCTCTATTTTATATTCCAACTTTTTGATAACTTTGAACATCAAATTATCACATACTTTCTATTAATTAATCAATTTATTTGTATATTTTTATTAAATATGAATAAATGTAAAGAAATATGAATAGTCATATATTTATTAAATATTTTAAATACAATTTAATGTTTTTGTGCTGATGTGGACACTCTCAAATGGAGAGAGCAACTCCCTAATTATATATAAGATAATATAAAATCCTTAATATAATTTTGAACCAAAAAAGAAAAATTGCATATGCATTATGTTGAAAATGGAAGTTAATTTCATAAATTGGTTGTATACATAAAATCTCTAACTGCCAACTTTTTTTTTCCTTTTCAACATTTTTATTGCCATTACTCTATTTATTTTGTATATCAGCAATTTCATATCATAACTGTAGTTAAGGTGAGAAAATCAGAAAAGTCTTAAGGAAAAATAAAATCCGGTAATAAGGAAAATAAATATACAGAAAGAAAAAAGTATTAACACGACGGCTTCTTCTTTCAGAAAAAAAAAACATAACGGAGAGAGAGAGAGAGAACACAACGATACAGAAGAGAAGCGGAGGTCGCAGAGAGAAGAAACACGCGGCGAGAGAAATTTCCCGGCGAAACGGGAACAGATACATAGGAGATTCAGTGAGAGAGTCTAGGGTTTTCTTCTCGATTTCTCTTCTTTGACCTCGATCTATTCCTCTTTGTTCTGGAGAAAATTTCATTCTTCTCACGTTCATTCATATTCCACCCAGCTCCCTTCGAGGGTTATTGATCCGTTTCGCTAGCTTTTCCTTACCCTCCCGGTAAATTTCCGCTTCAATTCGTTCTCTATCGCGTCTCGTCGTCTGCTCTATTTCATCAATTTGGCCCCGTAGGGTTTTGAGTTTTTCGTTCTTCCCCTTTTGCCAGAAAGTCTCCGCGCTGGGTAATTTAAGCTGGGGAAAACCCTACATTCACTTTTGTTACTGATTGCTTATTCCGGCGTTTTTTTTTGTGGTGGCAGGTTGTTTAATTTAGTCGGAGAACACGAAACCTTGGCGGTGGATTCTGAAGCATGAGTATTGATATCCCCGGAAAAGGGGATAATTAAGGGAAGCGTCGGGTTACAGAGAAATTGGTTGGGGTTTCCATGAGCGATGGGGGTGTCGCATGCATGCCTCTGCTGAATATCATGGAAAAGCTTCCAATTGTGGAGAAGAAGACGCTTTGTGGAGGCAATGATAGCAAAAATGCTGCCACTTCGGAAAATGGTCACACATCCATCTCAACTAAGTCCCCGGAGTCTCAGCCAGCTAAACCCTCAGCGTCTCAGCCAGTTAAGAAGAAGAGAATTGTTAAGGTAATTCGTAAAGTTATCGTGAGGAAGCCTAAGCAGCCCCAGAAGCAAGCAGAGGAGCAGCCGAAACCGCAGGTAGTGCAACTTCCTGGAGAAACACAGCTTCAGGATGATCAGGATAAGAAGAGTGAGCCTGTGCAGGGTAAAGGAGGAGCTAGTAGTAATAAAGAAGTGGAAAACGGTGGAGACTCTGGGTTTAAGGATGAAGTGGAAGAAGGTGAATTAGGCACACTAAAGCCTCATGAGGATCTGGAGAACGGTGAAATCTCGCCAGTGAAGTCATTGCAGAGGAGTGATATCGAAAAGGGCGAGATTGTCGGGGAGAGTTGGAAGAAAGATGAAAGTTCAACGAAGGGAGAGATTGGTTACGTGAAATATAATGGAGGGTGTGTGGAAAGAAGGGATTTTTCTGCAGAGAAGAACCGGAAAGAAGAGAGAGAATTCAGATCATGGAGAGATCCCGGTGATGAAATCGAAAAGGGGGAGTTTATCCCAGACAGATGGCAGAAAATGGATGATCATAGTTACAACAGATCTCGTAGGAATGGAGTAGACAGAGAGAAGACATGGAAATATGAATATGATTATGAACGTACACCGCCGCCTGGTGGAAGGTTTGTGAATGAGGATATCTACCACAGGAGAGATTTTAGAAGTGGGCATGACAGGGCTACAAGGATCAGTTCTAAAGTCGTCATTGATAAGAACGAATACAACAATCCAAATAATCTTGTAAAGGAGTACCCTTCTTCTGCGAACAAATTGAAGCGACATGGAGCTGAACCAGATAGCACTGAGCGCAAACACTCCTACGGTGAGTATGGGGATTACGGGAGCTCCAAATGTAGAAAACTTTCTGATGATTTTTCCCGCTCTATTCACTCTGACCACTATTCACGCCACTCTGCTGAGAGACCGTACAGAGATTCATATTCATCAAAAGGTTCGTCTCTGGAAAAGTATCCTAGAAAGCATCAAGACTCATCTTTCCCTGCCAGGGCTTTTTCAGACAGACATGAACACAGCCCTCCACGAACTGACCGGTCCCCACATGACTGGTCTAGGTACCATGACCGCAGGGATAGAAGTCCAGTCCATCGGGAGAGATCACCATATGCCCGGGAGAGGTCGCCATACATCTTTGAGAAGTCTTCACATGCTCAGAAAAGGTCTCCACATGACCGCAGCCGTCACCATGATTATAGAAGAAGTCCAAGCTACTCTGAGTGGTCACCTCATGATCGCTCTAGGGCCGGTGATCGCAGGGACTGTACTCCAAACTATGTGGAAGACAACCAGAGCGATCGTTACAGGCGTAATGGCCACAGAGAATTAAGCAGGAAAAGTGGAGTAAGGGAGAGGAGGGATTCTCAGACTGGGACGGAGCTTGATAATAAGCACAGAAATAAGGATTGTAATGGAAAAGAGCCGACCTCATCAAGCAAAGAATTGCAAGGTAAAAACATTTTGTACAACAATAATACAGTGGCTGAGAAAAGTTCTGTCCACGATGCATCCAAGATTCCAAGTCCTTCCGCAAAGGGAAAAGAGCCCGTGCAAGTTGGTGAGACCCCCACCGAAGAGTTGCCGTCAATGGAAGTAGATATGGACATTTGTGACACACCACCTCATGAGCCTATGGAGGCTGATTCATCCGTGGGGAAATGGTTTTATCTTGATCACTATGGCATGGAACATGGGCCCGCTAGGCTATCCGAGCTGAAAGCTCTTATGGACCAAGGCATTCTTTTCTCTGATCATATGATTAAACACTCGGACAATAATAGGTGGGTCACTATCGAAAATGCAACTTCTCCTGTGCTCAACATGAATTTTCCATCGGTCGTGTCAGATGCAGTGACACGGCTCGTCAATCCTCCTGAAGCGCCTGGTAATTTATTAGAAGACATTACAGATACGGCTGAAGCAGTTTGTATGGAACAAGAGACTGGAGATTCCTTGCCTGAATCAGTGTCATTACCAGATGCTGCTAGTGAACTTTTAGTAGAACACTGTGAAGATTTCCAGATTGATAAGAGGATCGCGAATCTCTTGGAGGGTTATATTATCACACCTGGCAGGGAACTTGAAATCCTTGGAGGTACTGTAATAGATGCACATATTTTTTATTTCCAGCCACAAATTGGATGCTGTTTCAGTTCAAAATGCTAACAGCTATCTTGAGCACTTTTCTTAGTATATTTTGTTATTTTATCCTGGAGCTTCAGTGCCATATCTAAGATACGCTTATATTTATCACTCTGCAGAGGCTCTGCAGTTTAATTTTGGTGTGACCGGAAGTCCTGTGAACGGAAGTCCTGTAACCGGAAGTCCTGTGTCCGGAAGTCCTGTGACGGAGAGTTGTGTGATCGGAAGTAGTGTGACCGAGGTTGAAGAGACCGGAAGTTGTGTGACATCTAAAGGTATGATTCGTTGGCACCACATGCACTTTGGTAGCATGATATGGTTTTTTTCTATTCGCTTTGTTCGTTTCTGGCAGTTTTCATTCACAACTTCTCCTACAAGCTGATGACAGAACGATATAAATGTTTATATCTACTTACGTAAGATATGTTTATATCTATATTATTTCATTTAGTGTTAGATTTTTCAATGCAAAGATGGGGAGTTGGCATGAAAACTGTCGGGAAGTGTTTGATGTTTGTTAAAGATGTAATAGCCGCCTACTGCCATATGACAGTCTGCGCATGAACATGGAGATTCATTTAGACGTCATCAACTTTGAGTTACCATAGCTTATTGTGTTACTGCATGTATTGCATACAACTATTTAAAAGATATATTCTGGAATTTGCAGATTATTCCTGGCGTCCCTATCGAGTGGAAGGTCAGTTGGATCTTCTGGATGAGGTGTTGCCGGGACGTTTCGAGCCCAAGACAAGGGAGATTGAAGAATTTAAGTCTGACAATGTTTATGGTTCTGAAAACGATGAGATAGGCAGTTGGTATTCAGGTCGTTGGTCTTGCAAAGGCGGGGACTGGATTAGACAAGATGAAGCTGCTCAAGATAGATATCACAAAAAGAAAATGGTTCTGAATGATGGTTTCCCACTATGCCTGATGCAGAAATCTGGTTATGAGGATCCGCGGTGGCATCACAAGGATGATTTGTATTATCCTGCCAGTAACTCTAGGCTTGAACTTCCCCTATGGGCGTTTTCTGGTGTAGATGAGAGAAATCAGACGAGGGGGGTTAAGGCTACTGTGCTGTCCGTAGTTAGGCTTAACTCTTTGGTTGTTAATGACCAAGTTTCATCATTTCCTGACCCCCGTGCAAAAGTTCGTGGTAGAGAGAAGTGCTCTTCAAGGCCTGCTCGTCCATCCCCTGCATCTAGTGATTACAAGAGGGAATCAGTCGAAAGTCATTCTCAGTCAACAGCTAGCGATGGTCAAGATTTGCAGGGATGTTGGAGAACCGACGTATCTGTTAACACCCCTAAAGACCGTCTCTGTACCATTGATGATTTGCAATTGCATTTGGGTGATTGGTTCTACATGGATGGGGCTGGGCAAGAACAAGGACCTCTGCCATTTTCGGACCTCCAGATATTGGTGGATAAAGGTATCATAAAGAGCTACAGCAGTGTCTTCAGAAAATCTGATAAAATCTGGGTTCCTATTACTTCTACCACAAAAACTTCGGAAACCATTGTCAAGCTTGAGGAAAAAAAACCAGCTCTGCCTTCAGATTGTCAAGGCCTTGTTGTCTCAAAGTCACAGGATTTCAAGCGTTCTGAAATGGACACAAGTCTGAGCTCGTTCCATGGTATGTACCCTCAGTTTCTTGGTTATTTCCGTGGGAAACTTCATCAGCTGGTTATGAAAACCTTCAAGAGTCGGGAGTTTTCTGCTGCCACAAACGATGTTTTAGACTCTTGGATCCATGCAAGACAGCCAAAGAAAGAGACTGAAAAGTACATGTACCAATCTTCAGGTATGCATAACTACCAGAATATAAACGTCATTTATTAACTCATGCTTTTTTCTTTTCGCAATTTCCTTTAAAGCTATTTTCTTGGTTTCTGAACTTGGGTGGCTGTTTACTTCTGGTTATACCAATGTTCAGTTCTTGCTTTTAAATGATTTGAACATTTTCCTGTCCTTGTATTTGGTTCATAAACCTCAGAATTTGATTCAAGCTATACGAAAAGAGCTCGACTGATGGCTGGTGAAAGTGGAGAAAATTCTGAAGTCGAAGATGCACAAGTGTTTCAGAAGGATGAGTTGACATTTGAGGATTTATGTGGGGACGCTACCTTTCATGTTGAAGGAAGTGAATCTTCTGGCACAGTGGGGATGTACTGGGATCTGTTGGATGGTCGTGCATTAGCACGAGTTTTTCATATGTTGAGACATGATGTAAAATCTCTTGCATTTGCTTCTATGACTTGTAGACATTGGAAGGCCACTGTTAATTCATACAGAGATATTTCAAGACAAGTTGACTTATCTTCTTTGGGTCCCAACTGCACAGATTCTAGGCTCTGGAGTATAATGGTGAACACTCTAAGCTTTCCGTTTACAGAATTTGAGCAAATTAGTATTTTCTTGATCTGACATGACATTCTTTTGCAGAAAACTTACAACAAGGAGAAGATAGACTCTATAATTCTGCTTGGTTGTACAAACGTGACTGCCAGCATGCTTGAGGAAACTCTTCGTTTATTTTCCCGAATTTCTTCTGTAGACATCACAGGCTGCTCCCAGTTTAGAGATTTGACATCAAACTATAAAAATGTAAGTTGGCTCAAATGCCAGCATCCTCGATCAGGGGAAATGCATTCCAGGTTAAGGAGTCTGAAACAGATGACAGATGTTGCCAAGTGTAAGGGCTTAGGGGGAGATACAGATGATTTTGGTAACCTTAAGGATTACTTCGATCGAGTAGAAAAGCGAGACTCAGCCAATCTGTTATTCCGAAGAAGCTTATACAAACGCTCAAAATTGTACGATGCAAGGAGATCATCGGCCATACTATCGAGGGATGCTCGTATCAGGCGATGGGCGATTAAAAAGTCAGAACATGGGTATAAACGAGTGGAGGAATTCCTTGCTTCAAGCCTTAGGGGCATCATGAAGCAGAATAGTTTTGACTTCTTTGCTCTAAAGGTACTTTCTGGTACCCGTGTCTGCTGAATACTATGTCTGCTACCTTTTTCTGTGTGATCTGTCAAAAATTAATCTTAATGTATTTTTGGTAACCAGGTTGCTCAAATAGAGGAAAAAATGAAAAACGGCTACTATGTTAGTTATGGTTTGAGATCTGTCAAGGAGGATATCAGCCGGATGTGCAGGGAAGCAATCAAGTATGGCTTCCTTCTTCTCTGTTTGCCAATAACACTTTAAAATCTTTTTTTCTTACGAGTTATGATAAGTAACTTCTTCGCTACTGAGCTTCTGCTTGCTAAACAATATGTTGAAATAATTGCTGATGTCCTTTCTAGATTATGTGCTATAAATCCTTAAGTCAATGATACTTTTCTTGCCACGCTCGGTTCTGGCCCTCCATTTGTTACTTTCTAGGCTGTAGGATTGCTTATTGTGCAACATTTATGCGTTAGTGTGTTAAATGCTTACTTTCTTAGACTCCTAGTTCTTAAGTAAGAGATAATCTGTCGTAAAAAAGGTAGGAGCTGGTTCTTTTACTTTCCTTCTACGGGTTTTGTTATATTATTTCTGACACTATCTTATGTATCCAGAGGAAGGAATCGCGGGGGCTCCAAAGACATGAACCGAATCATCATACTGTTTATTCAACTTGCCACCCGTTTGGAAGAGGTCTCTATGGTTACTTCTTCATATGGTAGAGATGAATTAATGAAGTCATGGCAAGATAGCTCAGGGATCTCATCAGCCTCTAAGTATAACAAGAAATTGAGCAAATCAGTAACTGAAAAGAAGTACATGAGCAGGACTAGTGACAATGGTGCTTCAGATTACGGAGAATATGCATCTGACCGAGAAATCAGAAGGCGTTTGTCCAAACTGAATCGTAAATCCTTTGGTTCCGGAAGTGAAACATCTTCCGAAGTCTCTGACAATGGCAAGAGTGACAATTATAGCTCAGCTTCAGAAAGTGATTCAGACATCCGTTCAGAAGGTCGATCTCAGGACTTACGTGTCGAAAGATACTTCACAGCAGATGAAGCCTTGGATTCGGTGACCGAAGATCGTGAATGGGGTGCACGTATGACCAAAGCTAGTCTTGTACCGCCAGTCACTAGGAAATACGAAGTGATTGAAAAGTACACAATCGTCACAGATGAAGAGGAGGTACAACGAAAGATGCGGGTTTCTTTGCCGGAGGACTATGGTGAGAAGCTTAATGCACAAAGAAATGGCATTGAAGAGTTAGATATGGAACTTCCTGAAGTTAAAGAGTATAAACCAAGAAAGCTTCTTGGCGATGAGGTTCTAGAACAAGAGGTTTATGGAATCGATCCTTACACCCATAATCTCTTACTTGATTCAATGCCCGGAGAATTGGACTGGTCACTGCAGGATAAACATTCATTTATTGAAGATGTAGTCTTACGTACCCTGAACAGACAAGTTAGGCTTTTCACTGGATCTGGAAACACCCCCATGGTATTCCCTTTAAGGCCTGTGATTGAAGAGCTCAAAGAGAGTGCTCGTGAAGAGTGTGATATACGAACACTGAAGATGTGTCAAGGCGTCTTAAAGCAAATGGAAAGTCGTTCTGATGATAAATATGTTTCTTATCGGAAGGTATATATATCTTTGTTCTTCTTTCATAGGAATCCATCAATTTATTAGGATTTTTTTTGCTAATCTGCTTTGTTGCTACTTCTTTTGTTCATGTAGGGTCTCGGTGTTGTGTGCAACAAACAAGGTGGTTTTGGAGAAGAAGACTTTGTTGTTGAATTTCTTGGAGAGGTGAGTTGTTTGCCAGTAACTCAACAGCAGAAACATTTTCTTAAGTTTAATAGGCGTGCTGTGGTTAGGTATTTAAACATTCTCTTAAAGGAACCTCTGAACATCAATGCTGACTTGTTTTGGATATTACAGGTTTATCCTGTGTGGAAATGGTTTGAGAAGCAAGATGGGATTCGTTCCTTACAGGAAAACAAAACTGATCCTGCACCAGAGTTCTACAATATTTATCTTGAGAGACCAAAGGTATAAAGAAAATATGATGCTTGAGCTTGTAATTAAACTTTTAGAACATTTTCTTACCTGAGATGTTGCATGGCAGGGTGATGCTGATGGATATGATTTAGTTGTTGTTGATGCCATGCACAAGGCTAATTATGCGAGTCGCATTTGTCACTCTTGCCGACCTAACTGTGAGGCTAAGTAAGTTAAATTTCTCCCCTTTGCAGTCATCATTTTCTTCATAATTTTGGTAAATGAGTTTCATAAACTAGCCTGCGTACGCAGATAAATACACACATGTATCTTAGAAAATTTTCTGGATACACTTACCAACATTTGCGTATTTCAGAAGTCTCATTCTTTTTCTTATGCATATACACAATTTCAACAGATGTCGAGATAACTCCTGATGCTTGACTGTCTTCATGTCTAAAAATCTATAAACAGTACACTCATTTTTTTTCCCTTTGTCATCTTGTGCTTCCAGGGTTACTGCGGTGGATGGACACTACCAGATTGGTATATATTCTGTACGTTCTATTGAATATGGCGAGGAGATAACTTTTGATTATAATTCTGTAACTGAGGTATGTTCTTCCCTTTCCCTTTTATTTCCTAATCCCTTTTATTTCGTTAGGTTAATCTTTATGCTTCCACTCCACTGTCTAACGAATGATGCTTTTATATGTGACAGAGTAAGGAAGAATATGAAGCGTCTGTTTGCCTGTGTGGTAGCCAAGTATGCCGAGGCAGCTACTTGAATCTCACTGGTGAAGGTGCATTTCAGAAGGTACTTGGCGCCGTTAATGTATATATGATTATATTACAAGTAGTAATGATGCCTGAGAGTAATGATATTGACTCTGACTATGGAGTTTTAAAGGCCAGATGTTTGTTGTATGCTTGTTCCACTGATGAGCTAATTAGTTCTTATGTACCAACGTGTTGATTTAATTTTCTGAACCATATTTGTAACAGGTGTTGGAGGAATGGCATGGTCTGCTGGATCGACACGGACTGATGCTGGAAGCTTGTACACTGAATTCAGTTTCAGAAGAAGATTATCTTGAGTTGGGAAGAGCTGGACTGGGAAGTTGTTTGCTTGGTGGATTGCCAGATTGGATGATTGCATATTCTGCTCGTCTGGTTAGTCTTGAATCATTTTATGCTAGTTTGTCGCAATACTATTGATTTGATTACAATTCTGACCAATAGTTTTTTGTGCATTAAGGTTCGATTCATCAATTTCGAGAGAACCAAGCTACCCGAGGAAATTCTTAAGCATAATCTGGAGGAAAAGAGGAAATATTTTTCAGACATACACCTTGATGTTGAGAAAAGTGACGCTGAAGTTCAGGTAAGACTATCACTCTTTCTACCCTTTTGCTGGGTTCTCTCAATAGTTCATGCCTTTGGGGCCTCGGGAACTCTGTTTGCTTTAGGATGTAGAAAAAGGGATTTGCGTTATTTTTTTTTTTCAATTCTCTTATGCTTATCGTATCTGTAACTTTAACGAAACAGGCTGAGGGTGTCTACAATCAGAGGCTTCAAAATTTGGCTGTTACACTTGACAAGGTGAATACCATCTCTTCTCATGAAAACAAACAGTGTTATCTGCTGTCTTTCACATGTTTGTGTGTGTTGTAAAATGTTTTCCCAAATGAAGGTAGTCTCTGATTAGTGTGCTGTACACAGGTAAGATATGTTATGAGACGTGTGTATGGGGATCCAAAGAACGCTCCTCCTCCGCTGGAGAGGCTTTCTCCTGAAGAAACAGTCTCTTATGTATGGAACGGGGATGATTCCTTAGTTGATGAGCTTCTTCAGAGCCTGTCACCGCACGTGGAAGAAGGCATTATTAATGAACTTAGATCCAAAATCCATGCCCATGATCCATCTGGATCTGCTGATGTCCTTAAGGAACTTCAGAGATCATTACTTTGGTGAGTACTACTATCATATTACTAATGCTTGAAACGCTCTTATGAAACAATACACTCATTTCCAATAATATTACTCTATGAAGGTTGAGAGATGAGATCCGAGACCTCCCATGTACATACAAGTGTCGGAATGATGCTGCAGCTGATTTAATTCACATATATGCCTATACGAAGTGCTTTTTCAAAGTTCGGGTAAGTTCTTTTCGTATAAGTTGAGTTCGAACATATGAATCTCGTAGAACTTACTTCTGACAAGATTGGGTCTTAATATGTTGCAGGAATATAAGTCCTTTATGTCTTCTCCTGTACACATTAGTCCGTTGGATTTGGGTGCCAAGTATGCGGACAAGTTAGGTGAGAGTATAAAGGAGTACCGGAAGACTTATGGCGAGAACTATTGTCTAGGGCAGCTAATTTACTGGTATGAACAGACCAATTCTGATCCAGATGTTACATTGGCGAAAGCAACAAGAGGTTGCTTGTCTTTACCCGACGTTGCTTCCTTCTACGCAAAGGCCCAGAAACCTTCCAAGCATCGTGTTTATGGTTCAAAGACGGTGAAAGCAATGGTTTCACAGATGGTAACTTCTTACTTCACCCACCTCTGAAAATGTGTCCATCGTTTCATCTGTCTTTACACTGTCCATGACATGGTTATTTCATCTGTGTGTGTACAGTTTAAACAGCCTCAAAGACCATGGCCGAAGGATAAAATATGGACATTCAAAAGCGCACCAAGAGTATTTGGCAGCCCGATGTTTGACACCGTCCTCAACAAGTCGTCGCTAGATAGAGAACTGTTGCAGTGGCTGAGAAACAGACGGCATGTCTTTCAAGCGACATGGGATAGTTAGGGTAAAAAAGCTTCTCTTTTTTTTTGTTCAGAAGGTTTCCTTTTTGGGAAAGCGAGCAACAGCAGTGGACAACACAGTTACTACATAAATAGTCTTCTTATCCATATGACCAAAGCAAAAGCAAATCAGTGCGAGAGCCATTTTCGCTGCAAAGGTCCTCATAGTCACAGCTTTCCCATCATTCTTGTGTATAGCTTTGCCATATATGTGATTTTGGAACTTGATAATAACTTTGGGTTAGGTCCATTGTTCTTGTCGTTAGATTAGGCTCTCTCACATAATTTTCAGAGAGAAATCATTTTACTAGGTTGTGTCTCCCTTTTTTATCTTAGTAATAATAAATTATTCATGTGTTCTTTCTTGTTGTTAAATCTATTAAAGCTTGACACCAGAAAAAGGAAAGGTGCAATATAATTAGAAGCTGTACGTACCTTTTTGCACTTTTGCTGGTAGCCACTGGCATTATTCAAAGTAGTAAATAAACTATCAACCCTTAATCATGACTTGTAAGTTGTAACCAATCATTCGACCGTTACTTTTAAATTTACGAGACATTTGTTGGTGAAAAGTAAAATGTATGAACATTTGTGCTCACCGTGAAAAGCGGTTATAAGTTAGTTTGGTTTGATCTGAAAATGTGCAGAAGCCACCGAATTAGACCCAAAATCTTAACTTTTCCAATAAAAACATAAAAGTTCTTGTGAAACATACTCCAATGAAAAATTATGACTTTTCCAATATAATTTTTTTGTTTCTATCGACACCTAAAAATGCGTATATCTGTCTTTTAAGTTCATTAGTACCGAAATAGTCATACAAATGTATATGAATTATAACCGTATAATAAAATCGAACATTTTGGTCTTCAAATTAGCTAACAGAATCATCGGAACTGTCATTTCTCCGTTCAGCAATCGCCGGAAACAAACGCTGCCGAATAATATCCGGTGACGGTTGACTACTATCCGGAGCCATTTCGATCTCCTTCTTCTCCGAATAATTCGTCGTCTTCGTCGTTTCCTTAACCTCTCTGCAAACTTTCTCCAACATCACCAAGAAATCACGCACAATCGCGAACAATCGCAGCCCTTCGTTCTTCGCCGATTTCCCATGGAAATAATCGGCAGAGTCTTTCACCAACGCCATGATCCTCTCTTCTTCCCCCTTCAACCACTTGATATCAGCATCCGCGTTCTCGATAAACCCAGCCAAAGCCTTCTCGAAATCGCTCTCTTCGTCCATCGATTTCAGAAACTCCCTCGCATTCGTCAGCGAGCCACTTATATTCGTCAGCGTCGCAGCCAATCCATCGCCGTCGATAACCGCTGCTCTCTTCACATCCTCAAGCTCCGTGGTTAATCCCGAAACCACCTGAAGCCCCGTGCTCCGGTAACGCTCCACTGATTGTGGGCTTGAATCTGTGTTGCTGTTGCTATCGTCTGTTTTAACGCTTGAGAAGCTTCTGCTCTGGAGACGGAGAGCACGGACGCCTTCGGAGCGAATGATCTCGAGAACAACGAAATGCAAGAGCGTGGTCTTGCCGTCGGTGCCTTTGACGTCGGAGAGTTTCAAGAGCGTGTCGAGCTTGAAAGCCATCGCGTCGCCGCGGAATGTCCCTACGTTCATTCGGTTTCCGGTCTTGAGTACTGCTTCTAGTAGCTTTAGGAATAGTCTGCTGTTTCTGAGCTTCTTGCAAGCCACCTGAGGCAAACAACAGTCACACATAGAAGAAGGTAAGAGTCTGATGGTAGATTCTTGTGTTATGAGTCTTTGATTTTTAAGGGACTTACCTCAAGAGTTGAGAGAGCTTCTTTGAGGCCAGAGACTTCTTCTTGAAGTGAGATCATGAAGAGAAGCGACTCTATACGTTTGAAAGCGAAAGGTATGTCGACAAGGATTTTCAAGAACCGTTCTGCAGGGCCAAGTAAGTTGAGATCGCCAGAGTATAGTCTAAGTTTGAGTTCTTCTTCTTGAGTTGGAGCCATCTTCAGCAATGTTTGTAGGAGCTCCACTGGTAGCTCATTACCTTTAGGAATCAGAGAAGAATTAGAGAGCAGAGAAAGAGATGGTGAGATGGAGAGAGTTAAATTTAAAATATACCTTCTTTGATGGCGTCGACAACTTCCTCTGTTGTTACATTCAAGGCTCGAAGAAGAATAGATAAGTTTTGAGCTTTCCTGGTGTCAATGATCTGAATGTACTGGACAGGTGATTCTCTAGCTGAATCTCCTCTCTGAGGATTTTTGTTTTTGTTCGCATCGTTGTAGCCGAACAGAGACTCCATCGCTTCTTCGTTGAATCTGAAGGCAGAAACGCGAGTTAAGGAAGCTCGGAAACAAAGATTAAGAAGGAGAAGATTCAATCAAATTCAGTTTAGTTTCTTACTGGAATGAGCCGGCGCTGATCTCATGCCAAACCATTTTCTGATCAGGGTTTGCCATTTTGTCCCAGAAGAACGGCTTTAGTTTGGCTTTGGAAGCTCCAGTCTCGGAATCAACATCGGATCCATCTCCACCAGAGGAGCCTCGTCCTGGGGGTTTAGGAGCTGCACCTTTTGGTGGTGCAGGTGGAGGACGAACAAGTTTAGGTGGTGGAGGAGGCTGAGGTTTAGGAGGAGGAGGTGGCGGAGGCTGTGGAGGTGGAGGTAGAGGAGCTGAAGGAGGAGGAGCTGGAGCTGATCTTCCAGGGGGAAGAGGAAGTCCAGAGGATGTTGATGATGATGACGCTGCTTCAGCTGTTGGATACTCATCAACATTTCTCTTTAGAGATACTCTTGAAAGAAACGACCTCTTCTTGGAACTAGCACTGAACATTTTCCTGCTCGTGCTTGCAACGGCGGTGGGAGAGTTCTCATTCGATCCTGAAAGATCAAAGAAAATGAGTCACAATATTTCTCGAATGAGATAAGAGAAGAAGAAAGATGAATCTCTTTTGTCATACCAACTGATAAATCACTGAGATGTAGAAGAGGTCCTTCGTCTCTCGGTCCATCTCTAGGACCAACCGCGTTTCTGCGATTGCGTCTGAAGCAACACAAGAACAGCAACGCAACGAGGAAGAACGTTAACACAGCGGTTGAAGCAACGGCGATGATAAGTTTCATCAAGATGTCATCCTTCTTCGCTGCTCGTGGAGGAGGAGGACCTGGAACGCTTCTACTCGGAGTTGGTTTTCTCTTTGTTGGAGTTGGAGCAGGTTTTGAACCAGCCGGTGTTTTAGCTGATGGAGATGGAGAGCTTGCTGGTGCCAAAACATAGTTTTGAGCAACCGGTCCAGGACCTGGCGCGTAACCTGGTGCATAACCGGGTGCCAAACTTGGTGCATAACCAGGTGCGAGACTCGGTGCATAAGCAGGTGCAGGACCAAGTGCGAAATTTGGAGCAGATACTCTAAACTTCTTTGCCTTCCTCCTCTTTCTCTTTCTGGCCAGTTTTCTTCTTGGATAGCTCGTAGTAGATTCACCGAGAGGTCTAAACCAATTGGTGAACCAATGCCGATAACCGATCTCTTCCCTCGGATTCGGAGTTCTGGTTAAGACGGATAATTCCAGGTACTCATTTGCTGCTTCTTCTCGAGGGATATACAGAAAACAATCTTTCTCTTTATATCTTGCTTCTTCTCTACAATGAATCCATGTTTGCTCTGCCTATCAGAAATGATGTGTTCGTCAAAAACAAAATCAGCAACGAACATGTTAATGATCCTAAATTTTGTACACTATTAATCAGCAACGAACATGTTAATGATCCTAAATCAAAATTTGTGCAAATCCATGAAAAATGAGGGAAAAACGAACAATGACAATGAATTTACCACATCGCCACCGTGAGGTTCAGCGTAATCAATAGGATACCGGGTATCGGAGACGGAGAATCGTAAGCGATTGGCACCGTCTCGAGCAATAAGCTCCTCAGAAACACAAACAAAAACGACGAGAGAGACGGCGAGAAAAGCTGTTCTCAATCTCCCCATTAACTTGCGTTTCTCATCTCACGGAAACACCGAATATTGCTTCCGATCGGAGATTCCTGGGAGAGAAAACAACGACGGCGATATTTGCAGAGCTCGATCTCCTTCCCGTACTTCCTCGGAAGCAAACCGCCATGCAGAAAAGCTCCGACCTCGTCCGAACGCTTTTCTACGGCGACGAACAATCGCAACCACAAGCGGAAAAATGTCCAAAAGAAGAGGAAAACTCAAGTTTGGAAGCAAATTTTCAAATACGCAAGAGAAGCTCTGTTTCGAGAAATTTTTGTTTTTTTTTTTGAAGGAAAGCTTTTTTTAGATGTTGTGACTTGTAAGTTTAACAGAAACGAAGATAACTTTATATGTTTGTTAATTTGGTTATTTTTCCTAAGTTTTTCTGTTGAATTGAATGAAGTAGGAAATGTTTTTATAACATTTTTGAGTCTATGACCCATAAAATTGTAAGGTTATAATACTAACATTCAAAATGACATGTTTTCAAATATCTACTTGATAAACTGTTTTGCTATGTAATCTATTACTAATAAAAAATTGATTCTATAGGCATTAGATTAAGAAAAATTTCACATAAAATGTTCACTTGATTAAGAAAATTTCCAATTTTTAAATATGTAAGATATAAAGAAATTAAGCATATATAGTTTTAAGCAACTAATAATATAATTCCACATCATTTTTTTTTTTAATTTCAAATAAATGTTTCAATTACATTTTACAGGTAAATCCGACGCTATATGGAAATAATCGTTGCCGGTTTTTTGGATATTTGCATGTAAGCCGTATATACATCACGTTAAATGTTTATACTTTTGGTGATATATATGTATATTGATAACTTCATTGTTTTTATGCATTTGTGGTTATTAAAATTTGCATGGCGCGTTAATAAGTTAACAACAACAGAATTTGCATTGCCAGCCCCGCCACCAATTACATTACATGATTAGCAAACCATTTGTATCTAGCTAATAATTTCATTACGCTTTGTAATACAAGCTAATAAGTAGTAAGTACGATGAGCCGAAAGGCCCGAAACTATATGCATACGCTCGTGATACGCTCGTGATGTCTCGGTAGTTAATGCTGCTAATAACACACACTCCTGACTCTCTGAGTGTGGATGGTGGACCTTTTGAGGTTATATCTGATATTGGTTACGATTATGTGAGAAAAAACTCTCACTCTAGAAAAGGTTGGGGGTGGACTGTAATGTTTGGTGGTCCTGCTAAATTTTTTGAAAAATTAATAAAGAGATAAAATTGTGGTATCAAAATAAATAAAGAAACATACGTTATAAAACTATTGTTATGCTTTTGATCCTTAAATCTTTTGATTATACATGTTCAATTCAACATACAAGATGCTTTTATGTCAAACGCTCCAGTTGCCAAGATTAGAGATCAAACGAATCGGTTTCTAAAATCGTCTCGCAATTATTTCAGTAGTCTTGCCATCAAATGCTCTATTTAGATATTGGAGTATAGAGAACTATCCTTAATTTTCAAGACGGTTTACTAATATTGGTTTATTTCGGTTCACTTATAATTGACGGTTAACTCTAAACCTTCCGGCCGGGACACAAATTAGAAAATCAAAGCAACCGTTGGAGAAAAGAAGAAGAAACAACTTTCACCATTTTCATTTGTTCTCTTCCTCTAGAGACAAATCATCGTCCTCAAATCTCTTCACCATCGTGTTACAATGAAGCACGCGATGGTAATTGCTTGTGTAAATCGCCGGAATTCTCGTCGGCGTGGTCAACGAAGCCGACGGGACTCAGATTCTGTCGAAATCAAAGCTCGACGACATCCGATTCAGGGAATCTCAATTGGTCGACTAAAATCGTCTTGAATCTCGCTGTACCCAGTGGATCAGTAAGAAAAACTTCCCCCCGAAAAACTGACATTTATCTTTTGTGCTATCTCCATCAATTTCGATTGTAGCGGAAATCGTCGAGGTTGAGGATAATTCGAGTACCAATATGCACACCGTACGGATCCCTCCGGTGATTACAGTGAACAAATCAGCAGCATATGCTCTCTATGATCTAACTTACATTAGGGTACGAATTATTGATGATTTTTGCCAATGAAATGGGTTTGATATATAGTGTTGATTATCATGAATTAGTTCAAGACTTTAAATTTAGTCTTTTAATGTGCCTTGTAAACCTCAAGAGTACTATGTTACGACTCGAAAGTGTGAGCCTGATATTGTACAAATATGCGAGAGGCAATCATTTCTTAAATCTCTTCTTTCTGTCTGTGATCTGTTTACTGTAATTCTTTCTTGTTTTAGCAGTTTTTGTTACCGATTTATCTAATAAGCATTGGAAAGAAATCGACTTGTTTCTTGAAGAGATGTCACGAGCCTATTTTTGCGATTCTTGTATAAGGATTTGTCTTTCTTTAGATTATATTGATCATCTTACAGGTTGCGAGATGAGAACGGTAACGTTTTGGAGCAGACTCAGCCAACATGTTGTCCATGTGGACCACAGCGAAGAATGCCTTCATCGTGTGGAGATATTTTTGTACGTGCTTCTTTGGTTTAAACAGAAGATTAGGATCCTTAACTTTTTCACTTGACTTTGTTTAGTTGACAAGATGATAAAAAGGGAAGGCAAACACTGCGCATTGCCTTGGTTTTCCATGTGACTGGTACATTGATTTTCATCATTCTCTTGTTATCTCTAAGATGCAAAATATGGATTTGGACAACCATGATTTTGCACACTATCTCTTCTTGAAATCTTGACTTTGGACTAACATGGTTTCTTGATTTGTCTCCTCTAGGTGGAGTTGAAGACAGGGACTAGAGTTTCAGTATGTTTACTTCACTAATCCCTCTTTCTACTACTAGCTTTGTTCCGATTCTTTTTGCTCGCAGGAAGTGATCATTGGTCCTGAAAACAGGACAGCTACTGCAAAAGATAATTTCCTCGAGGTTAATTTCACAGGATACTTTGGTGGTTACACAAGTATTCCTTATATCTTGCAATCCCAAGAGAGGTAAAAAATGCATGCTTATACACTTGACATCTTTTTAACTTCTTCCACTCTGTAATGCTTAATGAGTTTTTTTTCCAGGGAGTTTAGGTAGAAACTAAACTAGTCAATGTGGATGCTTCTTGAGAAAGTGAGATTTACATTAGACGGTCTAGAGTGTAACAAAATCGGTGTTGGCTATGAAGCTTTCAACACCCAGCCAAACTTGTGCTCTTCACCATATTGGAGTTTGCATGCATTATCAACTATGGAACTTCCGCGAGGTTAGTACTAGCTATAAGTTACTGCGTCACTGTCTATTTTCAGGCAGATATTAATCGAATCGACCGACACCAAGTTCCTTTGTGTGGACTTGAAGGAAGATATGAGAGGATCAACACCAACACTGGTTATGTGACCGACACCAACAACCAGTTATGTTTCCTAGTTTCTTGAATCAGTACAACATTAAAAGATTTTCTTGTTTGGCTGCTTATCATGATGTCCACGTGGATAGACGGAGGACAGAGAGGCTACGAGAGAGTTGAAAAACAAACTGATAATAATGCATATATGTGACTTGAGCCTCAAGTCACATAACCACCTAGATTGTAAAATATAGTCCTAGTATCGTAACAACAAGTTACTTCGATGAAAAAAGGAAATCTAATTAATAAAATAAGAAAATGGAAAACGCGTAAACACAAAAAAAAAGGAAATAAGCATCTAGGGGTCTAAATGGTAACCGAGGAATGTTGCTGAATGCGGAATCTGGCTGAATAAAATGAAGTTTTTTTGTAGAATCTGGCTGAATAGTTTGTAATGTGAATGGTAACTGTTGAATGTTGCTGAATGCGGAATAAAAAAAAAAGTAAACTAAAACTAAAATATTTGTTTCAGATTTTTGTTCAACAATATTTTTAAACTTGTAAATTCAAATAAAAATGGTGGTATCAAACTGAATATATATATATATATATATATATATTTAACCTTTTAAATCTAAACAAAATTTCTCTTAACAAAACAACAAAATTTTATTATAATTAAATTGTTATACTCAGAAATAAAAATTGTTGTTTAATTAAACAAGTCTAGTAATACTAATCATATGAAATAATGAAAATATACAAATTGTTCCTATGAAATTTTTAAGGTTTTTCAAATTATATTTAAAATATTAAATGGAAACTATTTCTAATTTTGAAAATTATGTACAGTTATCCAAAAAATAATAATACGAATTTGAGTCATATTCTTTCAAAAAGTAAGATATTCATCCTAATTACATGTATTTTACATGCTATCTATATTGAATTACTTTAAAAAAGTATTTTGAATGTAAATTGTTTTTTATCATATTAGTATTCATATATATTGTACTATAAGTCTATAACATAGTAATCAAAAATATCCCTCTATGTATAGTTTAAATGGTAATATTATTATATGTAAGTGGATTTTCATTTCTAAAATTAACATACAGTAAATTAAATAGTAATGAAAATAGATGTAATGTCACAAAATTAAAGAAACAAAAATAAACCAATTCTGCAATTTTTGTCTTTTAGTGGCTTTTCTGTTTTTCCAGCTGAATTAACTTTAAGCTCAACTGGTAACAAAGAAAAAATATTCAGCTGGATTCTTCAGCATTCTGCAATTATGCTTACACCAGTTAGGGCCTTGACACTTCACACAATACAATACCCAGCAAAGACGTTTTATTTCTTCCGGTAACCGAAAACGCTCGACGAGACCCGAGACAGATTTATATAGTTTGCTCCAATATAACCGTTTTATTATCACTTTCTTCCCTTAATGTATTTGATTCTTAGACGACCGACCATATATAAGACCAGAGGATCAACCGTCAACTTGCATATCGGTTTCAGAGTCCCACTTGAAGGCTCCACTTGGCTGAGCAGCGTCGGCGATATCCTCCACCGTCAGCTGCGAATTCGACGTTTTCAACGGCACAATCTCATGGCCGTACTTCTTTGCGTCTCCACAGTAATCCTTTATATTGTTTCCATTTCAAAAACATTTAAAGATCGATCTATTACATAAAAGAAAAAATATGTACAATTTCATGGTGTTCGAATATAATGTACTTACTTGATCAGCATGCATTTTCCTCACCAACTTCTTGAACAGCTCGAAGTTGTTTTCTTGAAAGACCGTATCGGACAACCGAAGGTAAGTAAATCCGTACATTCTACGCTTCGGTTTACCGTCCGGGTTAACTCCGTTAGGTCTCGCGTTAAGAAGAATCTGATTGTAACCTTTGGCTCCATAAGTCTCCAATGCATTCTCACCTGCAACTTCTATGCCTTCTTTCCATGCTTTGCTCAATACCTAAATCATTGATTAGCCAAAAACAAATCAAATTAAAGACCTTTTGAATAGATTCTAGTAATCTCTTCTATTTTTTAATTATGCAGTTTAATCACCTCTTGAACAAGTTCTTGAGGAGCACTTAGGGCTTCAGCGACATTGTCAGTATCTTTCATCTCAAGGCAAGTGAAGTTGAGAATGGCATTGTGTTTTGAGAGCATCCGAGCAACTGGACGGTAACCATCTCTCTTGAAAAGGTTGTAATATCCGGCAGTTAGCTCCGCCGCGTGGCTGTGGTGGTTGTACAACCAGTGAATCCCCGACACCTACTTATTCACACATACTCAATTTAGACTCGTAAACTAGTTACCTTGCAAGACAAGTTAAGTTCAAAATCTCTTTTGGTTCGTTTAAGCATTTTTGTTTTGTTCGTTTTGGTTTTTTCTTATAACATTTATGGGTTTTTTGTCACACACTTCCATCGTAGTAATTAATACCTTGGCAGCCAAGTTAACTTTAAGGCCAGTGAAGATCTTGTTGGCTTCAGCTAAGATCTGATCTCCATGGAAGATGAGTTTGTTCGAGTACCATGTCAAGAAAAACTTTCCCTTCTCCGAGACATAGGTCCCATTTCCCTTGAAAAATTCAGTTTCCTCCGGCGTGTCGTTGTATTCTCCAGCATCCTCCGGCAATTCCCACTCAGGGTGGCCTTCCTTCGCCGCCGCTTCCTTGAAATCTTTCTTCAGGTACTTGTCATAGCACTGGGACCACGAAAACGCACCGTTTTGTTTAGTTAGGGTCAAAATCGTCATAAGACAAACAAACACGTGCCCTATAAAATTTACGTAATTAACCTGAAATTCCCCGATGCCCGGAAACACCCAGCCTTGGCTTTGCGGGTAAGAAGGGTAACGAAGTTCGCCGGCGGGACCAAGTCCGACCTCAATGTCAACAATCACGCCGGCTTCTAGCAACTCCGCCATGTTTTCTTTGAAGCTACCCATGTAATCACTGTACATCTGATGATGACGACGAAAATCGAAGTCGTTTTTGTTAATTTCAATTTTTAAACGCTAATCGGCGTTTTGTTCGGATTGACTTACCTGAACAGCGGTTCTTCCGGCGAAGAGAGGAAGATTGTCGACGCCGATCGAGAGATACTCGATGTCTCTTGTTCCTTTGCGGTTAGTGTAATAGATATCGGGATCGCTATCGCCGACATCGCGAACCCATTGCGGGATCGGGATCGTGACGACGTCGCCGACGTTTCCGCCGCATTGGTGAAACGACATGATCGCTTGGATTTTGAGTCCTAAACGCGCGATCAGCTCGAACAGCGTTTTGTAAGCGGTCCAGTCGTATTGTTTAGGACCGTTGGATTCTATGATTCCCCACCAAACATCGACCATAACGCCGTCGATTCCAGCTTCTTCTTTCAGACGCTTGAGCTGCGTTTCAAGCGTTTCTGGGTCCGCAAATACGTTTTCCACATTCACCACTCCCAACTACATTCATAACCGTTCGGTAAATCTTGAATTTAAAATTTGATAACTTTAACGTTAACTATACTCATATTATAGTCATATTCACAATTTTTGTTTTATATAACTAAACTCTGTATGGATCTAATCATCTAACGATTATAAGTTGCTAAATCCAATTAGTTTTAGAGTCTCGGATGAATCAGTTGGTTGATGATAACTTACCGGAAGCATAACATAGAACGGGACATAGTTGAGAAGAAGCTTTTCATTGTAATTCGCAGCCATTAAGATTGATTTTTTTTTTTTTTTTTTTTGAATATTGTAGTAGTAGTAGTAGTAGTTGTAGTTTATAGCCTTATAGGTGAAGCTCACTCACTCACATGCCTTCTCTTATATAGCAACATCAGATATTTTGGCTTTTATTGCATGCGACTTGCAAGTGGTTGTGAATCGTTAGATAGAAACGAGTGGTGATCTGTTTTTGGCCGTCCATTGGAGGTTGTAGAATGACTTTATTGCCCTCTGATTTGGGTGTTTTCCTCGTCGTCTTTAGTCATTTCCGAATTTCTAATGACTGGGGTTCACATATTTTGATTTCCGACATTGATTGTCTTCCTTGTGGTCGGTCTCTAGTCCTTTTCCAATAATTAGTGGGGCTCACAGATTTTGATTTCCCACGTTGTTTGTCTTTTTTTTTTTTTGAACTAACGTTGTTTGTGTTCTTCTCCGGCCTTTACTTGTCTTGTTCTCACAGCGGAGGAAACACAAATGATTCTTAATGATAATCAGCTAATCTTATATATCTGTACAAAGCTGAATATTGTTGTTATGTAAGGTCTATATGTATCTAAGAGAAAACCACATCGATTTTCATAGAAGGTGAAAATTTAATCACCGATTAATTGGTTTTTGAGTCATATGAAGAATTTTATTTTTTATTTTTTTGGCCTATTCTAATAAAGAATGGTTTTCGTTTTCTTTCTTCTCTGGTATTTTGTTAATCTACATATCTAATAAGGTTTGGACACTTTTCAGTTGGGGACACGTGGCACTTTTCTTTTTTTTTCCCTTCCAACGCTAAAATGACGTCGTTTTGCGTCTCTCCTACCTGCTTCCAAAACGACGTCGTTTTGGTTTTAGGTTAAAAATATTCACCCCGACTTAAAGGAAACGACGTCGTTTTGGGTTTATTAGAAAAACACTCTGTGTCCTCCACGTCGATCTCTCCTTGAAAACCCCAAACCGCGTCGGATTCAGTTTCAATTCGTCGTCGGCGTTGCTCAATTACAGAGGCCAATTGATCGGCGAAGCTCATATCCTGGCGAGCCGAATCGCGCCGGAGAAAACGCTGCCAATGAACCTAACGCTGACGCTTATGGCGGATCGGTTACTCTCCGAATCGCAGCTCCTCTCTGACTTCATGTCCGGCGACATCCCTCTCAACACGTTCGTGAAAGTTGCCGGAAAAGTAAGCGTCCTCAACATCTTCAAGTTTAAAGTCCAGTCGTCTTCTTCCTGCGATCTCAACATCTCTGTTTCAAATCGCAACGTCACGAGTCAACACTGTAAGTATTCATCTAAGCTTTGATCTTCCTTCTTGAGAAAGAATCTCTCGACTTTGCTTTGGGTTTGTTTATTTTCTTTACGGGATCGAGAAATTATAGCTCAGCCTAATTTCTGATGATTTGGTTTCTACTTTCAGGTTTCTGTTCTTCATAATTTGACAGGGTCAAGATGAAGAGCGAAATGCCTGCATCAGTTACTTATGGACTCTACTCCGACCAGGAATCGAGTCATAGATGGATGATATTCATTCCCCTTAATGGAGCTTCGACATTTGGCAGAAGCTGAGAAAGCTGCCAGGAAAGGCTATGAGATCAACAGAAACGACTCTTGGGCTCATCACTGCGTGAGTTTCAATCTTTTATGTTACCTGCTGATATGTCCTGTTATACGTATGCAAGCTTTCATTTCTCATCTGTTTCTTTGAGGCAGTTGTGTCATGTTCTTCAAACACAATGTCGTTTCAAGGAAGCAGTAGAGTTCATGGAAGGCAAAATACATATGACAGGAAATTTAATCAAAAGTCTACTGCTGCTATTGTTAGATACTCATTTATGTTGTTTGCATGTTATGTCATACTAAGCCAAATCCGAGTTCTGACTTACGAAGTTTAGGTTTTCTATATTCTATTTCCTCAAGTACTCAGTCTACAAGCACTGGGAGCATGGCTTGACGTTGATGTGTCGGGTTTCTCTTGCATGGGTGGATATACTGGGAATATAATGAAGTTAAGACCTGGTTGTCCCGGCTCCTAAACTCCAAAACGTACGCAGGTCCGTAACTCATTTCATTTGTTCCAAATATTCGTATGACTCTAGCCTTCATATAGTCTAGGAAATGGAATCAAGTCCTTTTCAGAAAATGCTATCCTCTTGTATTTCTACCATATCACTTGTGGTTTGTTCAGAAAGAAAGAAAAGGTCTAAAACTCGATTGAGTAAAAGTATGCTGTTTTGATATGTTCTTCACTATCATGATAAATTTGATAATTTATGTAACTTTTGGTTAGAGATTAGTCAGAAAGGTTTTTGATTTCACTAAAAGATATCTGCCTGCTTTTATTATTCTCTTCTTAAAATTGGAGTTGTGAGTGGTGGCAAATGAATGGTTCGTTTCTCCACCTCTAGGAAGCAATGCGTTTCTTCAGATTAATTTCTACATTGAGCTAAATTTGTGGGGTTTCTGCATTTAAAGTGTTTGAGCTGATCATAGGCTAAATATTAAGTGTTCATGAAGATAATGAATCTAAATATCATCCATAGTTTAGCTTTGTCTAGAACCAGACCTTCTACAATGTTCATTGCTAACAAGTAATTGATGTTCAGTCATTTTGCTAACTGACTGAACTAAGATAAAAGAGTCAAGATGACGAGATTCCATTTTTTTCATAGATTGTGTTATTACTTTGCAACTGTAACTGCTCTTATTCACTATTTAACATTGTACGCTTTGGAAATTTTGCAGGTTGCAGCATATTTGATTGGGTTTTCAAGCTTTTAGAGTTTATTTGATGTTGAACCTATGGAAAAGAGGAATTGGCAAATCGATTTGTAGACCATTCTCATGGTTTAGACTTTACAGTATCACTCCAGCTCCAGATGTAGCGTTCAGTATAGAAGATATACTACTATCGTTTTGAAACACAAATCGATTTCTGCAGTAATTGTTTCCTGCAACTTCCCTAGCTTTTTCATTTTATTTGCAAGAGATGATGTTAATAAAGTTATATTTATATTTTTATATTCTACATATGAACGGACGAAACTTGTGGAAGAGAAGAGAACATGTAAGAGAAGAGAACACCTCTAAACGAATCTCCCCCGATGAATTCATGCTCTTTAAAGTTTTTACAAAGTCGTTCTTCTGAGTCATTGCTCAGGTTGTATTCAGTTAATAAAATTTTACTTTCTCTGTTAGTTTCACTATTTAGTTTATCTTTCCTTTACGACTTTTGTCCCCAGAGTGTCTTTCTGCAGATAGTTATTACTTATTAGTTTAGACAATAATCTTCTCGTGTTTTAACCTAACCCATGTACCATTCAATATAGCGGAATCCATTCTATAGACAGACATTTATGGTAAAAAAAACCGTTGATGAGACACAAATCATGCCTGCAAGTGTCAGTTAATTGTGTAATTAAACACAAACCACTTACAAAATGATCTACAAAACTTACAACATATAAAATACAAAATTCACCCGCGCATTGCGCGGGTTCACACCTAGTATTTCATAATAGGATTACAAAGCCGGTTAAAAGAAATGACACCGGAGTCAAAAGTTCAAAAGAGGGAAAGCACAAAGCATTAAAATCGTCACTGAAGAGTTTGGTGCTGAGATCTTAAAGTTGTTGACCGATAACATTCAACAGACCTGGATCCTTCATTTTCATGATAAATTAAGGAAGAGCTAAAATATTGGACAGTTTTAGTGTTAAGACCTATAAGAAATCCCCAAAAAAAGAAAAATCATATAAATGAATTTATGACCTATCTAATATATTATTTGCGAAGTGAAAATTTCGTTTAGAGGCACCACATTCAATCTCAGCTGGTTGATTACCCACATACCCTTAATGAAAATATATATTAAATATTTTAATTATCAATTTTGATTTTACATTTTTTTAATAAAAAAAGAAACCTTAAAAATCAATACTTCCTCCGTTTCAAATTAGTTGTCGTTTTGGCAAAATGTATCTGCAAATATTTGGACGTATCTGCAATGCAAAACACGTCCAGATACATCCAAATATTTGCAGATACATTTTGCCAAAACGACAACTAATTTGAAACGGAGGGAGTAATATTTTTTATTTCCAAATTTTTCACCTTCCATATTTATCTATAGAAACCAGCCTAAATTACTGTCGGCTAACAGAAAACCCTAATGACATGCCTATAAAAGTTGTTTGTTATTGTTTCTTAGCTATGGTGTTTCATCGTATCCATACAGGCTATATTCAATTGCTTTTCTTTCAGTATGTTTTCAATGGTTTTCTTACTGTGTGCTCGGACCACCTCCTCCCGAGCTCTTCTTTGTTAAGAGTATTAGTTTTAGTTTTTCATGGCAATTGATAGATAGAAATATGATTGAAGCTGGAACCGTCAAATATGTCAAAATATGTCAAGGGCTTCAGGAGAGTATTGAACTTATGTTCTTTTTAACATACAGTTTTCAGGATTGAAAGTGAATAAGGTATTAAGATATTGAAATCATACCAAGAGTAGAGGTTGAGTTGCCTCCATCAACGAATGGCTATGAAGGAGTCTTCTATAGTTACTTTAGTATAGGTATTGATTATAAGCCATGGCTTTGTTTCCTTCTGAATCATGAAACTCTATCATAATCCCATGAACATGGTTTGTTGCATACTAACAATATTTATTTTATTTTTACGAAGCTAAGCAGTAGTGTGCATATTATATTCATTGACATACCAAAAAACGTTTTCTATGATGGATTACGACTTTGCACATGGTAGAAGTTAGTTTTTTACTCTTTTTGTTTACTTTGAGAATCAACATAGATAATACATAAAAATTAGTTTTTGTTTTGTTTGTGATGAATTGCATCGCAGTGAAAAAAGAAAGTATTGTCGTCGAGACAATATTCACAACATGGACGATGCAACAACGTTTGCTACTTTGCTCAGTCGATTGTACAATTGCCAGTTTTGTTTGGGATTTGCATATTAACTATCCTGAATGTAATCGTTTGAATGTGGGATTTATGATGGTCTTAGTCTGATGACGTGGAGAGAAATATGTTTCCATGATTTTATATTTTGATCGATGGATGACAAGGTATCCAAACAAAGAAAAAGAGTGATTTCAATGGCTTTCCGTTTTTGTGTTGATATCAGTATTTCTGTTTAAATTGATCAATTCAGGTTAGCCTTTTAATATATTTTTTAAAAGATGGTTATGAGTTTCGAGTTTGAATTGAAAACAGGGGATGAACAAGGATCATACATACGGATCAAAACGGCGATGGAGTATCTAGGTGTTTACGAGAAATTGTGGTGCGATGGAGCAGTCACAACGAGACGGGTAGAACCCGAGTGTTTTTTTGCCATATTTCTAATTTGATGACAATGATCTTTTGCTTTATTTCTCGAGTGGTTTAGGATCTACGGTGCCATGGTGGAATCCGGCAGTGGAAGAGCAAGCACTTCTTTTGAAAATCATTTTTTCACTACCTAAATTGGATTTGATATAATGCAGGTTGTAACCTTAGTGTCAATATACAGATTTAAATCTGGTGATAAAGATCAGACCCAAGTCAGTACAGTAGATGACGAGCAAGGATCGTATAGACCTCCGTGAATAGCGAAAACTCGAATGTCTTTAAATCTTCAATGGACATGGGAGACACAATAGATCTATTACACGTCAGATGCAACTACATGGGTTACATTCATCATATTCTAAGTAAGTGTACCTTGGAACAATTTTTAAGTTCTCTGCATAAGTTTCTTCATATCTGAACATGCTTTTTGGTTTGCAGACTTTCGTAGGATCTGTATTGCTTGCAAATGGTGTGTTTTGGTTCATGTACATATTTTTATGTTTTTCATCTTTCTTCTACTTCATTTTATTTTCCCCGGTTTTTGGAGATGTGAAACAGTACCAAACTTGATAAAATCTCTCAGTTTTCTTCTCAAAATATATACATGAAAAGACACCAATGCTATTACTCTAACTGAATGCAAACTAAATGGTCAGTATCATATCCCTTAACTCCTTCCTTTTCTTTTGTCTCACATTAATCTTTTCACCATTAAGAGCACACACTGGTCTTCCTCGGCCTGTATTCTTAAGAATTTCGTTTTGAACCACCACGTTCGCTCTCAGATGCGAAATTACAAAATTAACCTTAATGAAAATCTAGATAACAATAGCAAAACACATTTAAAGTTTATAAATCAAATTTTTATACATTTTTGGTATATGAGCAACCAACAGAGGTCAATGGTGTTTGCCATAATATTGGATGTGAGATTAATGAGTTCAGATTCGGTTTTAAAGGTTTGAATAATATTTGTTTTATGTTTTTTTTTATAAGAGATTTATATATGAATGATTCTATGTTTAATAGAGATTCATTTATGTTGAAAAAAATTCAAGAACATCCCTCTTAAAATAGCATAAACATTGCGTAACAACAACAATTTCACCAAATTAAATAGCAAAACAAATAAATTGTTTAGTCTTTTTCTAAAATAATAACATTGTGATATCAAACAAAACTTTGTACAACAATAACAATTACACCAAAACTAAGTTAAAAATATTTATTTCAAATCGAAAATCGTTGTCTACTATGTGGTTATGGTGTTATGGATGGGGGGTTTTAGGGTTAGAGTTTCAAATGTAGTGTTTATATTGGTGGGTGTAGGGTTTAGTTTTTTGTGCGTTTTTAAAAATCTTTTGTTCTTCAAAATTCGAATGAAAAAAGAACTACTTTGTTCTTGAAAATTCTAAGGAAAAGGGAAATAGCAAAACAACTAAATACTTTATTCTTTGATCAAATCATAACGATAAAATAATAACATTGCGTATTCTTAAAATATCATATGATTTTTGTACAACAACAACAATTACACCAAATTAAGGTAAAAATAATAATTTATATTGAAAAGAGTTATCTATTATGTGGTTATGACGTACTGTATGGATGGGGGGGTGTTTACGATGTATGGTGTGTATTAAATGCAACTGTAAAAAAAGTAACAAAAATGTATGAGGAGATGAAGAAGAAGAAATATGAGACTATGAGAAAAAATAAATAAAAGAAAATAAAGAGAAAGGCGAAACTAATAAATAAGATGTTGCAGAAAATAAAAAGATTGATGATACAAAATGATGAAGAATATAAGACGGAATTAGAAGAAACACCTGAATAAAAATAAGGAATGAATGAAAGTTGGAAGACGAATATGGAAAAAACAAATCAAATAAAACAAAAGAATAAAAGAATCGAAGAATACGTGAAAAATAAAGAAGTTGGAAAAATACAAAGATTAAAAAATGAAGAAAAAAACACAAAGCCAATTGAAAAAGAAATTGTAAATAAAAGGAAGAAAATGAATAAAAACCAGGAAATAAAAAGATGACGATGAAGAGAGAGGAAAAGAAAAAGAGCATAGAAAATTTGATAAGAATCAGAAAACTGGGTAGAAAATGAGGGAGAAAATATGAAAGAAGTAAAAGACAAAGTAAAAGAAGAAGAATATAAAATGGGGTTGGGTTTACGATGTACAGTTTATATTGATGAGCGTAAGATTTAGGTTTTGGTGCATTTAATTTTTTTTTTTTATATACTACATTACCGATTAAAAACCAAAAAAACTTCTTTTAAGAAAAAAAAAAAAAGCAAAGTCAAAACCAATTTGTAAAATGTAGGGTTTGGTGTGCGGTTTGGGGGGGAGGGGGAGGTGTCATAACGTGGGATTTGGGTTTAGGGTGTAAGGTTGTTTAGGGGGGGGATGGTGTTACACTGTGGGGTTTGGGTTTAGGGTGTAGGGTTGTTTAGGGGGGGTGGTGTTACGATGTGGGGTTTGGGTTTAGAGTGTAGGGTTGTTTAAGGGGGTGGTGTTACACTGTGGGGGTTGAGTTTAGGGTGTAGGGTTGTTAAGGGGGTGGTGTTACACTGTGAAGTTTTGGTTTAGGGTGCAGGGTTAAAATTGATGGGTGTAGAGTTTAGTTTGTGGTGCATTTTAAAAAAAAAATTGAATTATTTTGGAAGTATTTTATTATTAAAAGTTATTGATTATAAATTTATATCTACCTTTCTAAATTACATTCACAAATAGAGAAAACTACAACAATTAAAACAAATCTAATATTGAAATATAACAAAACCAATAGATTTTTAAAAAATCTCGACTATATAAAGATAAAAATTATTGCACAAATCCTTATAAATCTAAAATATCGAATAAATTGATATGTGAAATATAAGACATATATAGATAAGAACGAACAAAAAAAAGAGTAAAAGAAAAGAAGAGTAGTGAAAAGAAGATGGAAAATTTGGAGAAGATAAAGAAAACTCAAATATGAGGAAATATAAATCAAAGAAAAAAATAGAATGTGAAGAGAAAAAAAAAAGATAAATAAAAGATAAATAAAATCTAGACTAATATGATGTTAGAGAAGCTAAAGATTATAAAGAATGAAAGAGGGGGAATGAGGAAGAAGAAAAACTGGAAAAAATGTAAAGAAATTTAGAAAGTAAAAGAAGAATAGTGAGTTGAAGGATATGAAAACACAAGAAAAGACTGAAGAACAAAAATTGGAAGAAGAAGAAAAAGATGATGAGAACAAATATAAAAATTGAAAGAAAAAAATAAGATGAGATAGTTGGAGAAAAATAAGACCAAGAAGAAAACAAGAAGTGAGAAATCTTTTTATCTCTTAACGTGAATGAAGAAGATTACGTAGAAGAATTTGAAAGAGAAGACGAAAACAAGACACATCAAGATTACAAAAATAAGAAGTCGGCGAATACAAAAACGATGAATAGAATAAAAAATTCATTAATTATGTTATTAAAATCTTTAACTAATTAATGTGTTTAAAAAATATTGTATCCGCACAAGGTGTAGGACAACCACCTAGTTACATATTGTTCTTTGTTGAAAAATTGATCAGAACCGAACCTGTCACTGTGAGAGGATCTTTTGTGTTTTGTCATAAGAAGAAAAAAGGCCAAAAAAAATAAAAATAAAATGGTCAGATCCAATTTTTATTCGTCGTATTCCACCAATAGCTTGGGTCTGGGCCTAGGCCCAGTTAATACATTTCTATAGTATACGATAACTCTAACCAAAACTATAAACTATTTGAAAATTATGTCGCGTCACGAATTTTCATAATGTCGCGTCTCGCGAGTAACTGGGAAACGCGCGTCTTCCGATGATACGATTGTTCCTTTAACAAATTGCAATGCAAGCTTTGGCTTCTTTTTTTTTTTCTCCATAATTTTCTGACATGAAATCCTATATTTTGATCTTCTCAAGGGACGTGATGTTGAAGAAAAACTCCATGTGGCTTTTTCGCCATTCCACTCTCTTACGTTCGTGTCCCTCACTAGTCACTACAGATTTGATTCGATTTGCCAAATTATCACCACTTGAGAAAAATCTCTGGATCCTCACTAAGTCTTATCAATCATCATTCAACATAATCGTCGACAAAGTGTTCGATGGAATGCCTCAGAGAAACCCAATGAGTTTTGTGGAAGTATGAATACTCCGAATCTGTTCCCACATTTTGTGAATAAATTAATTCCCGACATTGTTTAATGAGCTGACTTTTGTTGAAAAGATTTGTTCTTTTGATTACTTTAATCATCAGATTTGTTAATTATCTTGTACAGTTTCTTCTACTTTCTCTGTGCAAGACCGGATTCTTTGGAATGTGATCACGTGGAGCTCGCGTGACATTAATCTATGCGTAAGTGTGCTAAAGTTTTATAAATACACCAAATCTTGACTTCCATAGCTTCAATCTTCATGTGATATATATATTTTTTGGCCTCTTCTTTGGCTTTTTTTCTTTACCTGACAATGGCTCAAACAGGTGAAGATGAAGACAAGAAAAACTCTCTCCAATATGACGACAAGGAGCTTAGGTCTCAGTGGGCTACAGTTGAGAGATTACCAACTTATAAAAGGATCACTACTGTTCTGTTTCAGACAAGTGATGATAAAGGGAGAGTCACTGATGTCACTAAACTTGGCGCTGACGAAAGACACTTGTTGATCGAAAAGCTTGTCAAGCAAATCGAGGAAGATAACCTCCATTTACTCAGAAAAATCAAGAAGAGAATCGACGAGTAAAGCCTCTATACATTCCATGTCTTAATGTCTCTCTGTTTGTAACCTTTTAAATTAATACGTTTGTAACAACATGTGATTGTAGAGTTGGTATAGAGTTACCAAAGGTGGAAGTGAGGTTTCATGACCTCTCTGTTGATGCGGAATGCGAAGTAGTTCAGGGAAGACCTATCCCAACTCTTTGGAATACTATCAGAGGGATATTCTCTGTAAGTACCATCAAATGTATATGTATATTTGCTACTTTGGCTTTTTCCTTAAACCCTTGTTAAATCTTGATGGTTGTTGTTGTTGCAGGAGCTCTTTTGTTCAAAGAAGGAAACTAAGATAAGCATCTTGAAAGGCGTGAGCGGTATCGTAAAGCCTGGAAGGTAAATTTGTTCAAGAGGCAATTCTTGTTCTTGTGAATTCAAAAAGATGTATTTATATTGGTTTTGCTTGCAGAATGACATTGTTGCTTGGTCCTCCTGGTTGTGGCAAAACAACTCTGCTACAAGCACTTTCTGGAAGACTTGCCCCTTCTGTAAAGGTTTGATGACCAAAGAAGTGAAAAGATAAGCGTAGCATTAAATAGTATATTAGAGAGATCACAAGGGTTTTTTTTTTTTTTTTTTACTATACAGGTTGGAGGAGAAATAAGTTACAATGGTTGCTTACTTTCAGAGTTTATTCCAGAGAAAACGTCGAGTTATGTAAGTCAAAACGATCTGCATATTCCAGAGATGGGTGTGAGAGAGACGCTAGACTTCTCTGCTTGTTGCCAAGGCATAGGAAGCCGTATGGGTGAGGAGACTAAGATCTTGTGATAATAATTCATTCGAAAGTTGGAGAAAACTTTTTTTATGTATTAAACTCGGTTGATCACATAACAAGAAATGGTTTTATTCAACAGAAATTATGAAGGAGATCAGTAGAAGGGAGAAACTCCAAGAAATTGTTCCAGATCCTGTTATAGATGCTTACATGAAGGTAGCTAAACTTCTGCTAAGTTTTGTTGACTTTTAGTCAACTATAATTGTTCACTAGTGTTGATACTAACAGCTTGGTCAGCAAAAGTTGGAGATTTTAAAACGTTAGAAGTCTCACTTTTGTCCTTCACGTAATTGCTTTGACAGGCAATATCAGTTGAAGGTTTGAAAAACAATATGCAAACTGACTATATCCTTAAGGTATGCATGCTGCTTCCTCAAGGATATAATATTGATTGTAATCTCCTGATCATTTCTCTGTTTGATACATTTAATATTGATTTTACGAATCGATCTTTCAGATTCTAGGACTCGATATCTGTGCAGATACACGAGTTGGAGATGCCACAAGACCTGGAATATCTGGTGGCCAAAAGAGGAGGTTGACAACGGGTACTGTCACTTTCTCAAGTTTCTTACAGCCATTAACGGTCGTTTCTGAGCAGAGCATTTTAAAATATGGATGTCGATTGCTCTAGGTGAAATCGTTGTCGGTCCAGCTACAACTCTGTTTATGGATGAAATATCGAATGGTTTAGACAGCTCAACTACGTTCCAGATAGTATCATGTCTCCAACAGCTGTCGCATATAGCTGAAGCCACCATATTGATTTCACTTCTTCAACCTTCACCAGAAACTTTTGAGCTTTTCGACGATGTGATTCTTATGGGAGAAGGAAAGATCATATACCATGCTCCACGAGCTGATATCTGCAGTTTCTTTGAAGATTGTGGATTCAAATGTCCAGAGAGGAAAGGTGTTGCTGACTTCCTCCAAGAGGTAAAAAAATTGACAATTTGTTTTTGCTTTCTATCTATTTGGCAAAATCTTATCATTTACATGCTTCTGCAACAGGTTATGTCTAGAAAAGATCAAGAACAATATTGGTGTCACAGAGACAAGCCTTACAGTTACATATCTGTTGATTCATTCATCAAGAAGTTTAAAGAATCAAATCTTGGGTTACTTGTGAAACAAGAACTCTCCAAGCCGTTTGATAAGTCTCAGACTCGCAAGAACGGTTTATGTTTTAGCAAATATTCGCTAAGTAAATGGGAGATGCTTAAAGCTTGCTCAAGAAGAGAGTTTCTTTTAATGAAACGTAACTCTTTCATTTACTTGTTCAAATCTGGGCTCTTAGTTTTCAACGCGTTAGTCACAATGACCGTTTTTCTACAAGCCGGAGCCATGACAGATGCTCGTCATGGGAACTATCTTATGGGTTCTCTGTTCACTGCTCTGTTTAGACTTCTTGCTGATGGACTTCCAGAGCTCACTTTGACTCTCTCAAGATTAGGAGTGTTCTGCAAACAGAAAGATTTGTACTTTTACCCTGCTTGGGCTTACGCAGTACCTTCGATTATCTTGAAGATACCTCTTTCGGTATTTGATTCGTTTCTTTGGACATTACTGACATATTATGTCATTGGTTACAGCCCCGAGGTCGGAAGGTAAATAACTTTTTTCTTTTCTTGACAAGATAGAAATCCAAATTCAGTTGAATAAAACTGATGCTTGACGGTTAAGTGTTTACTTTCCTTCCAGGTTCTTTCGGCAGTTCCTTATCTTGTTTACATTCAACATTTCGTGTGTATCAATGTTTCGCGCTATAGCCGCAATCTGTCGCACATATGTTGCTTCCTCGATCTCGGGAGCTATTGCCGTATTGGTTCTCTCATCATTTGGAGGCTTTGTTATACCAAAATGTAAGTCGTAGTGTTGACTATAATGTACTTGTGCAGGATTAGTTTTACTAATGCTCTATCTTTCAGCGTCCATGCCTGCTTGGCTAGAATGGGGATTTTGGATTTCTCCATTGTCATATGCTGAGATTGGTCTAACTGCGAATGAATTTTTTGCTCCACGGTGGAGAAAGGTAATGAGTTCTTGACAAGACTCTCACATTTTCTTCTAGCAACTCTTATTTGGCTCATCTTCTTTATCTTTTCCAATAGGTAATCTCTGGTAACACTACCGCTGGTGAACAAGTGTTAGATGTCCGTGGATTGAATTTCGGTAGACACTCTTACTGGATAGCTTTTGGAGCTTTAATTGGGTTTATATTCTTCTTCAATGCACTCTACGCATTGGCCTTGACATATCTGAATAGTAAGTTCACCATCAAATGAACATATTAAATTGTTAATTCAATCTGTAATCTTGACAAGATTACCTCTGTATGTTAAGATCCACAAAGACCTCGTGCTATTGTCTCTCAAGAGAAGCACTCTCAGCTCTCAGATGAAGATTTTAAACCTTGTCCTGAAATTACGTCCCGAGCTAAAACAGGTATCTCTTTCTTCATCATCTAGTCTCCATCCTTGTGATAAGATAATCTTCTCAATATCTTTTGGTATATTTTCATAGGAAAAATTATCCTACCTTTCAAGCCTCTTACTGTCACATTTCAAAACGTGCAGTATCATATTGAGACTCCTCAAGTAAGTATGATACGTAAATTCTCAAAACAGAACACTAGTTTAAACATTTGACTCACGTTCCTCTCATTAGGGAAAGAAGCGGCAGCTTCTGTCTGACATCACAGGCGCATTGAAGCCCGGAGTTCTCACATCTCTCATGGGTGTAAGTGGAGCAGGGAAAACGACGCTTCTTGATGTTCTTTCGGGAAGGAAAACCCGAGGTTTCGTCGAAGGAGAGATTCGAGTAGGCGGTTATCCTAAAGTTCAAGAAACGTTTGCAAGAGTATCTGGTTACTGTGAACAGTTTGATATTCATTCTCCCAACATAACAGTGGAAGAGTCTTTGAAATACTCTGCTTGGCTTCGACTTCCCTATAACATCGATTCAAAGACCAAGAACGTAAGTAACAATCACACTACTTAAAAAAAGAATTTACAAGAAGACCATTTTAGTCTTGACTATACTCTGGATCTGGCTTTCAGGAGCTCGTCAGTGAAGTTCTTGAGACAGTAGAGCTTGAGGATATTAAAGACTCAATGGTGGGACTTCCTGGAATTAGCGGTTTATCCACGGAACAACGCAAGAGGCTGACTATAGCTGTGGAGCTTGTCGCTAACCCTTCCATCATATTTATGGATGAGCCTACAACAGGACTAGATGCAAGAGCCGCCGCCATTGTTATGAGAGCTGTGAAAAACGTTGCTGAAACTGGGAGAACGGTTGTTTGCACGATCCATCAGCCGAGCATAGATATCTTTGAGTCGTTTGATGAGGTTAAAGCGGCTGAAAACGTTTGATTTTTAACCACGTAATCTAAACTTTGATGCCCCTAACAGCTTCTTCTTCCTTTACTTTGCAGCTGATCTTGATGAAAAATGGAGGACAACTTGTCTACTATGGTCCTCTTGGACAACATTCAAGTAAAGTTATCGAATACTTTGAGGTCAGTTTCTCTACAACACTAGACTGGTTTCATCTCCACAAAAATAAACTTATAGAGAACTTTCTGTGTGAACAGAGCATTCCTGGAGTTCCAAAGATCCAAAAGAATTGCAATCCAGCCACTTGGATGTTAGACATCACTTGTAAATCTGCAGAGGACAAACTTGGAATTGATTTTGCACAAGTATACAAGGATTCAACACTGTATAAGTGAGTCTTTATGCAATCCTTTTCCATGTGTGCATAATCAAATATTGTTCTCATTACTGGTTTATTCAATCTTTTTTTTCATACAGGGAGAACAAAATGGTGGTTGAGCAACTGAGTGCTGCGTCTCCAGGATCAGAACCTTTGAGCTTTCCTTCGCGGTTCTCGCAAACGGGTTGGGAACAACTAAAGACTTGCCTTTGGAAACAACACTGCTCGTATTGGAGAAACCCTTCACACAATCTCACTCGCATAGTTTTCATATTTCTCAGCTCTACGTTATGTGGCGTTCTCTTCTGGCAAAAAGCTAAAGACATGTAAGTCTCTATCAACACCACAAAACATTTAACAGATACAAGAGAAACTCTATGTTAAACCAATCTAACAAGTATCCATTTACTTTTGCAGAAATAATCAGCAAGATCTTTTCAGCATATTTGGCTCAATGTACACTCTAGTAATCTTCTCTGGGATAAACAACTGTGCAACAGTGATGAACTTCATTGCAACTGAACGAAATGTTTTCTACCGTGAAAGATTTGCTCGGATGTACTCGTCGTGGGCGTACTCATTGTCTCAGGTTAGATTTTGTTTCCATGCCTAATAGATGCCAAATTTATCTCTGCATGATTCTCTTCATATGTAATGTGTTACCTTTTGCAGATTCTTGTTGAGGTTCCATACTCACTACTCCAGGCTCTTCTATGTACGATAATCGTATATCCGATGATCGGCTACCAAATGTCGGTCTTCAAAATGTTTTGGAGCTTGTACAGCATCTTCTGCTCCTTGCTCATTTTTAACTACTGTGGGATGCTTATGGTTGCTTTGATGCCTAACATTCACATGGCACTGACTCTACGCTCTTCTTTTTTCTCCATGGTTAATCTGTTTGCTGGCTTTGTCATTCCAAAACAAGTAAGCTCTCTTCTCTATGTCTCTGCCGTTTTTACATATATTCAAGATCCTATCCGAAGTTTATGACCCATGAACATGAAAAATTGTTATATTTTTATGCAGAAAATCCCAAAATGGTGGATATGGATGTATTACCTGAGCCCGACATCATGGGTGTTGGAAGGATTACTGAGTTCGCAGTACGGAGATGTAGAGAAAGAGATCATAGTGTTTGGAGAGAAGAAGAGTGTTTCAGCTTTCTTGGAGGATTACTTTGGTTACAAACATGAGTCAATGGCTCTTGTAGCCTTTGTTCTCATCGCTTTTCCCGTCACCGTAGCCTCTCTTTTTGCCTTCTTCATGAGCAAACTCAATTTCCAAAAGAAATAGTTTCTTTGTTTTGTAAATCATATATAGCAGTTTTATCTAATGTGTACTTCAACTAGAGTCCATTGGTTTTTCTTTCTCACCATCAAAAAGACCACGTGAGGAAAAGGGTCAAAGGGAAAAGAAAATCATTTTTGATGAATATTATACTCTCTCTGTTTCATGATAAATGTCTTTTTGACAAAATGAATCTGGACTATTTAATGATGTATCGATGTGTTTTGAGTCTTAATACATCCATTAATATCTAGATACATTGGGTAAGTGAAGAGTCAAAACGACACATGAAACAGAGGGAGTAATATGCAGTGCATAATCAAGGATGGACGAAATGGTTGAATAAGATCAAATAAGATCTTGATCTTGATCTCAGTTAATCTTAAAATTTTTTCTTATGAAAATCATCGTGGTTGAATAAGATCAAATATGGATATACTTGGCACAGATTTCATAATAGAAATCATTAAAATAATATACATCCAACCATTATATTTGTTGGGATTCACGTCCAAGAATATATGTATGTGGTATGGTAGCAAAAACAGAGTTTTGACTTTTATCTGTATCCAGCTAGACTAGTCAACTACAGCCTACCGGATTGAATGGCTTTCCTTGCTAATTTGTTTCACACGCAAAGCATTTTTAGGGTTTGGACTCTTTTATACAATTGGTAAAAGCAGACAAAGAAAGAATGAAAGAACTGCACTGTAATTTGCAGAATCGGTTTCAGGCGTTAAAGTCGACTTTTTCTTACAGATCAGGAAAGTTCTTCACAGGCGGCTTATGTTTCGTTTGTTTTGGTCAAAACTCAAAAGTGTTGAAATGTGGTTCGTAGGCATCAATAATTGTTTAGCATTCAACGTTTGAACCAGTTGTTTATTATATTTTTTTTCTGTTTTTGTTTGTTTGTCCAGTTGCTTCCCATACGTGTAGGCACTATACGCATTAAAGACCTCTTCTGACTTCTATATATCCTCATCGAGAAGCCCACATGGTTTTTTTTTTTATCTTTATTTGTTTTGAAAGCAGCCTATACTTTTCTCTAACTGGTTTTGTAAAAGTAGAATGCATCAAACAGGTGGAGATGTTGATGATGGTGAAGAGCTTCAGTCTCAGTGGGCTGCTATTGAGAGACTACCAACGTTTGAGAGGATCACTACTGCTTTGTTCTGTGAAAGAGATGAAGAAGGGAAGAGAAGTGAGAGACGACGACAAGTCATGGATGTTTCTAAACTTGAGGATCTTGATAGACGCCTCTTCATCGATAAGCTTATCAAACATGTTGAGAATGACAATCTCAAACTATTGCAGAAAATAAAGAAGAGGATTGACGAGTAAGTCACACGCTACAAGATTCTGTTTTTATTTTTTAGCTCTGTTTCTGTTCCTTGATCCAAAAGATAACATTCTTTGTTTAGGGTTGGGATTGAGTTACCAAAGATTGAAGTGAGGTTTAGTGATCTTTTTGTGGAAGCAGAGTGTGAGGTAGTTTATGGGAAGCCTATCCCAACTCTTTGGAATGCTATTGCAAGAAAATTATCTGTAAGTTCTTACTATAAATAGCTATGAATTTCTTTCTCTTTTCAGTTGTTTCTGAATTTGAATCCTTATAATGTTTTCTTTTTCACAGATATTTATGTGTTCAAAGCAAGAAAAGAAGATAGGCATCTTGAAAGGCGTCAGTGGAATCATAAGGCCTAAAAGGTAGATTTCTTGAAAGCATAAACTTCATAATCATTTTGTGCTCTTTTTTGAAGAAGATAGAAATGTTTTTTTTTTCTTTATCTCGCAGAATGACATTGTTGCTTGGTCCTCCCGGTTGTGGTAAAACCACACTACTACTGGCACTATCTGGAAGACTCAACCCTTCTTTAAAGGTTTGGCCAAAGAATAAATTGTTAAAAACGCTTAAAATGTTGTTCAAGAATCATATGGATTACTTCCTTTTTTACAGACTAGAGGTGAAATAAGTTACAACGGTCACTTATTATCAGATTTTGTTTCTGAGAAAACATCAAGTTATGTAAGTCAAAACGATCTTCACATTCCAGAGCTTAGTGTAAGAGAGACACTCGATTTTTCTGGATGTTTTCAAGGCTCTGGAAGTCGTTTAGGTAAGGATCATCATAACCCTTATGTTTCCTCTTTCTGAAATTTTGATTGACCTTTAAAACCACTGTTTGTATACTCAACAGAAATGATGAAAGAGATTAGTACAATGGAGAAACTTAAAGGAATAGTTCCAGATCCTGATATAGATGCATACATGAAGGTATATAAACTACTCTGAATTCAACTTAATTTGATTAAAGAAAAAGTATCTCAAAAACATTCAAATTTGACAGGCAGCTTCAATTCAAGGCTCAAAAACTAATCTGCAAACAGACTATATTCTAAAGGTAAATGATGCTTTCAGAATAATTCTGTTCTTAATTATCAGAAGTTGATCACTTATGCATCTGTTTTCACAGATCCTAGGACTCAATATCTGTGCAGAGACACTCATTGGAGATGCTTCAAGACCAGGAATATCCGGTGGCCAAAAGAGAAGATTAACTACAGGTACTTTTGTAACTTCCACATTATGGTTTTATGATGGATCTTTCATACAAAATATATATCTACAGGGGAGATGATTGTAGGTCCAATCAAAACTCTGTTCATGGATGAGATATCAAATGGTTTAGACAGCTCAACTACATTTCAGATTCTATCATGTCTACAACATTTTTCACTTCTATCTGAAGGAACCATACTGGTTTCACTACTTCAACCTGCACCAGAAACATTTGAGCTTTTCGACGATGTGATTCTTATGGGAGAAGGGAAGATAATCTATCATGGTCCGCGTGATTCTGTTTGTAGATTCTTTGAGGATTGTGGATTTAGATGTCCAAATAGGAAATCTGTAGCTGAGTTCCTTCAAGAGGTAATGAATATGAATATGATAGTTATGATATCTTGTGGTAGACTTAAAATCTTGATGACCATCTCACAGTAGTCTTGTGTGCTTCAGGTTATCTCAAGGAAAGATCAAGAACAGTATTGGTTTCATAGAGACATACCATATTGTTATGTCTCCATTGATACATTTGTGGAGAGATTCAAAAAGTCTGGTGTTGGATTACAACTAGAAGAAGAAGTCTCTAAGAGCTATGAGAAGTCTCAGGCTCAAAAAGATGGCTTATGCTTTAGAAAATACTCACTTAGTAAATGGGAGATGCTTGAAGCTTGCTCAAGAAGAGAGTTTCTTCTGATGAAACGAAACTCTTTCGTTTACGTATTCAAATCTGGACTCGTAAGTTTTTTATTCTTTTTCAAAATTTCCAAGAAGATCAAGAACTTGTTTATCTAATCCCATTTTTTATATCTTTCCTGCAGTTGATTTTCCTTGGATTCATTGCAATGACTGTTTATCTACGGACTGGTTCTACAAGAGATGCTCTTCATGCTAATTATCTTATGGGTTCTCTGTTTTTCTCACTCTTTAAACTTCTTGTTGATGGACTTCCAGAACTTACATTAACAATCTCGAGAATCGCCGTTTTCTGCAAGCAAAAGGAGTTATACTTTTATCCTGCTTGGGCTTATGCAATTCCTTCAGCTATTTTGAAGATACCAATTTCATTTCTTGAAGCATTCCTATGGACCTTGCTTACATATTATGTCATTGGTTACACTCCTGAGTTTGACAGGTACTAATTTGGAAACATATTTTTCAATGATAAATGGTAAAAAAAAACAGAAAAAACCAAATTTAAGAAATGTGATCTTCTTTTTCAGGTTCATTCGCCAGTTCTTGATCTTCTTTGCTTTACACCTTTCATGTATATCTATGTTCCGTGCTATAGCTGCTGTGTTTAGAGACTTTGTTCTTGCCACAACTTTTGGAACCATATCTGTAATGCTTCTCTCAGTATTCGGAGGTTTCATTGTTAGAAAACGTAAGTCTTTTGTTTACTTGAAACTTTAATTTATATAAGCTATGAATTAGGAACATTCATTTTAATTGTACCATGTGATTTTTTTTCCAGCTTCTATGCCTGCTTGGCTTGAGTGGGGATTCTGGTTATCTCCATTGTCATATGCTGAGATTGGTCTAACCTCAAATGAATTTTTCGCTCCACGATGGAGTAAGGTAATGAGTTCTTGACAAGACTCTCACATTTTTCTTTATACCAAAGTGTTTTTAGTTTATTATTGAATGCTATATTTTTATTTACCATTAGACAACATCTGAAAACAAAACTTTGGGGGAACAAGTTCTTGATGCTCGCGGGTTGAATTTTGGTAATCAATCTTATTGGAAGGCATTTGGTGCCTTGATCGGCTTCACACTCTTCTTCAATACTGTTTTTGCACTGGCCTTGACATTTCTAAAGAGTAAGTCCACAAGAGATTTATATATACAAGAAGTGAGTGGCTTGACGAAGTTAGTAACAGTATTGGCAATGGGGGTTGATTTTTGTTTCTGTTACTTCAGCTTCACAGAGGTCACGTGCGATTGTTTCTCATGAGAAGAACACTCAAAGCTCAGAGAAAGAGTATAAATCAAGTTCTAAAATAACTTCCCGACACAAAAATGCATTGCCTTTCGAGCCATTAACTTTCACATTTCAAGACGTGCGATATTTCATCCAGACTCCTCAGGTAAAAAAAGAGTATCTAAGATCAGTTACAATCTCTTCTTAAATCCTTTGAACAAGACACTAAGATTTACAAGTTTTTCTTGAATCCTTTGAACAAGACAAAGAGAGTTATGGTGTGTAGTGACTCTCATTTTCTGTTAAAAAGGGGAAGAAGCTCCAGCTTCTCTCTGACGTTACAGGAGCATTCAAGCCAGGTGTTCTCACTGCTCTAATGGGAGTGAGTGGAGCTGGGAAAACGACTCTCCTTGATGTTCTTTCGGGAAGAAAAACCCGCGGTGACATTGAAGGACAGATTCAAGTAGGTGGTTACCTTAAGGTTCAAGAAACGTTTGCAAGGGTTTCAGGTTATTGCGAACAGTTTGATATTCACTCTCCCAATTTAACCGTCGAAGAGTCCTTAAAATACTCTGCTTGGCTTAGACTGCCTTCTACCATCAATTCAGAAACAAAGCTTGTAAGTCATTAGTACGGAAAAAATAAGGTTTTGTTCCTTTCTTGTAGCATTTTCTTGATTCTTGTTATTTCAGGCAATAGTTAAAGAAGTTCTTGAGACGATAGAGCTCGAGGAGATTAAAGATTCAATTGTAGGACTTCCTGGAATTAGCGGTTTAACAACAGAACAACGCAAGAGACTAACAATAGCAGTTGAGCTTGTTTCAAATCCTTCAATCATATTTATGGATGAGCCAACCACAGGATTAGATGCAAGAGCTGCTGCAATTGTAATGAGAGCTGTCAAGAACATCGCCGAGACTGGTAGAACCGTTGTTTGCACGATTCACCAGCCCGGCATAGATATCTTTGAAGCATTTGATGAGGTAAAAAGACTCATGAAAAAAATAACATTCGTCTCATCAAAAGTCTCTTGTTTAAAGAACATTATGTGACCCTTTTAACTGCAGCTGATTCTGATGAAAAATGGAGGAAAGATTATCTATTACGGACCTCTTGGACAGGATTCAAGCAAAGTTATTGAATATTTTATGGTTAGTTTCTATTATAATACTAGAAAAGTCCTGCCACTGTTTCATACAAACAATAGTTTATTCTTTAATTACAACAATAATCTTTCAATTGTACAGAGCATTCCTGGAGTTCCTAAAATGAAAGAGAACAGTAATCCAGCTACATGGCTACTAGATATTACTTCTGGATCATCAGAAGACAAACTTGGTGTTGATTTGGCACAAATTTACCAAGAATCGACTTTGTTTAAGTAAGTCTATAAACAAGTATTACTGAATATGCGTACTTTTGGATGTTGTTTGCCTCAAACTAATCTTTCTTGTTTTTTTTTTTGGTATAGGGAGAACAAACTACTAATTGAGCAAATGAGTTCTACATCTTCAGGATCAGAAGGATTAAACTCGTCTTCACGGTATGCTCAAACGAGTTGGGAACAATTCAAAGCATGCCTCTGGAAACAACACCTCTCTTATTGGAGAAACCCTTCATACAATCTCACTCGCATCATCTTCATGTGTCTAACTTCTTTGCTCTGTGGCATTCTCTTCTGGCAAAAAGCTAAGGAAATGTTCGTTTTCTTTCCCCATATTTCTTGAGTTTTTTTCATCTCTCTAAAATCTTGCTAATCAAAACTTTGTTTACCTCTCTTTCTTTGCAGAAACACTCAGCAAGATCTTTTCAACATATTTGGCTCAATGTTCACTGTGATTCTCTTCTCTGGAGTAAACAATTGCTCAACAGTGTTGTTCTGTGTTGCAACGGAACGAAATGTCTTCTACCGTGAAAGATTTTCTCGAATGTACAACTCATGGTCGTATTCACTTGCTCAGGTTAAAACATTTTTCTCAATCAATCCATAAAAAGAAAGAAAGAAACACAATCTTGGGCTTGAATTAAAGGCTTTTAATCTTTGCAGGTGTTGGTTGAAATTCCATACTCATTTTTACAGTCTGTTATATGTGTGACAATCGTGTACCCTATGGTTGGTTATCAATGGTCATTCTACAAAGTGTTTTGGAGCTTCTACACAATCTTCTGCTCGTTGCTCATCTTCAACTACTTCGGCATGCTTTTAGTCGTTGTGACCCCAAACATTCACGTTGCTTTTACTCTCCGTTCGTCTTTTTACACCATCGTCAATCTCTTTGCTGGTTATGTCATGCCAAAACCTGTAAGTCCTTTTGCATATAAAGATAGAGTTTTCCAAAAACCATCAAGATATGATATTTATGGGAGTTTTGTTGTAATATGCAGAACATTCCGAGATGGTGGATCTGGATGTATTACTTGAGCCCTACGTCATGGGTTTTGAATGGATTGCTCACATCTCAGTATGGTGATATGGAGAAAGAGATATTAGCGTTTGGAGAGAGGAAGAAAGTTTCAGACTTCTTGGAAGATTATTTTGGTTACAGAAATGACTCTTTGGCTCTTGTCTCTGTAGTTCTTATTGCTTTCCCCATTCTCTTGGCTTCTCTTTTCGCTTTCTTCATTGGTAAACTAAATTTTCAAAAGAAGTGAATATTCGAATTCGCATGTTCAATATGAAGACGAACAATTTTGGTAATTTAGAAGTGAGATCATTTGTCTTAGTAACAACTACACAAAAGGAAAAGAGAAGCTTCAAAATTGGTGAATTAACAAACAGTTACTTACAACTGTGCAATGAAAACAAAAGCTGTGACTTTTTTTCACATAACCAAAAAACATCAAAACTTTGGACATAGAAGGAGAGAGATGAAAATCAAAGCCTGCACAATCATATACGGAAGAAAGATTCTGAGTTTTCCTCTTCTCCTTCCATTTTGTTACAAAGCCGGCTGGATGGTTCGAACTCCGGTCTTGTATGAGAACATCTGTTCGAAGTTGGTCAGGAAGATAAACCTACCGTACCCTACAGGCTACAAGAGAAACGCTTTAGGTTCTCTTACACAAAAAAAGATAACTGTGAAGCGCCACGAACCGCGTACCTCGGAATCCAATGTTGGTTTAGAGCAGAAGAATCGTAGGACTGGCTCTCGGGCCTTTGTTTATAGCTGATTCTTGAAGAGAATGGCCAAGATAACAAAAATGCTCAAGTGTTCATAGCGATTAGCTCATCCGGCATGCATTGCCTTACATTAATGACCATTGATTTGTTAGACGGCGACGAAATGTCACAGCATTGGCGGCGCGGCGGATTCATCTCTTCAACATTAAGTTCCAGCTTACGAGACAAAACTCGGATGCGTTCTAGTCGCTTCACAGCTTCTCCTCTGCGGCAGTTTCCGATACTATGAAGGTTATAGTTACTCCACGTTCCCTCTGTTCCATTTGATCCTACACTGTCGAGAAAAAAGACGAGCGGTCTTCTACACGGATCTCTAGGATACTCTCTTGTGCTGAACATATAGTTGCTTTGAACACCTGACCCTCTCCTCCATGTAGAAAACGTCTTTTGCAAAGTGAGAAGATCCGGAAGAAGTTTATTACCTTCGTAGACTTGAATCGCGTAACCCCACACAACTGAAACTGTCACTACGTTTGAAGAATCATAGCACACACTCTGCTGCAAAATCCTTCCTGAATCCAAACTTGCGGCTCCAATGAGACGAGCCGCTGATTCTGTCCGGTTCAATTTCGGAAAGAATGGATCAACTGCGTCTAAGTGATGAAGTGACACCAATGGAGATAATGGGTGTGCACATAACAGTCCAAATATGTTCCCTCTTACATCAATCTATGAAAAGATGAAATACATAGTAATTAATATATTCAGATAAACTCTAGCAGCAATATCAGATATATACCACCTAGTCAACTACACTATCCAATATCAAGTAGAGAGCTAAAATTTCAAAATACAGAAAAAAATTCTTGTTTAGCAATCAGCATCAATCTCACTGTGAATTCTCAATTTGTCATTTTCAAGAAATCAAATTCAAGGCTTTTGATTATCTCAATCAAGTAGAGTTAACAAGAAAACTCTGCAACTTAAAAAAGATGGACATAGTAACTACACTATCCAATATCAACCTAACAAGGGAAGAGCTAAACTTTCCAAATGCAGAAATTTTCTTGTTCAGCAATCGGCATCACTGTCACTGTGAATTCTCAAATTGTCAATTTTAAAGAAATCAAATTCAAGGCTTTCGACTATCTCAATCATCACCAGATTGTTATTGCTGCAACTAATTCAGTGATAAACTCAATTTGTGTTTGATTGTTTACCTGATGAAATCCAGGTTCATGAGTTAATGTAACACCAAGCTCAGCCAAGCAAGAGAAGATCCTGGAATCGCTTCCATACATGTGAGAGTATCTCATCAAACAAGAATCCAGAACTTTGGCTAAAGCCTTTCCAAGCGAAGCACTGATGGCGAATCCTCCTCCACCAAACGCCATATCAAACGAATACCTCACATTCTGATCATAGAACTCCGAATTACTTCCGACGTAATACCATTTACGGTGATCGTACTTCGACAAAACCGTCACCAGATTATCTACGAAGAACACAGTATCATCGTCGCCGAAAACGAACCACCGGACGTCTTTCTCTCCCCGATCCACCGTCTCCTTAACGACGCGAGCCACGCGGATCGCCGATCGGAGACCGCCGGGGAAATTGTAAGGGAACTTAGAGACGTCTTTAGAGACGGTTACGGGAGGGAGAGTGAGATCGGGATCTAATCCACCGCGATCGAGGAACACGATTGCGCGTGTGGATTCGGGAGAGTACCAGAGACGAACATAGGAGCTGCGGCGGAGCCAAGAGTCGTGAGAGGCGGCGATCGAGAAGAGTACGTGACGGCGGCGGGTGGAGAATACGGGTAAGGAGCGAGCGATCGATGAGATTCGCTCGCGGCGGAAGGTGCCGTAGGAGAAGACGACGTAGATGATGAAACAAAAGGCGAGCGAGAGCAGGAAGATGTTTCTGACGCGCGCGGAAATCAGCGCCGGAGATTTGGTCGGAAAAAGGATTTCAGGCGAGAAAGAATCTAGCCTGGAGAGTGAAGGATCAGGTCGTCTCTTACGTCTCGTCTGATTCATTTTCTTTTCGAGTTCTTCTCTCTGCAGAGTCGCCGACGGTTGAGTTTCGACGGAAGCTAGAAGGCGAAGCCGTTTCTTTCAGTGTGAGTGGGGATTTGGGTTTTACGGGTCGGGTATTTCGGGTCGGTTTTGATCCGGCGCCAAATGTATGGGCCTGCCTCTGTAGAGGTTTTATTTATACTTGTCATAAAATTTGGCACTGCTAGTGAACTCCTCCACATCTTGTACTTTTTTTTAATTCTTGTCTTTTTTACTATTCACAAATAATGTTATGCCAATACAGAAAAATGATTTTGATGAAAATGATGTGTTAAATATTCATTCGATGTGATTTGTGGTGGTTAAAAGGAGAAAAAGAATAATTTGAAAAGAGTTTTCCTTCTGATAACCAAGATTTAGTTTTCGAAATCTGTAGAAATCAGGATTTTTTTTTTACTACTTACAGTGTATACGAGTGATCAAGTGATGGAGTAAGAAAACTGTACGTTCGAGGAGATTTGATAATTTTGATTATGGCAAGACCAACAAGGCAAATTTTCATGAAGCCACTAGTCCATAAACACTTGATTATCAACCGAACTAGATACATGTATTGTGTATAAGAAATATAGTGTAAGTTTGTCGATATAACTAAAATATCGTATTGCATTTATGTGTATTTTTCTTACAAATCAATATTTTATCTTATTTTAGGGGTGTCAAATGAATTCCTATTCTGACATGTGGGTCCGCCCTTGGATGAAGGTCTTCGTGTTTTTAGATGAAACTCAATTTTGGACATTGCATAAAGTGTTATGTTAGCTTCAAGTCATTCTGATCAGTTTTTTGGAAGATCATTTTAGTGAAGACATGTCAAAAAACAAAAAAAAAATGCATAGAATCGGTGGGATTCACAAAATCGACAATGACTCTTTTTGTTTTTGTTTTTTTCTGTTTTTTTTCTTTTCTAGTAATTAACATGAAATCTTGGTAGGCTTTAAGTATTTTTGTTATCTGAAAAAAGGAGAATTTACGTTTTAAAGCTTAGAAGTTAAAAATTCAAAATCTATACCAAAGTTAAAACAGACAGATAAAAATAGTAAAACAGTAATTAATAAACAAACAAATCATATTTGAGATTTTCTCTTCCCATTTGCGGCGCCTTTCAAAAGTAAAGAAGAAGAATTAATACTTCTCCGACAAGAAACTGTTAATCCCTCTTGGATGTAGTGAGATTTGTCTTCGTCAAAGAAAGGAATCACTAGTTCATGATGAGTGATGGATCGTATTCAAAAGCTTCTCCAGATTTCACAAATCTTCCTTTGACCCGCTTTCTCGTATCAGCTCTGGCTTTGCGTGATGCGTATCGTATTTGCTTCCCAAACCTAAACATACACACATAAAATATCAAAATTGTTCTCATACAAAAAACAGGACCACAAGCGAAAACGAAGTTGAAACACTTACGTCCGCTTTGATTTCTTTTGTTTGTATCTCTTTTTAGCCTCATCCCTTGATTTTGGACTAAAACTAACTTCGATATTTGATTCCCATGGCGAATCTCCTATCGAAAACCCTGACGAGATTCCGCAATCATTCGCGTTGCTTTCTCCTGTCATGTTGGACATCGAGACTGATGACAAGCTCGGAACAACATTCACTGATAATGCAGCAGGAAGCAGCAGAGGAGGAGCAAAGCCAATGTTCTTCTCTTCCTGAAGAACGTGTCATTAAATTTCTAGAAACTAAATTAATTTACACGGAACTGATCGATAAAAAAAAACCTAAAAGAATAGACCTTCAAAGAATTCTCATTATACTGGTAACATTTGGTATGAATATGATCAAGTGTTGAGCATCCGATCATATCATCACTTGCGTTAAAATTCAGCGGTAAATCCTCCAAATTAATCCCTTCGCATAGATCCAAATCAGGACATTCCTGAATAGAAGATGCAGAAAATGAATATTTTGTTATTTTTTTGTTCTTTATCACATAACTGAACATTTTGACAGGTTACTTAAACAACACGTTACCTTCTGTACCATATTAGGAAGATTTTGTTCCATTGAAAAGAAAGAAGAAGAGTCCTTTGGATAGTGTGTTTGTGTAACCGTGGAAGTCGACAAACCTTCCCAATCGTCTAGTTCATTCATCTTGGCGCAATCATTAATTGGAGAAACCAAATTTGAGACAGAAGGTTCTAATATCGAAGACCATATCTTGGCGAAATCTGTTGGAGAAGGACAACCGGAATAAGGGTTGAGGTTTTGAAGCATGTGTCCTAAAACAGAGCAGTTACTTGCAGTCAAGTGACATCCTTGGCACAGAGAAACCTTCTCGTTCATGCAGTGGATCAAAGCGGGTTGGGAGAAGCATTTCTCGCAGAGCAAAGATCGCGTGTGTTTTGAGGACAGAGGATTCGCTGAGTGTACACAAACGTCACAGTTTAAACAGAGTTTAGCCGAATCTGATTCGCAATAGACCAATGCTTGTTCGGTTCCACAAGAATCACATTGAGCCTCCATATTTGATGAAACTCCAAAGACTAAGGAATTGAAGATGAAGACTTTACACAGATTATTATAACAATAGACGTGCAAAAGTCGTTTCTGAGTTAGGGTTCAAGTGTGAGTCGAGTAGAAGGAGATGAGAAAGAAAAGAGAACTAAGGCTTTGCTCTGTTCTTATTCTGTGCAAATGTCCAAGTGGGTATTCGCCACGTGGATTTTTGTCACGTTTGATTTATGCCACGTGGGTAACTCGGGATGTGTTCGTTAGATTCTCTGTCCTATGTGGTTGACCATGCAAGTCGGAGTTTTGGGTGGATTCTTTAGTTCACTTGTGTGGCTCGCAAGAAATCTCTAGATATCGATTAAAACGTGGGAATGTTTCCAAGTCGTAGTTCCGTACACATTTGTTCAAACGCGTTTTCTTTTCAACGGAACAATAATATCTTTTTTTTATTCAAAGCCTCCGACAAATAAGACTAGTTCGAAGCATATTCTTCCGAGTGTTGGTTTAATGTCGGTTTGCATCCATGATTTAGTAACAATACCGGACTGGTTTGATTAGTTGGAGTTTAACGACAGTAATTGTTTCTCAGTTACCAGCATATACACTAATTTTATTGTTTAACTTCTCAAATACCTGCATATTGTCTGTGGTGAGCTGATGAATCCTCCGATTAGATATTTAGATGGTATAAGTTTAGAGATATGACGCATAAGTTAATATCCTCTTTATTATTTCTTTCATGTTTCTTTTATGACCGTTGGTTTTTTAATTTTTGATATTAAATTATCAATTCTAGACACAATTTGATTTTTTCTAGTCAACTAGACCACAATTTGAATCAAATGCAAAACTAACCTCTTTGGGTAGTAAAATTACCCCACAAGCCCTCATGACCAAACAAAAAAACGCATGCCTCGATTACGATTATAACCTCCAGCATGTAGATCTACCCGTAGATCTACTGGTAGACAATGTTAGAGGTCTACCTCGTAATAACATCTTAAATTTTAATTAACAATTCAATAAAAAATATTTTTATACAAAAACAAGTATGAATAATTCTAATATAGACATTATCATCTACAAAAAATATGAATGCATACAAATGAATCATTTATAGATAAGCAAAGACATATAGGTTAATATCTATAAAAATGTGTGAGGTCTACCGAGTAAGTCTACTATATCATTAAATTTAATTTTTATTATAAAAATTGAAAAAAAAATATTTTGATGAAAATTATTTATACATAAATACAATACAGACAACTTGCATCTATCTAAAATATAATTTCATAGATTTGAACCAACTGAACTATGAAAAAAAACAAATTAGGTTAAAAGCCTATAAAACCATGAGAGGTCTACCAAGTAAGTCTACTAAATAATCAAATCTTAAATTTAAATTAAGAAAATTTAAAAAATAATTTGAAATATTTGTTTCACAAATAACGAAATAATAGACATTTAACATATATTAAAAATAAAATTTCATAAAAATCATGAATCTATAAATATCATATGTAAATAGTTCATAAGGATAAGAGTTTGAGTAGATTGTTTAGGGTTAATGGGGAAGTTGTAGGGTTTTGAAAAAATTTAGATGAAGAATTGTTTTTGGTTGGTTTTACGATTCAATGTTTGTTTATTTGTGATATACACTGTAAATTGACAATATGGCAAGCAAATCGTTGCAAAATTGTATCTAAATTATTCGATTTAGGGTTTAGGGTAAAGTAGACCTAACAAGTAGACTGATCGAGTAGACCGAAGTGGAGGTCTACCAACCGTTTTAACCTAGCGGGAATCCCGAAGTTTCAAAGCGGGCTGAGTTATCGAAACGTTTCAGTAATTTCGTGGTAGACCGTAGTTGTAGACCGAAGCGGTAGACCTTATTAAAATTAATAAAAAAATTCTTAACCGATAATTATCAATCAAATTGAATAATTTACTCCACTTAACCAATATTTAACCATATTTTATTTTGACCTAACCAAAATTTTGGACCCCATATAAATAAGTTTTTTTTTCTTTAATTTGTGAACTCTCCTCTCTCTCTCTCTCTCTCAAACACGGCGGCGCTCCCATTTCGCTCTGGTGGGAGAAAAAAAAACAAATCTAGATCTGAGCCCCAGCAATATCTTCGATGTATCTCCGCCGTATTCTCTCGTCGGAGCGGAGATCTTCTCCGCTACACCTAGCGCGGCGTGTTCGCTCCGCCTTCTCCTCTTAGTCGGAGCTTCCAGATCCCGCCGTGGACCTCCGCAAAATCTCTCACCTATTTTCGTTGTGGTAAGCCGTCGTTCTTCTTCTTCGTTCTTTGTGTTCATCTCTCTAACCCATCTTCTACTTTCTCAGTCTTCATTTCTTTTGGTTGTGTTCATGTTGGATTTTCCAATGCCCGTGATTAACTATATAGTCCATGTCTCTATGCTATTCCTTCATTCTCTGACTATTTAAGAGCTTTTTTCAAGGAATGCAGTCACAGACTTTCTTCTCTCGACTTTATGAAGAAAATCCAGGATGGAAAAAGTTACAGCACTAATCTTGCTCACACCCCTCCTAAATATCTACTAACAGGTACATCATCATGTTCTGATATTATTATTATTTTTTTTTTGCGTGTTTGAGAGTAAGATTTGGTGTCAAGAAGGGACCTGACCGTTTAAGTTGGAAGAAATAAAGTTGTTATTCTCCTTTCAAATGTGGACAGACCAATGTTTTTCTCCTTGGTGCTTGAGTTTCTATAACCCTCAAGAGAAAAATTTAAGCTTTTTCTGCTTGAGTTGATTCTTTTTGATTTTTGTTATTGGGTTGAAGAGATTGTGATTTTGTCTTACTCGGTTTAAGAGATTTCGGTAAATTTGTTTGGAGTTGTTATTGCTAGTTTTTTAGATTCTGGTTTTTATTTTGCTGTTTTCTGGAATCTAATCGATTTGATTTGCTAAATGATGATGGTCATTTGTGATCCCATTAATCATTTTTGGTTTTACTTTTAATTCAACTAAGCTTGACCTACTGGTGGAATGTAGTGTTATTGGTTAGTATTCATTTCTCGATGAGATTCAGCTTTTGATTTTGAAGATAGTTTTCCTAGATTAAAATATGAGAGTTTACATGTTGTTTTGGTGAACGAATATTCTTCTCTTAGTCTCTTTTCACTTTAAAGCAAATGGGTGAATTGAAATGTTATGAATGAGTCATCTATGTCTTGATTAGTGATCCTTGAATTGTTTGTATGGAAATCCTAGTTTAGTTGCTCGTTGACATGGCTGTGTGATTGATTACTTGACTAATTGAAATCTGTTCAATTATGAATGCCATTTGAATCACCTTCTTAAAGTTTAGATCTTTTCCATTTTTACAGTTTCATTATGTCAACTGCAGGTTGGGACAAAGGTTGCTGCTGTTTCTCATAAGACCAATATGATAGTTGGAACAGAATCGCCAGAGCCGATGGTGGCTAATGAGATGGCAATTGATATTTCATATGCTTGAGTTTTTTTTATTCTTGTGTCAGTTTTGATTGTAAGACCTTGTTGCCTCTCAGACTTTCATTAGTATTTTCATGCTTGGTCTTCTTTGTCATTTGCATTTCTCATCATATCAAACTTAAATTAAAAACTTGAAAACACACAAAGTAGATCTACTACGTAGACCTAATGGTAGATTGCATTTGTAGATCTTATTATCAGTCTACTTCTGATAGTAGATCATCTTCAGTCTACCTTTCCAGTACCTTTCTTAGTCTATCTCTGCGTTGTTCATCTACATCAGTTCAAAATCCAATTTTTAAAACTCATGTAATAAAAAAAACAGAAAATCAGTTGTCATTAGCTTACGCAATGAAGGCTATGTCCCGGTTGCTGCACTTCGAACAACTATAAACTCTATCAAGCTATGAAGTCATATGAAAACATTTGATGGAGCATCACATCTGGTAATGGATAAGATAATTCCACCAGCTCTGGTTCCATATCCAACATATCATTAAGAGGCTTATGTGTACAACCATCCCGTAAGTAGAACATTCTCCCTCCTTTTCCTTTATCCATCTCAAAATGCCATGACTTGTCTTCCATCACCACCATTTTCCATAAACGGAAGCTAGACAAACCATTACCTGCAACAAAAACAAACCAGACCACAAAATGGATTAGTAGACAGAAGGTGTAGACCGACAAGGTAGACCCACAATTTGGTCTACCAGAAAATTAAGCTAGATACCTAATTCAAAAGAAAACCGAATATAGCCTTAATTACGCCGAAAGAACATTTCAAACTCACACAGAAGCAAGTAAACAAATAAAAACAACTAACTGTTCGAGATAAATTTCAAAATATTTGATATATTGAAAGGAAAACGACATTTTAAAAAACACATAATAATAGACCTAAAACGTAGACGTTCGGAGTAGACGTTCACGGTAGACCTCCACTTAGGTCTACTCCACGTGGACGGCCACGTGGAGGGTTAGTTTTGCAATTGATCGAGAAAAATGTTTTTTTGGAGGTCTACCTTGTCGGTCTACTACACGTGGAGGGTTAGTTTTGCAATTGACCAAACGTTGACTTTTACACGAGGTCTACCGTGTACGTCTACCAGAAAACGTAGACCTCTCAATCGGTCTACCAAAAAAAGTAGACCTCTGAATTAGTCTACGCCTTAGGTCTACCTACCGAAAACAGTTTGTTTTGCCGTTGACTCAAGTTTGACTTTCCTCGGGTAGACTTCCGTGGTAGACCTCAGTTTTTTGCGTTGACCAGTAGACCTCACTTGCGGTCTACCAGATGGTAGACCTACACGGTAGACCTCAATGACGCAAAATCTCTCCTTTTTGAGGAAAGTCAAACTTGAGTCAACGGCAAAACCAACTTTTTTTTTTAGGTAGACCTAAGAGGTAGACCTCCGAAAAACATTTTCTTATCAATTGCAAAACTAACCCTCCACGTGGAGTAGACCGACAAGGTAGACCTCAAAAAAACATTTTTCTCAATCAATTGCAAAACTAACCCTCCACGTGGAGTAGACCTAAGTGTAGGTCTACCACTCATTTTTTTTGTTTGCAAAGGAAATGGCACAGTCAACTCTGCGTTGACCAGTAGACCTAAACTGAGGTCTACTATGTAATGGTAGACCTACACTTCAGTCTACCTTCGCAGACCAAAACTGAAATTCTTAGAATTTTGAAAGAAAAGTTACTGGCCGTCGGAGAAAGGCTCTTCGAGGGCTGATAACTTCAATTTAGGCCTTCAATTACGAGTTCCGGTCATCACTAAGCTAAACAATTGGAAATGCCAAGACCCAAGATTTGAGTTTTCTTTTAAGTTTTTGGGATGAAAATGGAGAGAAAATGGAAGAATAAGAGTTTGTGAGATGAAAGAAGGAGAAATGCTAGCTCCAAAGTGAGTTTTCGAGCATTAACAGCTCCAAATTGGGTAAAAATGGTGGTTGTCAACATTGATGAAATGGCATTTTGGCAATTAAGTGTAGAAGATGAGGGGTGTTTGGTCTTTCAGCAGATCTGGTAGACCTAAATATCGGTCTACCAATCGAAAAAGTAATGGCATTCTCGTAATTAATTGGAAAAAACTGGACAAACTTAAAATGAAAAAAACAGGAGGTTAGTTTTGCATTTGACCACAATTTTGGGTCTAGAAGTGAAACAACCCCATTTTTTTTTCTTTTTACAACATTTCTTTAGTAAGGTTTATTTTCCTAATACATATATCAAAATCCTAATATGAATAAAATTAAAACTGGATTTAAAAAAATAATACAAAGAACTTAACAATTTAAAAAAGCATTGGAAACATGGAAAGGAAACTACTAGTCCTCCTTTATTTTCGAACAAATTAAAATAGTGACATCTTATTTTGCAATCAACGTAATAAAAGAAACAAAAAAGGAGAAACATTTGTATGTTGTGTTCTGTAAGCTAGATAGCATTAGCATATATGATTAAACAAGGGACTTGGGTGATTCGGAGATGTTGATAGGCAGTCCCTTTGGGAAATGTGGGTATGGTGAACGCACCAACTCCAATTCTTGGGCTAGTGAGAAATCGTATTTGGTTACAAGGTGATGGATGAAAATTGACATCTGAAGCCTCGCAGAATCGGCGCCTGCACACTGTCTAGCTCCTGCTCCAAACACCATGAACGTCTTAGACGCAGACCGCAACTCTTTCCCCTGTTCATTTTTCATCTTTCATTAGTCTTGTAATATTTGTTTTCTTTGTTTTTTAAACAGAAACTAGAGAGTAATTAAGTCAAACTTTATATACCTCCCATCTCCATGGATTAAACTCCAAAGGGTTTTCATATATTGTGGGATCAAAATGGACGACTGAAGGTACAACCGCCACAATCCAACCTGCTGGAATCGTGTATCCTGCATGTTGTTGCCAAATATTTTCCATAAATCTCAACTTTTCAATACAATATCATAAGAGTCTTTTTTTTTTGGGTTGCTTATAACATTTTGGACCATTTCCGATTTGTTCGTGCATGTCATCCCTGCATGCAAATCTTCTCCACGTAGTTGTTCCAATGTCTCCGAAAGGACTAACAATGTTATGGAGTTTAATTTGGCTAAGATTCGTGCTAGGGTGATACTACTTGCCTTTTATCTCGACGTCATTGACAGCCTTTCTAAACATTATAGGTCCCAGGTTTGACAATCGAAGAGTTTCACTGATCACCTGCATGAATCATGATATATTCAACTACGTACCGTGCAAATCTTGAAATTAAAAAATATTGATATTAAAGTTACCATGTTGGTGAAAATCATCTTGTGTCTGTATTCTTCCCAGGTAACTCCAGATTCCTTATCTTCTCTGTTTTGAAGGATTGCCTCGTGCTCTCTCTGCCATATTTATAACGACCATATATAATATATTATATCACCCCGTCCATTTGCATTTTCTTATTGTTTTTGTTGTTTTACATATCAAAGCAATTGTGTTTGGCTTTCTGGATCCATATATATATATATATAATATTACCTTCAACTCTGCGAGAGCTTTAGGGTTTTCGGAAATGAACTTGATGGCCAAGCAAATAGCGACAGAGGTAGAATCTTTATAGACGATCAAAAGACCGAAAATGAGGCTTATATAAAATCCTTCATCAGAAATGACGCTTCCTTTCTCCAGCTCTTCTACCAATGTGTCGAGGAAGTCTCCGCATTTCTCTCTCGACGCTTTCCTCCTCGTGAAAGCGTCATTTATCACCTTCATTGCCTCTCTGCGGGCCTGGGGAGAGAACACTGTCATACATAGCATATGTGGATCTTAATAACTAAATAACTTACAATATAGGCTCTGTAGAGTGATTTCCAGGTCGTAAGCCTCAAGGGCGACTGAAACCAATCAATATTGAAGGCGTTGATTTGGTCCAAAAGATTTCTTTGAGTCTCTGGCTTGAGGTTACTCATCATTTTCGGGGTCAAGTGCGCCAATAGTAGCTGCAGAGATAACGTAAATGGGCTATGACTATTAACTAAGTGAATTATTGAACTCATCATGAATATATGAAAAGTTATGTACGTACGCTTTTAACTGCGTCCTCCGCATCAAAGCTCCCTTGGCTAGCCTTGGATCTAAGATGGTCACGGGTTGCTCTGTCCATGTCTCTTATCATATTTCTCTTCAGACCCTTAGAGCCAAGAAGTTGCAGAGTGATTTGTTTTAACTGTTTGTGGATGCCCCCATGCTCGAGACACATGTTATCTTTTCCAAATGGCTTGACAATAGCGCTCGGATAGCTAAACATGAAAGACTTATTCTCTTTCCGGAATACTTCAAAGATCACATCTGGTTCTGTCAAAACCACTGTGTTGGATCCGAAAAGGTTGGTCCGAAACAATGGCCCATACCTGTAAATATTGTTACAATCGTACAAGGTATATATCTTTTCGGTATAAAAAAAAAGAGATTAACAAAAAAAACAGATATTCAAGAGATTGAAAATGACCTTGACATCCTCTTCTTGACAAAGGGTAAGATCTCATAGCATCCATGAAGCTTAAAGAACTCGATTGTTTCTCCAACGATGGGGAAACCCATTGATCCCGGTGGTAATTTGCCATTGCACTTAGGGTTTGACCATCGGTACAACCACTTGCTGATCTCCACAACGGCTAAAGCTATAGCGCACAACGCTACGGTCCACAAGAAGCTCATCTTGCTCTGCGCCTTTCACGTGCATCAAAAGGTGAAAGAATTTTGAGAGGGACAAGTGCATGAAAGGTGAGACAAATGTTTTAATTGTTCAAGATTTATTATGTTATGTCACACAAGACAGCATGCAACAAACCAACAAGACATTGATAGTCTGATTGCGAGGCTTTGGCCACCGAATATGGCGGATGACACGTTTGAACGATACATTGACACCTAAACCCTTTTAATTGTGTGTGTGTGTCAAGTGCCAACAACATGTGCCTATATCAACAACATGACAAACATCATCTGCTTTTTTACTACTCATGAGATTTTATGTACACTTTTCTTCATTAAATAATATGGAGAATATCGATCAATGCAATTTGCTACAAAGTAAGTTAAATGGCTTCGGGAGAACACACGTTTAAACAGTACATTGACATCTAACCCTTTTATTTTATGTGTGTGTGTGGACAACATGTGCCAGCTTCATTGATAGTAAAAGTAATATCTATATGACAATTTTCATATCTACCACTAAATCAAGTTTTTTTTTTCTTTTCATACTATCACTAGTTTTGGTTTCTTTCTCATTCTATTTTTTTTTCATCCATATCATAAACATAAAATTAATTTTAAACCATCAATACTAAATTCTAAATTAACAAAACTAAACCATAAACCCTAAATACTAAAATGTTAAAACTTAATTAAATCATCAAAACTAAACCTTAAATCTTTAAAACTAAATCCTAAACCCTAAATACTAAACATTAAACTCTAAAATACTAAATCTTAAACCCTAAATACTATATTCAAATTCAAATATAAATTATATATATATTTCTTTTAAAGTTTAAGGCATGGATAGAAAAATTGTATGAGAGAAAGAAAAAAAATTAAAAATGGTATGAGAAGAAACTTTTTTTGCAACTTAATGCTGTATAAAGGCTTTTGACTTAATTACCCACAAGGCAGTTACCCCGCGCCCTAGCTTCATATTTTCCACTTCTTTCATATCTTTCTTTCCTTCATTTTCTACCGGCTTTTTTTATTTTTATCAAACTTTATATTCTCTTTTTTCTTTACCTTTTTCTTCATCAACTTCGTCACTTTCGTGTACCCATCGGACGGCCTTTAATCGATTGATGTGCTGCTGCAAAGGGCGCGTCATCTTTTATTTTCTCGTTTTTATTGGTTTTCTTCCTTTTATTTACAATTTGTTTTTTTAACTAGCTTTGTGTTCTTATTCTTCATTTTTTATTGTTTGATTTTTCTAACTTTTTTATTGTTCACATATTCTTCAATTCTATTATTATTTTGTTTTGTTTCTTTCTTTTTTTCCGTCTTCATCTTCCAACTTTCATAGTTTCTTTTTTCTTCAAATTTTTCTTCGTACTTCATCTTGTATTCTTCATATTTTTTATTATCGGTCTTTTTCTTTTTTACAACATCTTATTAATCTGTTTTGTCTTCCTCTTTATTTTCTATTATTTATTTTTTTCTCATCTACTAATATTTCTTCTTCTTCATCTTCTCATATTTTTTTGTTATTTATTTTTTTAGAAAAATATCAATAAAAAACAGAAAAAAAAAAACCGAAACATAAAAACTGACTTCGAACCCTATCTGGTAGTATTTAACAATACAACCTCTATTTTAGTCATTGGCCATCACGATGTCAAACACGATTGTTCACCCGTATTATATCCTTATCTCTGCCCAGTGCTTCTGAAAATTAAGATCAAAAGTAAATGATTGATTCAGTTTCTGATTAATGAAGATATAAGGAGTATCAATATTAAAAGAAAACAGATTAAAACATACCTTTTTTGGAACTCATCAACCTCAGAAATCGAGGAATTCAATACGAATGTGGATGAATCAATGCAGTAAATTGTAACCTTGCATGAAATCAGCATAAACGATTTTTAATTTTTTGTTTAGAACACCAAGTATAATATTTGACAATCTAAAAATTATTACCTGCTCGAACTTCTATTAGTCCCCACCTAATGACGCAGATTACACTACTATGTTTTACTCTCATCCATTCCTTACAAAAATTTATTGCATTATTCCCAAACAACACATAGTTTAGATGAACATTGCTGTATCAATTTTAAAAAATATATATATTTTGATTATTATCAGAATAACATATAACTATAAAGATCCAAGAATATAAATATTTATTGAATCACCTTTGGTCACGGATTTGAAACTTAATGCTAGGATGGATACTATATGCCACATAACTCTTCGTTTTTTCAAACAAAGCCTCTTTCCAGACTGTAGATTCACTAATATTGACAACCTCTCCTATCAAATCTTGTAAGAAAAAAACATTAAAAGAGGGATTAGATACAGTTTCCAAATACGTGTCATAATTCTTCAATATAATATATGAACCTACTAAATAATCATCGCAGTGTGTATGATATTTGATTTGTTTGAAAATCAACGAAATTGAATAAGTTTTTTACGCTCGCGAAAAAAGATTTTGTGATGATTGTTGTTGGCATCAAGTATATTCGATTTAGATGCCAAGTAGCTCTACAATGACCTGTCTGATTAATTACATCAAAATTCTTGATGTGAATCCAATCTCCCTCGTTGACCTTGCAATCATAGGCGTCGTAAACGGGAACATGCACAGTTGCTTGAATCTCCTCTCCCTGTCATATTTATCATACATTAGTTACAAAGATGAATACAGTTTCACTGTTATCTATCATATATTTTTTATGTTTAAGCCGATACCTCTTCATCAGTTAGGATAATCTCTAATCTTTTAGCAGAAGTTTGGTAATCGTTAATCCATAAACGTAAAATCTTGACCAAAATTACAGATTTGTGTGTCCTCGGCCCAAGTCCGGAAACGTTATACCTCTTCCTCAAGGCCTTATCATACGTAAAAAGCTTTTTGTAGGTGCTTGAATCAAGAAAGTTTACAAAATATTATTACTAAATCGGCTGTTATAAGAACTAATACGATTTATCTAAAACAAAAATCTAAAATCCTTTTTGATAAGTTTATTGAATTAGGGTTTCATGAGATTTAAGTTGAAAATAAAAACGAAACATGTACATACCATCAATTTTTGTCAATGCACTTTTTTGAGTTGATACCATAGTTGATTTCATTAACTCCATTAGCTAACAAACCTGCAATTTACTGTTACAAAGGTAAAAGAAGTAGAAGTTAGATGCGAATCTTTGAAGACAATTTCCAGAAAATAACGATAATCAGTTAAACATTAGATCTAATACAACTAAGATCTAGCAAAAACTTTAAACCTACATGAAAAGATGAAATATGGAATGGAAGAATTTCGAACACGAAAAAGAAGAAACAAAGATTCTGTTTATTTTGGTTGTTACAATCTATTTATATAAATATGACTAAGTCGGTTGTAAAATCTAGAGTTTTTTAAAACTACCTAATTATTTGATTTCTTCCAAAAAAGTGATGCGATAATATGGTAATTAGGATATTTATTTAAGTGATAAATATAAATCAAGGAAAAAAGAAAGAATAATTATCAATATTTAATAAGGAAATAATAAACTTTTATATAAAAAACAAAATCGTGAAATAATTAAAAGAGGAATTTCAGAAACTTTAATAATAGATTTTCATTAAAGGTATCTTGGTAATTCCGCGGTTGAGAATTAACGTAGTGGCTCCGTTCGAAATTCTGACTTCGCAAATACTAATATGATGTTTGTATTCTTCCCAAGTGACTCCAGATTCCTTATCTTCTCTGTTTTGAAGCATCGCCTCATGCTCTCTCTGCCATAGTTATAATTAATTATTGGAAATAGCTTGGATTGAGAATAAGTGAAGATCGAACTTATGGGCCTGATTGGATGTAGCTGTAGTTTTAATTTTTTTGCTGTAGATTTTATTTTGTAGAATTTTTGGCTGTAAATATAGATTTTAGTGCTGTAGGATTTCTTATTGTAGATTGTGTCATTAAATATAGCATTAAAACAGAAAAGATAAGATATAGAAATAATAGATTAAAAAATAAATATTGAAAAAATAATAAGGAAAGAGAAGAGAGAAAATTCTAAGAGCACTTAATTTGGTGCTCTAGAAAAATTGCTTTCCAAAGCCACGGAACTTCCATAAATAAAAAAAACTGCTCTGTATTTCAAAAATGGAAAGAGACAGAATGAGAGCATGATTGGTAATTTTAAATTGCTGTAGAAAGATTTTGGGTTGTGTAGAGCAACCACAGCTCCTATCAATCATTTGTGAATAATTTTTTTGTTAATTAAGGCTTTGGGTGACAAAACTCAATTATGGAGGCAACGCAACCTTACTTGATATTAATAGTAGTCGTTAACCATTTCCTCTCTAGATGAATCTTGGATTTGAAATTGTAGCCTTGCATTACTTTTCAACTATTCGTATGTTTAATCGTAATATTCAGGAAGGAATGGAGAAATATAGGATCATGTTTAGTTTTATTCGCCAAGTGTTTATAATATATATTTTCTCATCCTCTTGATAAGAAGTTCTAGCTCCACAATGCTGACAACGATGATTGATGAGTCGATCTGCATCGAACTCAGCTTACTACGTTCACTGGGAGATCAAGTTAATTAATAAATATAGTACTCTAAACTTAGTTCTCTAAACTATATCTCTTGTTTTCAAAAAAAATCAGGACGTTGTAAAAATGGAAAAAAAAAGCTAATACTATGTTGGTGCTTTCGCCACCAAATATAGCAGATGACACGTTTAAACGTACATTGACATGTGGCTTTGTTCATCAAAAACAACTTGTGACCTTGTAATTATCATTTGCCAATGTCGCTTTCAGGTACATCATATTATATGCAGTTCATCAACAATAGTGTCTACGGACAAATTACTTTTGGCCGTAAGTTCAGTGGGCCATGATTAAAAATATATCATACAGTGCTTTTTACAAAGTTCTTGCAAGTTTGCAAACCATTCTCTTCCTTAGAGAGAAGAAAAAAAATGGATAGAGAAGATTTAATGGAGACGATGATGGTGGAAACCATAAAACCTTCCTCCGCAACTCCACAGTCTCTCCGTACACTCCACCTTTCTATGCTTGATTACGGTATGCATCCAAGTTATACCTTGGCATGTTTTTTCTACAAAAGGGATGATCCTTCAATCCCGCGAGATCAAACCACCTTGAAACTCAAGACTTCGCTCTCCGAAACCTTAACCAAATTCTACCCTTTCGCGGGCAGAATTAAAGGCGTCACCATCGAATGTAACGACGAAGGAGCAATACTCGTGGAAGCTAGTCTCAACAAATGTACTCTTTCTGATTTTCTCAAATCCCCAGATGCCAAAACCATTCAAAAATACTTGCTCCCTCTAGACTTGATCGACAACCTAAGCCAAGCGGCTGTTACCTGGCCTCTTCTGCTCGTGAAGGCGACTTATCTCCAATGTGGAGGCATGACCATCGGAATCTGCATGTCCCATAAACTCGCCGACGCAGCCTCCTTATCGACTTTTGTACGGGCTTGGGCTGCGACGGCACGAGGAGAGAGCCATGCAGTAGTCGAACCGGAGTTCGCGGGGGTAAAGTTATATCCACCAGCCAATCTTGCGTTCAAATTTCCTGAGATAGAAACCGGTAAGAGATTAAGTGTGACCAAGAGATTTTTGTTCAGCAGATTAAATATAGAAGAGCTCAGGAATAAAGCCACTATTCGTCAACAGATCCTACCTCGACCTACACGGGTCGAGTGCGTCACAGCTCTTCTGTGGAGATGCGTCATCGCTTCATCGTCGAAGACAACATGTACAAAAATGCTGGGGCAACCTGCTAACTTACGCAATAAGATACCTTCCCTCCTGTCCCAAAACCTAATTGGAAACATCATCTACTCTACCATGACATTCAACCTGAAAAACGAGATCGATATTCAAGAAACGGTAAAGGAGTTACGAGAAAGGGCGGAGGAGTTGACCAGTCTAATCCAAGAAGGTTGTGCTGATCAGTCCACAACGGCTCTGGGTTCGAAATTGGTAGATAAAATGGTTGCTGATTACTCTAAGTTAAGCGATGACCCTGACGGCCACAAACTGTACGAAGTAAGTAGCTGGTGTAAGCTACCGTTTTACGAGACTGATTTTGGAACGGGACCTCCGGTTTGGGTCTTTGGAAGTGTGGCTCCCATCGCTGAATTCGTGACGTTTCTGTTAGATTCGAACGATCTTCAAGGGATCGAAGCTTGGGTGACACTTGCCGAAGAAGACATGGCCTTGTTCGAACAGAACCCAGAACTCCTTGCTTTTGCCTCCCCCAGCTCTCCTGTCTTTTTCTAAATCTTTTATTTTTATTACGTATGCATGTCTGTATATCCCAAATAATATTGTGTGCTTTTTGGAACTGCTTCATATATATATAGCAACTCTGGTACTTGACGATCGTAGAGCATGAGCCTGCGACGATAGTTCGTGTGACATGAACTATTGGTAGGCATATCTTCGTAACTTATATCTACATATAGCTATCTTTCCTCTATATTCTTTGCTTTGGAGTGCTGCTTGCATATGGTAAACGTTCTCTCTATCACGCAGTTTTGCATGATACTTGATTTATCAGCTTCGTTTCTAGCAGCTTGTGGAGGATTAGATGGTCGTGTCTCGTGTGATATACATAGATGTATATTGTGTAAGAATGAATCAGGTTTTGTCAATACATGTTTGGTTCTGTTTTATACACAATTCTAATATTGAGTTTTCTTTAGTAAACTTGGAATCTGATTTTGATTGTTTATATAACAAACATGAGTAAAAACATACTTACGCCTTCTTAGGCTTGACTTCTATCATGATGAAGTTTTACATTATATATCACTCTAGCCTAGAGAGTTGCATTGTGAAACAAAGAGAAAGAGGTTTATATTGACATGCTAATTTAAGGTGGAGTTTGTTTGGACCTAGATTTCTGAATCGTGGCCGCGGCCTGTGACGGGCAGGATTGTATATTCGAAGCCCAAAGTACACTACATGTTAGAAAGTCACTTTTTATGTAACTGGAAGTGTAAAAGTCCCTCTCTCTCTCTCTAAATTTCTCTTTGGTTCACTATCTTAAAAGTATACTAGTAGAGTACCCGCTTTGTGCGGTGTGACGTTGTGGTTTTGTGTTAGAAAATTTAAACCCTAAATCCGAACCCCAAAAAACCCTAATAAAAAATTTAAAAACCCAAACTTTTTTAATATGTCTAAACATGAAAATCCGAAATCAAAAAAATCCCGAAAACCCTGAACTGAACAAAAAAATCTGGAAATCCGAACCCGACCCAAATACCCTAATCAAAATTTTAAAATACTCAAACTTTTTTAATATATCTAAACCCAAAAACCCGAAATCCAAAAAATCCGGAAAACCCTAAACTGAAAAAAAAACTCGAACCCCGAACATAAATTTTCAAAGAAACCCGAACAATTTCTATATCTCTATAAAATTAGGTTCAGATTTTCACCCAAATTCAAACTTGTCTATAAAAACCCGAAAATCTAAAAAGCATATTCTATTGATTTGGTATTATCGTTAGATTATGTTAAGTTTTTTTTTTTTTTTTTTTTTTTTTTTTTGCAGATTTTTAAGAGCTAGAAAACGGAAGTTTTCTAAACCATCGGTTTGTTTTAAGTTATTATTTTTGTATCCAAACAATTTTTTTCCATTTATTCTTCTATCCAAATAGCTTTTTCTCTTATTCTTGTATCCAAACATTACAATGTACTAAATTGACCCTAGTTAAATCTGTTGTCAAACACTTTCTCTTCATAATTAGATTGATTTTTTGGTCATAAATTTTTCATGTACTTCTTAATTAATAATATAAAGATAGAGTCTAGACATTGTTTTTTTCTTTTTTTATAATGACACTTAATTAAAAACTTAAAAAATTCGTTACACAAGTCATACATATGTAATACTTACTCTGTCCCATATTATAAGCAGGTTGGGAAAATGTATGTACAAAAAAATGGATGTATTTGGATGCAAATGAATCCATATACATCCACTTTTTTGCAAATACATTTTCCCAAACTGTTTATAATATGGAATAGAGGGAGTATATATGTAGCAACGCATGCAAGTGCATGAAAGGAGTCTTCACTCTACACATTGTTATAGCAATAATATATGTATGTAGACAAAGTATCCTTTCATGAACTTGCATGCATTGTCGTTATATATATATATAGTTTTGTTGTTGTTAAAGATGCGTTGCTGTTGTTATTGTATGTATGCACATCTGTCTCTCCTTTCATGCACTTGCATGCGTTGTTGTTTTAACTGTCTTATGTGGCAGACTGCCATATTTGGTTCACTATCTCAAAAGTATCTAGACATTGTTCTAGTGGTTCTATATATATAGTTCTTATAGCGCTACACGTAGATCGGACTATATATATATATATTTGTCACGAGTGATAGTTAAAATGTTTGAATTGTAAACGGCATATACGTAGATATTTTATATTCAGCGTGTTGAAACAAAAAAATGTGGAGACTTAGAATTGGAGCTAAAGCCGGAGATGATACTCACTTGTTCACCACCAACAACTTCGTTGGGAGGCAGATTTGGGAGTTTGATGCCAACGCGGGATCTGCAGAGGAACTCGCCGAGGTCGAGGAGGCTCGTAGGAGTTTCTCACACAGGAAGTCACATTACAAGACCAGTGCCGATCTCCTTTGGCGGATTCAGGTGAACACATAATGCAAAGTTTTGATAACATTTTAATTTGCTTTTGGAGCTTATAGAAAATAATTTCATTTTTTGTTTGCAGTTTCTTAGAGAGAAGAAGTTCCAGCAGAAGATTCCGCGAGTGAGAATAGAGAGTGCAGAGAATATAACGTATGAAGATGCAAAGACAGCATTGAGAAGAGGGTTACTTTATTATACAGCCTTGCAGGCTGATGATGGACATTGGCCTGCTGAAAACGCTGGTCCCATTTTCTTTAACGCCCCTTTTGTGAGTTACTCCACACACAGTCAATAATTAAAAGGTTTCCAAATAGTCAATTATTTAAACCTAAATAAACATGCTGCACAGGTCATATGCTTGTATATCACGGGACATCTTGAAAAAATATTCACACTGGAGCATCGTGTAGAATTACTACGTTACATGTACAACCATCAGGTACAGTGATATATATATATATATATATGAATAAAAAAAAAGATTTAGGAATAATTGGTTTGTAGAACGAAGATGGTGGGTGGGGATTACACATAGAAGGCCAGAGTACTATGTTCTGCTCAGTCATCAACTACATTTGCTTACGAATTCTGGGAGTAGAAGCCGGTCATGATGATCAAGAAAGTGTTTGTGCAAGGGCTCGTAAGTGGATCCTTGACCATGGTGGTGCTACCTACACACCCTTGATCGGAAAAGCTTGGCTATCGGTATATATATATATATATATATATATCTGACTAGTTTAAAAGCAAAACAAAAAAGCATCAAAAGATTATCTCTCTTTTTGTCATCTTCAATTTGGAATTTGTTCAGGTTCTTGGAGTGTATGATTGGTCTGGATGCAAGCCTATACCTCCTGAGTTCTGGCTCCTTCCTTCTTCTTTTCCAGTAAATGGAGGTTTGGATTTTATATGTTTCTTGTTCAGTATAATTATGTTATATATGTTTTTAAATATAGGAAATGTATGTGCATGCAGGTACTCTCTGGATATATTCACGGGATATTTTCATGGGGTTGTCATACTTGTATGGTACAAAATTTGTTGCTACCACAACACATCTGATTATCCAGCTCCGAGAAGAGCTTTATCCTCAGCCTTACGCCAATATCAATTGGAGCCAAACGCGAAACCGATGTGCAAAGGTAATGAAGTACATGGATGTTATTTTGTATTAAAAATTACTCAGAAGGACATTCTTGCTATAATCCAAATTAATATTCTAGTTTTACAGTGGAATATTCCAATTTCTGACATTCCAGTTTTATGTTATTCTAGTATAATATTCGATTCTATAGTTTTAAGACATTTCCGTTTCCATATGGGTCATAAAATCACTAAGTTTTTATGACATTCCCGTTTGCATGTGGTTATAATTAAAATCAATGAAATCAGTAAAAAAATATACCTAGTGTTAATTAGCCAAGAGTAAAAATAATATTCTCTCACAAAAATGGAAATAAAAGTAAAAAAAAAAAAAAAATTTGAAGAAATACACATCTTGATGTGTAAATTCTCAAAATTACATCTCTAGTGTGACAATTTTCGTTGTAAAACAATGTTATACTAGAGTTTGACCCGCGCCTTGCACGGGTGATATTTTCTCAATTTGATTTTATTAAAAGATGTCTATTTACATACAATTTTAGGAACATAGAGTGTTAGACAATTAAAAAAATGTCAATTTACATTAGACGAAATTTTGAGTGATGCATATTTTTTTAGCCTGGTTTGATTTTTGTCATCGTTTACAGTGTGGTAATCTAACATTTGCTTTAACAACAGTTTCTCCCTTTCCGAACCCACATATATATTAAATTTTAATACATTTAAAATAATTTTATATTTTGATAAATATAAAATGGCATATATATTTTATGTTTTTATCAATTTTAAATAACTAAAATAATTTAACTTATATGATAAGTTATTAGAATTTATTACGTTTAAAATTTTGATCAAACCAAAATATTAAAAAATACGATTTAATTATTTAATTCAATTAAAGAATCAAATTAAATCGAATAAAAGAAATTTTAAAGATTTCCAAACATGGTAAATTTTTCTTTCCTATTTGTGATTATGGTTGATCATTATTTGGATCCTATTTTATAATAGGTTTTTGAACTATTATCCCAAAATATAATCATGTGGGACATTTAACATTTTTAGAGATTTGCTTCATTTTTAAAAATTCAAACCATAGCATATGTAAAAAAAACTAATTTTCTTTTTTTAAATATTTTGATGTGATGATATAATTTATTCTTGAAAGTAAAGCTAAACAAAAATGATAGATGAATAAATTAATTTTTAAACAATTAATATAATACAATTGAATAAAACTTTCCATATTTTACTGATTGATTGACTAATAAATAAATTTTCGTCATTACCAAATAAGGAAACTGAAAGAAAATAATTTTCATTAATAATTATTTTTCTGACTAAATTAATCATATATATTTCATTCTCTAACCAAATATGAATGGCATAACATGTAATTAGTCTAGTAATGTTTGTCTTAATTAAAACTAACCTTGAAAGTGAACCTGGTGTTGACACATCAGCATGGCATTTCTGTTAATAACACATGAGACAAAGGTTTATTTTATAGTGTTTTCTCTTTTAATATATTAGGGATTTGAATTGATATTTAAGCAATGTGATGATTATGCTTATGTAGGAAGATCTCTACTATCCACCCTCATTTTTACAAGATTTGTTTTGGAAAAGTGTCCATATGTTCTCAGAGAGTATCCTAAACCAATGGCCTTTCAACAAGCTCATAAGACAAAGAGCTCTTCGGACCACTATGAAACTCCTTCACTATCATGATGAAGCCACCAGGTACATAACAGGCGGATCTGTGCCAAAGGTAATACTCTCTCTCTCTCTCTCTCTCTCATACAGATTATACTTGATGTGTAACAGAATAAACTGATGATTTTTCTTTCTTTCTTAATAGGCCTTTCATATGCTTGCATGTTGGGTAGAAGATCCAGACGGTGATTACTTTAAGAAACATCTTACTCGAGTCCCCGATTTCATATGGATTGGCGAAGATGGCCTAAAAATTCAGGTTGGTGGTTCCTTTTTTTTTTCTTTTTTTTTTTGAGTAAGACCGAAGCTTCTCCATAGCTTTACTTAGATGCATCATTCATTGACACATATACTTATGTACTATACTTGTGAAGTCTTTTGGTAGCCAACTGTGGGATACAGCCTTGTCGCTACAAGTCCTGATTTTGTTAGATGGTGTTGATGATGATGTTGTCCATGATGATATTAAATCAACTCTCCTTAAGGGATACTCTTACTTGCGGAAATCTCAAGTTACCGAGAACCCTCCCGGCGATCACATGAAAATGTTTCGTCACATTGCAAAAGGTGGATGGACGTTTTCCGACCAAGATCAAGGATGGCCGGTTTCTGATTGTACTGCTGAGAGTTTAGAGGTAATAATTAAATTTCTTAGCCGATCATTAGTCAGAAGTCCAAATAAATGTTTTAGTTGCTGATACTAAAATATGATTGGCTAGTGCTGTCTATTCTTCGAGAGCATGCCCTCAGAGTTTATTGGCGACAAGATGAACGTGGAGAAACTCTATGATGCAGTCAACTTCCTTCTCTATTTGCAGGTCAATAATTTAAGAAACTAAAAAGATTATTTTCGTTACCAACTTACCAAACTAAAAATTATTGTACGTGTTCCACTAGCATTTTTCCTTAAGATAAAATTCTATGTGTCATTATCTAAAACAGCGTTGACAAATATCTCGATCTAATAGATACAAATTTCTCTCATGCACTCATAACACGTTATGCTAATACAAATATTTTGGAAAATATTTTTAAAGAATGCTCTGTAAAACATTAATATTACAGAGTGCTAACGGAGCTATAACAGCGTGGCAACCAGCGGATGGGAAAGCTTGGTTAGAGGTAAATATCTATTTCTTCTATTTTTAACATATTTTATTTATTATTATTAGTTTTCTAAGGTTTCTACAATCAAATTATTACAGAAAACAATATTTATCATCATTTCAAAACAAATTAACCAATAAATAAAAAATAATTATTTTTGTACAGAAAGCTGAAAACATTATTTAATATATTTTTTTCTTTTTACCAAACCTTAAAAGTCACTTACAATCAAACAGAGAGTAAGTAACATTAACAATGCCTCAAATGCAGTGGCTTAGTCCAGTTGAGTTTATTGAAGATGCGGTCGTCGAGCATGAGTACTATTTCGATTCATTTCCCTCTCTTCATCAATTCATTACTTCTTTTTTTGCAAAGAAAGTGGCTTAAACTATGGGATATCATTCCATCTCTTAGATATGTAGAATGTACGGGATCAGCGATAGTAGCTATGGCTCAGTTCGTGAAACAGTTTCCGGAGTACAGAAAGGAAGATGTGAAAAGGTTTATAACAAAGGGGTTGAAGTACATTGAGGACATGCAATTGGTGGATGGCTCATGGTACGGAAACTGGGGAGTGTGTTTCATCTACGGGACTTTCTTTGCGGTAAGAGGTCTTGTGGCTGCAGGAAAAACATACAATAACTGTGAGGCTGTTCGTAGGGCGGTTCGGTTCATTCTGGCCACACAAAATTCGGAGGGTGGGTGGGGAGAGAGCTATCTCTCTTGCCCAAGCAAGAAATATACTCCTTTACCGGGAAACAGGACAAATGTGGTGAATACAGGACAGGCACTTATGGTTCTAATTATGGGTGATCAGATGAAGAGAGATCCTTTGCCTGTTCATCGCGCTGCAAAAGTGTTGATCAATTCACAGTTGGATGACGGAGATTTCCCTCAAGAGGTGTTTTTTTTTTCTTTTTTTTACATCTCTCTTGTTTACTTCATTTCAACAATGTGCATAAGACTATAGAACTAATTGCATTTTTATTTTGCTTTTATAAATTTTCAGGAAATAATGGCAGTGTTCAAGATGAATGTGATGCTCCATTTTCCAACGTATAGGAACATTTTCTCTCTTTGGGCCCTCACGCATTACACGCGGACTATGCGGCGGCTCTTCCCTTGATCCAATTCACACATCAATCATATCTTCATCTCCTTATATATCCCCATTTTCATTTGTTTCATTTTAATGTGTATGTAAAATAACAAATAAAATATGTTATATGCTTTCTATTATAAAAGGAACTATATGGTCGTAGAACGATAACATGTTGATCCAATAAGTTATATGTTGAAATAAAAACATAGAGCATCTTTATTATATAACTAGGAGAGTACCCGCGCAATGCGTGAGATTTTATATAAGTTGAAGTAAATCTTATATTATAAAACAAAATATCAATATATAGACTATTATACAAAGTTTTTAAAATATGATATCCTGTATCCATATGCATTCGTAAACAACATTTTAGGAAACAACAACCAACTATTTATGTCTTAATGTATAAATTTCATTAATCTTAGAGACTTCGTGATATTTTCTATCTTTGGTATTTTATTTGTCGAATATATTTCATAAGTATGAAAAAGAGTTCGGTATTGTGGATTTATTATCACACACAAAAGAACGTAAAGTTTATGATTAAAGATATAGTGTAATGTTAATGTTTTATTTGTTTTCTCAGACGGAGTATTGAAACGAACTGGGTTAATATTATGGTTTCTTCTCCACGTTGCAATGTGTTTTTAAAAATCCAGCATCAAGGGTCCCATTGTTTTTTTTTATTCACATGTTAACAAAAGAATTACCAGCACAATTAACTCGATTGTTCCAATCTTTGACAAAAAGTCTGGTTTACAAATGCGAAGAAGTCACATGAGATCTCTTTAACTATATATTGTTTAAATATACCAAATGCATCTAAAGATTCAATATCATGTAAGAAAGTACCAGGAAAACAAACAACAATGAATAGCTTTATTTGGGTATGTTAACCACTCTGCAGGCTTGGACGATTTTTTGTTTAGTTTCTGGAATTTGCTCGAGATGTATTTGAAACTCCCATGCCTCCTCATGCAACCATGGTTCCATCTGAGGATAGGAAAGTTTTTCTATCAACATTTGAAATTACTCTGATGTGCTTGCTTCATAAAAAAAAATATTGCATTTTCCAAAATCATAAATACAGTGTATCTATATTTTTCGTTCTTCAAAATATAGTCACATACTTTGTTGAAATGGAAGGGAAAAAGCAGGAGAAACATACCTTCGTATATCACATCAGGTAAACACCTTCAGAGGTTTGATATAATCTTTGAATCCTTATGTCTTCATTGGCCAAAGCAAATCTTCTGTACTAATTATTTTTCTTTTCTCTCTTTGGCACCTATCACTCGTTGCTATAAAAAATGTGCACAACATCATCAAAACTCATTGGTAAATGGTAAAGAAGAAAAAGAGAGAAAAGACCGGAGTCTATGAGTCTGATTGAGATTTTACCCGCTTGATCACAATACTGTGAAGAGAGAGTGTCTGTAACCGACAATTAGGACACGTAGAACATTTTGACATCAACTTTTTGAGATAAAGCATCAACCGTATCACTGTTCGATTCTCCGTGCTGCGAAAAGAAGAAGAAAAATATGTAAAGAACAACGTGTATGTATACATTATACAAAAACTTGTACTATATCTTATAACCTATATGGCTTTCTTGAATCTTTTTACCTCTGATTTGTCTCTTTGTTTCACGCCTATGCATTTAGATGCACTGGTGCTGGCACTTTTCAGCAAGCTACGTGCACTGTAACCCGTCGTCCCGTTCCTGTAATCCGAGCCCTCGTACTGTGACTTGGGAGGGATTTCGAGGGTCATGGCTAAAGAAGCTGCAGACATGTGGTTCTCGATATCGTGATTGTTTTATCCATTCTCTTCCTTAGGAGCAGGGACTCTCTCTCTGCAACAGAAAGGTACCACCACAACACATGTGATGTTCAAATACTACAAGTCAGTTTTTGATCCTTTTGGGATATGGTTTAGTTTAATTGTGTTCTTTACTATATGTGTGTTATGGGAGATTTAGCAGACTGGCCCATATATTATGCATCTGTAGTATTCTTTTTCTCCAGCAACTTCAATCGAAAGTCAATTATCAAAAAAAAAGAGAAGAAAGAAAGATTGTATACCTAGGCAAGGAGGCGTGTTGGCGTTGAAGAGGAGAGCTTCTCTCACCCTTACCATAATGTTCTTCAAGATGAGCAAATTGTCTCTTAAACTGATCAACACCACTGCATTTTCATTTGGATTACAAAAAAAATTCTTTATCTTACTGCTCATAATCCGTAGTAAGATTTGAATACAGACTGTAAATGTTATAATACTATTACCTTGGGTACATGAAGCTAGTCTGTTCTCCACCTCGAAGATATTAATCCAGCATCTGAGGATGATACTCTAATATCTGCAATGTTTCACATTCAAGTTTTGCACGAGTTAATTTTGCCACTATTGTTCAGCGCTTAACCAATCCAAACTAAATTTAATGAATCGCAAGAGTTAGACATTAGTGTACCTCTCTGTATATCAATTCTCTCATGTCTTCCTTTGTTATTTTCCTTCTTTCAAACTCAAACTCGAGTTTTGGAATCGGTTGAGTAGATGGTTCTCGATCCACGTTTGCCAGACCATGGAAGTAAGGATCTGCCAGTGCCTGTATATCATTACACACACATTTAAAAATCAATGTTTCTTTGCCTGAGAGCAATTGATTTCGCTCTCAAACTTTTCAAGGCAGACGCTGAAAAGACACTGGTATAGAGGAGCTTTACCTCTTCAGCTGTAGGACGGTCTTTGGGATCAAACGCAAGAAGACGGTGCAGGAAGCGTAGGGCCAACGGGTCTACATGAGGAAATTTGTGAGTGAATGGAACTGGCGGTTTTCTCCTCATGTTTCCGAGATATCTCCTTGCCTTTTCATTACGAATCTGAAGCAAGACAAAACATTGATCAACCATTTCAGGAAATCGAAAACTGATCCAACCCTGGTCTAGTAATGTTATAACACTCCTAGTCTCCTATTTCTGTGGGGCCACATACCTACGCCGTGAGCTTTCCTACCAATTACTATAACTCTAACCCAAGTTAGGCCTAAACTAATTGCCACCAAACCATGGCTGCAAATTGTAGCAATTGGAAAATAAAAAAAGAGTTTGAAAAAAAAAGGAACGAGTGGTCCTTACGTGGTCATGGACTTGGATGGTCAGGTTGCTAGAAGCAAAACCAAATGGGGGTTAAGTTGCATTATGCTCTATTAAGTTTTGTACATTTCTTGAGTTTTTATGCATTTCTTAGCAAGATCTTACCAGGTTATATAGATTTATACAAAGATTAAGCATTGTCTAGCCTGATCATAGTAGATATGATATACTGGTATGATATACTGGTTTACTACTATGTTTGTTTCTACTATGAAAAAAAAAAAAAAAAAAAAAAAAAACATGATCCGATTCAGAGACAAGCGAAGGCGCGTTGACGTTACGGCCGGAGTTTAAGGCGGCCATTACCGTCTGTAGCGGCGGATAGGAAGAGAAGGGAACAGTCTCTTCGGAATCGAGACGATTTGGGGGAGAATAAAATTGTATTAACCTAATAGAAAAGTGACGTCGTTTTGGGGCATCATTAAACATTTCGAAGGGAATGATTAAACGACGTCGTTTTGGTGTAAAAAAAATATGATGAGAACGCTAAACGACGTCGTTTTGGCGTTTGGAGGGAAAAAAAAGAAAGAAAGTACCACATGTCCCGAACAGGAGAGTGTCCAAGCCTTATTAGTTATGTAGATTTCATATTTCATTTCAATATATAATTAGTTTTCTTTTCAGTGTATTACTAAATTTTCAATTTCACAAGAAATCTTGTAAATATATTCTTTTTGAAATTATTTACTAACTATTTACATTTTCTTCAGAATTTACAAATTATACCTTTCATTGTCAGTACTTTTTCCACTTTATTACTTTTCAAATATATTAAAATTTATTATAGTTCATTTCTTTTATATTCTATTAAATATATGGTTTTTTATTTTGATTTTTATGATAAAAGTATTTTAGTATTTATAACCATCACTGCAAATAAATTATCACTAAAATAATTATTAATATTAAAATAAAACTATATAAAATTTGGAAGACTAATTTATAAATAAAAAAGGTCAAGCTAAATAGAACATGAAATAAGATGATTGCGTATTTAGCATCAAAAATAGCATTATATCATTTTGCAATTAAAAATGACATAAAGTAGAAATCGGTTTTTTTATTCCAAAATGGAGTTTGACACCAAATATGCATATAGATTACCATTTTTTTTTTTTAAGGTAACATTTTATTAAACCATGATGCAGTTTCCGAAAAACGGTTACAAACAAAGATAAAGATTAGAGTTCAAAAGATGAACTAGATTATATCGAATCTTCCGCTCCGATATACTTTAAGCTAAAGAAAATGAGACTCAGCCACGCCCTTCCACGTCCACGAGCCGTTATTTGCCAATTCATTTCTTTAGCCTTTGTCGATGGTTTAACCGGTCTGTCTCGAAGGATTCTCTTCCCGGAAGGTGTCATAAAATCCGTCTCATCTGACTCCTTGTCTGAATCCGACGAATCTGCTTCTTCTTCCGGTAAAGCCAATGAGGCAAACTTATTAGAACCAAGATCTCGCTCAATCAATCTCTCGCTCTCCAAATGGAAAGTGGAGTTTCCTTGAGCAATGATATCTGTTGATAAAGAACTAGCAGCCCCTAAAGTAGGAGACTCAATAAATTCCTCAGCGATGATAGTAGCTTGATTAATAGGTTGTGTTGTAGACACAAAAGTAGTAATTGGGTCACAAGGAGGTACCTCAGTGACAGGAGTTGAGACAGAAGCAACTTGAGCTAACGTAAGGTCAACTTGAGCAGATGGAGCTTCCGTAGAAGTACTTTTGGTGGCAGGAGATGAGACAGAAGCAACTTGAGCTAACGTAGTGTCGTCAACTTGAGATGAAACTTCCGTAGAAGTAGTTATGGTGGCAGGAGCTGAGACAGGATCAACTTGAGTTGGGAAATCAACTTGAGCAGATATTGAAGCTTTCTTAGGAGTACTTGTGGTGATCACAGAGCGTATGTCATCATCCATCGCAGGAGCCTTAGTTGTTGTAGTAGCAGCTACACTTGAAACAGTTTGTAAACAACGCTTAACTTTGTGTCCTAATTGGCCACACCTAGAACATTTTGATGGCAGCCATGCATATTCCACATCAACCATACAAATAAATCCCCTTTTGTCTTCAGCAGCAATTCTTGGTGGAAAGGCTTTGCTCAACTCAACCTCTACCAAAATTTTTGCTTCACCCATAAGAATAGGGTCTAGTCTAGGCTTGTGAGTTGCCATCGGAGCACCTAAACCTGAAGCTATGTGACTAATTCCAGGGATAGAATACAAGATGTTGGGTATCTTTTTTAGAGTTACCCACACAGGAATTGTTTTGATTTCAGGGATAGCTAGGGAAGGTTCCGGGGTCCAGGGAGCAACAAACATCAGACAATCATCAACATGCCACAACCCTCTTTGAAGAACCCAAGTCCTAGTGGATTCATCCGGAATATGAAAAAGGTAGTTACATTCCCCAAGCTTCCTAATGGTTACTTTGCAAGTTCTTCCCCATAATTTGTTAAAGACCGCAAAGATTAAGCCACCAGGAGGAGGAGAACATCTATAAAACTGCCCTAACACATACTCTTTCTGGTTCTCTAAGCCTTGCACCAAGACATGTTGAGGAATCGTTACCTTTGGAGTTCCGTCTTCTAGGAATTCAGGTTCAGTTGCTCTGTAGAGATTCCTTGAAGATGGACTCATCTTCGCTGCCCATGGAAACCTGATAGCATCTTCCATTGCTACTGGTTTTTGAAAAACTTGTGGCTCACTACAGATGGACTTTGATGCTCCTAAAGAGGGCCACATCTTTTGATCCACTGTAGAACGAGAGATAGAAACAGTTGAAAGGTCCAGCTTCTTAGCCCAAGCGCCAAGAGGTGGAGATTGGATAGAGCCTTGTGGCAAGGGTCCTTGGCCAGATGGAGCCACAGCTTCCGTCTCTGGAAGTGGAATGAGAATGTCAGATTCCCCTTTTGAATTTCCAGAAGCCTCCAATTTGTTTTCGGGAGCCGATTCTAAAAGGACAGGGGAGTCAATGTTCTTCGTCGGCAACTCCACTTGACATTCAGAGATGGCAAGAGAAGATGATTGAGGAATTACATTACTTTTGGTAGAAGAAGAAGCGCCGGAATTGTCACCGGCGGTGAGAAGCGGATCCGCCAAAGCTAGCCTCGAGAGAGGAGGCTTAGCTTTAAATGACCACCGGCTCTTGCTTGGCCAACGAGGATCTGGTGTTTGGGTCTCACCGGCAATTGAGGTCGTCGGAGGAGAAAGGAATCCAGAGCCTGACGGAGGAGTTGAGGGAGGAGAAAGAACAGCTTTTTCATTCCCGATTTTTGTTTGATCCATGATTGGGGAAGAGGCAGAAGGGAGAGAGTTGGTTTAATCGACAGATCCAGATGGGAGGAGACCAAATCCGGTGTCCGTGCTCAGAGACGCGCCGGAGCGACGCCTAGATCTACGGAAGAAGACGCGTGAGAGCTTTGGTCGGAGGAGAGAGAAATTCGTCGGTCGGAGAGAGCTTATATAGATTACCATTTTGTTCCGAATACATATTTGGTGCTCTTGTGAACACGACATTAGTAGGTTGTATATGCATAACTCATTTATCATCACAAAATATAGGAAACCGTCAATGTTGCTCATAAAACTTTAGAATCTCCCGAAGCCATTTAAATATTAATTAATGAAGAAAAGTGTACATAAAATCTCATGAGTAGTAAAAGCAAATGATGTTTGTCATGTTGTTGATACAGGCACATGTTGCTGGCACTTGACACACACACACAAGATAAAAGGGTTAGGTGTCAATGTATCATTCAAACGTGACATCCGCTATATTCGGTGGCCGAAGCCGCACAATCAGGCTATCAATAAACCCATGCGTTGTTGTTTGCATGCTGCCTTTGTGTTGTTGGTTTGTTGCATGCTGTCTTGTGTGGCAAAACATAATAAATATGGAACAACTAAAACATTTGTCTCACCTTTCATGCACTTGTCCCTCTCAAAGTTCTTTCACCTTTTGATGCACCTTAAAGGCGCAGATCAAGATGAGCTTCTTGTGGACCGTAGCATTGTGACAAAAAAAAGGGACTTGCACTAAATCTATATGCTTAAACGATGCAGCAAATTATAGAATGAGTAGAGCATAAAATAAAGAACACATAGAATTTGTTCACGGGGTTCGCTGATCTACATCTCCGGAATCTTGTCTAGAAACAATCCAATAGCTAAAGAACGCAAATACAATTGCCAATAGTATCCAACACAAACTTGTGTCGACCACTCTTATCTATTTGGGTCTAATCCATTCACTAGAAAGGCTGCAACCTACAATTGCTATATGGCATCCACCACTCTTTCCTAGAATTACAATGGTTAAGAGACACTATCACTCACACTCTTTTTCTTTTGATTTTGGCGAGTGTAGTTTTCCAGCTCATACCACCATCAGATCTCTCTATCTTCTGGTGGGACAACACCACATACATCCTGTGTGCATCTCTCAATAGAACTCAAGGTGTGTAACTTTCTTTTGTTTACATCTCTTCCTATTTATACTAAGACTTCACACAAACCCTAGTCTTCTTGATTTATGGGTAAAGCTCTGTTCTTCCTTTTTCAACTTGATTGTTGCGTGTCTTCTTTTCTTTGAGATATCTTCAATCTGAACTGCAATTGCATTCCTATGTAACTAACTGCACCTGCAGTACGTCAATGACTTTGCTTTACGCCTTCATATGTACAACAGCTACACAACTCAGCAGAATCACACACACACACACACACTAACAATCTCCCCCTTGATGACTGAGTTGTAGCTCGCATTACTTTGAGACCCACACCTTATACCTTGATGATCTTCACACGTTCCCTTAATCATCTATCACCAAGCACATGAGAGATCATCTGCATAAGCTACTCTTCGAGATGATTCAGTAGCGCACACATCTTCAATCTCTCCCTTTTTAGCTTAGTTTGTGCAACACAAGCAATCTCCTTGCAAAAACTAGCTTCAACCAATATATCTTCCCCTACTTGAGTGCACACACATAAAACGGAGCTTTTCCTTTGCCAGAACAAAAGTCAGCCTGAAGAGAGTTGACACACTTCGCAAAAACTCAATCAACTTGTGACTAGTCGAAACCTCTGTCTGATAGTGCAATACTCATAACCACAAGAATTGATAATCAACAAACATCTCAAAACACAAATATCGGATCAAATATCATGCTCATAAACTCCTTAAGTCTTTCACCATTTCTGTAGACGTAGAGTTTTAAGAAATTCCCCATCAAACAAAAAAAAGAACACCACAAAACAAGATTTCTACACACAAGCGATAACTAGCTTGAGAAAGCAACAAACAGCAGAAGACGAAAGCTCAGAAGCAGCTGTCCCAACATTAAAGAGTTACTGCTATCGCTAATAAACAAGATCTAAGCTTTCTGGCGAAACACAGATTTTCCCATCTCCAATGATAACTCCCAACTGTTTCCAGGGACAACCAAGGATCATCCCACACCGAGGTATCTTTCCCATCTCCAATGACAACTCCCAATTGTTTTGATAGAAGATCTCTACCAATAAGTATACCTCTCCAGCTATGTGATGAACTAGTGTGCCCTGAAACATCCAAAAGGCCTTTATCCTTACAATACTTTCCAAGCAGAACCCGAGCCACCAAACTAGAAGGTTTGGTGAGGAGTCTCCAGCTGAGTTTTGCTAAGAGAGAGTCATTGAAGCTCTGAATTTTTCTGATACCCAATCCTCCATCTCGTTTTGATCTAGCTAGGCGATCCCAAGAAACCCAACAAATACTTTTCTTTGTTTGGATCTGAGTCCCACCAGAATCTTGTCATCGTTGACTGGATACGCTTGCATAAGCTTACCGGGAGTTGAAACAACTCATAGAGTAGGTGGTCATAGCTGAGAAAAAAAGACTTAATCATGGTAAGTTTTCCAGCATTTGAAAGAAGTTTTGAAGACCAACTAATTTCTATGAGGCGTATGCGGTCCCCTATCTCCGTGAAAAGGTCCTTCTTTCGTCGGCCAAAATGTTCAGGGATCCCGAGATATTTACCTTGTCCTCGGCCAAGAGCAAGCTTGACTCTCTCCTTGACTTCAAGAAGAGTTTTCCTTGAGAACGAGATTGAAGATTTTTGGGCATTTATCACTTGTCCAGAGGCTGCTTCATAACTTCTGATAATCGACATCAGAGTCTCACAGCTCTGTACACTCATTTTACTCAAAAACATAGTGTCATCAATGAACAGTAAGTGATTCAGCTTTAACTGTTTTGGGAAACTCTAATTCCAGGGAAGGATCCATTTTCTTGAGCTATTCGACCCAGCCCTGAAAGAACCTCTCCACATATTATGAAGATGTAGGGGAATAAAGGATCTCCCTGTCGAATCCCTCTATGAGGCTGTACATCCCCTTTCGCAGAGCCATTTATCAGGAAAGCATAGGAAATGGTGGAAATGCATTAGATGATGAGATTAGTGAATGTGCAGTGAAAACTGAGGCGAGAGAACACTGCTGATATGAAGCTCCATTCTAGTTTGTCATAGGCTTTGCTCATGTCAGTTTTGACAGCCATTAAGTAGTGCAATGTGGCTTCCGAAGTCTTGAGGTAGTGGAGAGTTTCGTGTGTTATCAACACATTATCCGATATAGCTCTACTCACCACAAAAGCTGATTGCGTTTCTGAGATTAAAGCTGGAAGCAGAGGTTTTAAGCGTCTTGAGAGAATCTTCATGATGATCTTTTAAGCGTGTCGTAAAAGTTCTTACTTCTCCGACAAGAAAATGTTAATCCCTTGGATGTAGTGAGATTTGTCTTTAACTAAAGTCCTCGTCAAATAAAGGAACCACTAGTTCATTATCAGTGATGGATCGTATTCAAAAGTTTCTCCAGATTTCACAAATCTTCCTTTCACCCGCTTTCTTGTATCAGCTCTGGCTTTCAGTGACGCGTATCGTATTTGCTTGCTAAACCTAAATACACACACATAAAATATTAAAAATCTGTTTCTATGTAAGAGATTCTTTTTCAAAAACATTACGTACCACAAGCAAACAGGATGGGCCCGTAGCTAAGGCGAGTAAAGTCCACGCTTTAGACGCCAAATTCTATATAGGGTTTTAGGGGCGCTGAAATTGTACAAACGCGTGTAATCTAGTGGTTTATGTCTTCCTCTAGTGCTAAGGTCATCAGTTTGACTCTGGGTTGATGCTTGTATTTTTTGCATTTCTGGGCCAAAATTGATTTTTTATTGCTTTAGGTAGCCCACCCGTTCGGGCCAAACCATGCAAGCGAAAACGAATTTTGAAAACTTACGTCAACTTTGATTTCTTTTGTTTGTATCTCTTTTTAGCCTCATCCCTTGATTTTGGACTAAAACTAACTTCAATATTTAATTCCCATGGTGAAAACCCTGACGAGATTCCACAATCTTGGTAATCATTCGCGTTGCTTTCTCTTGTGATGTTGGACATCAAAATTGATGACAAGCTCGGAACAACATTCACTGATAATGCAGCAGGAAGCAGCAGAGGAGGAGCAAGGCCAATGTTCTTCTCTTCCTGAGAAACAAGTGTCATTAATTTTCTAGAAACTAAATTAATTTATACGGAACTGATCAAAAGAAAAACCAAAAGCCAAAAAATAGACCTTAGTATATTGGTAACATTTGGTATGAATATGATCAAGTGTTGAATATATTTTAAATACCAATTAAAATTAAAAAGGTTTAGAAACCCTAACTTTACAACTATACAAAGACCTAGTTTTCGAATATCATATTTAACATCGGCCGTTTTGATAGTTCCTACTGTAGGTTGTAGTTTATTTGGTGTTTATCATTATGAATGCTGAAGAGGTATGTTCAACTGCCTATCGGAGGCAAAAAAATAGGCCATATCATTCGTGTAATACTAATCTATTGACCATGCTTGTTTTGTTAATAATTTATGAATCTGATCTTCTTTAGTTGAATCATCTGCGTGTTAAATAGTTACATCTCCAAGTAAAGAAATTGAAGGTAATGCAAGCTAATAATTATACTAGAGACTATACCCTTTGCTTTTTCGGTTAATCACTATTTATATATTTTTAAAAATATGTTTCTATTATTTTTTCTTTGTTGTTCTGTATAATACTGAAGTTTTATAATAGATGTTTTGCTGTTTTATTTATTTTAAATGTTTGAGTTCTAAATTTTCCAAAGATTCGATTCTATGATTTGTTAGCATTTACATGAATAATTATTATCTTTCCAGTACCAAAGAAATGGTTCCATAGTGAACTTAGAACTTTCTCGAAACTATTGATCTTCTGATTTTCTAACAACTTATCAAAGTTCTTATTAACATTATCCCAAGCTATGTGCGCCTCTTAACCACACTCAACCACGATCCCAAAGTTCTTTGGTTTGCTTTAACTCACTTTCACGATACCAAGAAGGTATCAAAACTATGGTGGTAGTTTTACATTTTTCTACACCTCAATACAAAACATATCAATGTGTTTTACATTAACTTTGTGTTCTTTATACGATCTCTTCATATAATTAAATCTAGATGAAAATTGGACAAGAAGATAACAGGTTGGAAATAGAAAAGGAAGTTGAGCAGATTGAGGTTGAGATTTGAAGAGAAGCAGGAGTAGAGAGTAATCAAGGAAACATGAAGAAATAGCTGGTGATAGCACGCTTTACATTTGTGCAGAGATGCAGAATTTAGGTAAAGGTAATGCATATTTCACGAATTATGGTTTCTAATATATATATATATATACTAGATTAGGCCGCGTATACGCGGGTTTATTTATTTTTATTTTTTTAAATCACGGAAGAATATTAAACAAAATTTGATCAATTTTAAAAATAAGAAAATAATATTAAAAACCCGATAACAAATCTCTAAATAAAGATATGTAGTCTTTTACATTTTTATTTTGAATTCATGATATGAAATAGAAAGATTTACATGTGTCTAAATCTAATCGACTCATTATTTTATGAAACTTTGATTATTCCATGATGAAATCTTTATTTTTAATATTTTTTTACCTAACAAAACATGGAAAATTAAACTATTTAATATTAGAAGATCAGTCCATTATAAAATTTTCTTTTTTAATATTATTTAGTTCCTTAATAATTATTTTGTTAGTTTTCTATTTATATTGTTTCTTTTTCAATTTCGTTTTTGCCTCTGACCATTATAAATTTTCATTTTCATTATTAGTTAGTTGTTTTAATATTATTTTGTTAGTTTATTTATTTATGTTACTACATTTTTCCAATTTTCTTGTGTTGACACATGTCATCACTTCATCAAATATTAGACACATGTATCGATCTAAAGTTAAGTATTCTTCATTGATATCTTTAACTTTTAAAGACATGAATTTTATTTCTTAATGAGAAAGAAACTTAAAAAATATAGCTTGTTATATATTGTTTTTTTTTTCATTTTCGTAATGGGAATATGTTTTTTATTCCTTTTCTTATTGGATGTAACATTTTTTAATTATTTCTTCATGTTTTTCTGATTTTCGTTTTTTTTCCTTTTCGTAATAGAATTATGTTTTTTCTTTACTTCTCATAATGGATGTAATATTTTTTCTTTTTAATTGTTTGTTTCCTGTTTTCTGATTTTTCCTAATGTACTAATAGGATTTTATTCAAATAATTTTAATTTCGATCCAATTGACCTAGAGTCAAATAATCTCCACTGTTCTCTTGAACTTTCAAAGACATGATTTTGAAATTAGAGAAAGAGAATCAAAGAGATTTTCTGAATTTGCTTTGATGAGTTTGTGAATGAGAAAAAGAGACTACAGTAGCTCTCTTTTTATAGGGGGTTCATGTAACCAATTTCATATAAGTTTTAGGATATTTAGTTTACATACCTATTACATGTACTAATAGGATTTTTTTAAATAGGAGTTTATATAACCTATTCCATACAATTTTAGGATATTTAGTTTACATACCTATTCCATATACTAATAGGAATTTTTTATTACATTATTTTTATTTTATTATATAAAATTTCGTTTTTATTATAAGATATTAAAAATTTCCCTTTAAAATAAAAATTTCTTTTTCCGAAGACATGTGTCACGATCTTAACGGATATAACATTAAAAGTGACACATGTCGCAATCTTATATTTTATAAAAATCCTACGTGTCGCAACCACGTCGTGCGCATCCAGCTTTATATAATAAAATATTAAGCATCTTATTTTGAGTTATTGAGCCATTCTTTTATGTATGTGCTGTTATACTGTGCATAAGTTTCTTTTACAATCTCGGGTGTACGAGATAAGAAAACACAATGTGAAAGCAGATCAAACGACATACTTGTAGGCCAACGTGGCCAGAAAGTTAAGGGTAAGCTAAAATTTAATGATCTAAAATCTGAATACAAATATAAGTTTTGTAGCTGCCTGTTGTGTTAAATATTTATATACCTCTTCAGTTTTAATTATTTTAGTAAATAGACTTAAATTGATACCACAACACAAACTAAGAACCACAGATTCGCTACAGAGTTTAATGAACATGCCAATGGGGACAGACAGAGTATTGCCGACAAGTATCATCGTTTGTGAGCACTGGGATGATCTTCTTTTTGTTTGCATCTAAGAACTGAAGTTCCCATGTTTTGTAAGCTCTTTTCTTTCTCATGAAATCAGTACATGTATGTTCTAGAGGTGGGATAGATTTAAATAATGTGTGCAAGTGCTTGCTATTTTCTCAAGCAAGCACTTGTGGACAGAGTATTGCCGACAAGTACTATCGTATGTGAGGACTTGCGATGATCTTCTGTTTGTTGTTGTTAATTTTTAAAAGAGAAAATTACCAATTTTAGACCACAATTTGATTTTTTCTAGTCAACTAGACCACAATTTGAATCAATGCAAAACTAACCTCTTTGGGTAGTAAAATTACCTCACAATCCCTCATGACCAAACAAAAAAACGCATGCCTCAATTACGATTATAACCTCCGGAGCATGTAGATCTACGGGGTAGATCTACCGGGTAGACAATGTTAGAGGTCTACCTCGTAATAACATCTTAAATTTTAATTAACAATTCAATAAAAAACATTTTTATACAAACACAAGTATGAATAATTCTAATATAGACATTATCATATAAAAAAATATGAATGCATACAAATGAATGATTTATATATAAGGAAAGACATATAAGTTAATATCTATAAAAATGTGTGAGGTCTACCGAGTAAGTCTACTTTATCATTAAATTTAAATTTTTATTATAAAATTTAAAAAAGAATACTTTGATGAAAATTATTTATACATAATTACAATACAGACAACTTGCATCTATCTAAAATATAATTTCATAGATTTGAACCAACTGAACTATGAAAAAAAAAAATTAGGTTAAAAGTCTATAAAACCATTGGAGGTTTACCAAGTATGTCTACTAAATCATCAAATCTTAAATTTAAATAAAAAAAAAAAAATTTGCAATATTTGTTTCACAAATAACGAAACAGTAGACATTTAATATCTATTAAAAATAAAAAATCGGAAATATTCATGAATCTATAAATATCATGAGTATATAGTTCATAAGAATAAGAGTTTGAGTAGATTGTTTAGGGTTCAATGGTGTAAGTTGTAGGGTTTTGAAAAAAATTATATGAATAACTGTTTTTGATTGGTTTTATGATTCAATGTTCGTTTCTTTGTGATATACATTGTAAATTGCCAATATGGCAACCAAATCGTTGCAAAATTGTATATAAATTATTCGATTTAGGGTTTAGGGTAAAGTTGACCTCACCAGTAGACCTAACCAGTAGACCACAATGGAGGTCTACCAACCATTTTAACCTAGCGGGAATCCCAAAATTTTAAACCAAAACGGCGGGAACCAGAAATTATCAAAAAATTTGGTAATTTCGAGTTAAACCGAATAAGTAAACCGGAAAATTAACCTTCATATATAAAGAAATATTTAACCTAATTGTGTTAGAAATAAAATAACTCTCTCTCTCTAAAACAGCGCCTCCCTCTCCTCTCTCCATTAAACTCCGCCATCTTTTTCTTCATATGTGTCCTCTAGATCCAGATCCAGATCCAGAACGCTGTTTGCTTTCTCCCTTTCAGACCTGCTCACGAAGGCTTCTACTCTTGACTCCCACGACCCTCCTGTCCCTCCAGCTCTCTCCTCCAGCCCGAGTAAACTGCCAAAACACCGATGAATCCGCCAGAAATCCTCCGTAAGCTTTTTTTTCTCCCCCACTCCAAGATCCTACCTTGCTTCAATTGAAATCAATTCGACAAAAACCTATTTATTTTTGTGGCAGGAACAAATCCATCAAAATTGTGATAGTGTTTGGTTGATATTGGAGAAGACACAAACCCGTGGAGAAGTGAGGAAGGAGAAGAAGGGAGAAAACCAGAATCCGAAACGGATCTTACGGGGCGATTTCCAGCCGTTTCATAAAGTTTCAGAAGCTTATTTTGGTACCATCGGAAAGATCGTCTTCTCAGCTTTCCAAAACATCCGAGATCACGGTAAACCGAGTTATATTCAGAGAGTTATGGATATTCCTTCTTGAGACGTCAGATCTGTTTTAAGATCTCAGAATTTATTTTTGTGAAACAATTTCCCGATGATATATAAGTCGTCAGGAGTAGATCTACATACGGTTTTGAAGATCTCGAACCCAAATTTCCAGATCTTCTTTCAGTTGTCTAATCAGAGGTATATTTCATCCGCAAATCACCTCGAAAGTTTAGTGAAATTCTTTTTCTTTTTCCAAAAAAATCCTCCATGAATTTGCTCTTTGATTGACAATTTTCTGTGTTTTTAATCTCTTTGTTTAATGCTTTAATCTTTCTGGTGAAGGAAGCATAGCTGGTGGAGAAGAAAGAGTCAACTAGGACTAGTGTGAAAACCAATTCAAAACCATGAAAAGGTATTCATAATATAAATCTTGTTCATATTTGGTCCACCGTCTGGTGAACTCGTCGCCGTTGTCTAACAGAATCGGAGCGCTCCACATCGATCCCATTTTCCGGTAGTAACTCCGTCACTCACTCCTCTTTCTTACCATTTTCGCTTTGTATAACCACAAATAACCTCACCGCCGAATTCATGTGTCGTTTTTGTAGTTAGATCTCGTCCAAGATATCGTTCCTGGTGCTTTGCGATAAGCGCTTAGAACTGTCGTCGTCGTCGAGAGGTACAACAATCTATAACATAACCTCTACAACTCATATATGTATTTCTTCTTCGTGATTCGGTAGATTTCGTTTAGGGTTTAGAGTAGACTTTCGTAGTAGACCTTCGTAGTAGACCTTCGTAGTAGACCTTCGTAGTAGACGTTCGTAGTAGACCTTCGTTTTTGCCTTCTTTGATTTTCCTTTTATGTTCGTTGCAGAATGAAGAAGCCTACCTTTCCAAGGAGGTTATACACAAGAGGGGCTGAACCGGAAGCCCAAAAGAGCATCTCCTACGGCAGCAACGACAAAAAGCTATTTGCTGCCGTGAAAAAACTACTGAGTGATGCCGAGTGGGAAACACTATGCGACTCGCGAGTTGGTGTCTTCTGCAAGTTTCACGACCTCGACTTCGCGTGGTCTTCGAAGTTGGTCCACACGATGCTCTCATATCAGTTAGAGTGCAAGAAGAAGTATGAGATCTGGGTTGCGGTTGCGGATAGCCCAATTAGATTTTCCCTCCATGAGTTTGAGCATCTCACCGGCCTCAACTGCGACTATGTGGAAGATATTGATGACCCCAAGTGCAAGGTTACTCTAGAGATGAGAGCATTCTGGGAGAAGCTCGGAGTAGATGTTGAGCTTGGTCCGAGTCAAGTGGAGATCATTCGTGCATGCGAATGGGCAACATACTGGCCGAGTGAGGACAAACTTAGACTTGGTTACTTGGGCATCTACACTGGCTTCATTGCTGCTCGGAAAAACACCTCGTACACTCCTGTCAACCTGGAATCCTCAAGGTGTTCTGGTGAAGAATCCTATACCCCGGAGTCTGCGAAGAGGAAAAGAGCCTCTGCCCCTGGAGATGAAATGCAGAAGAGGCAGTGTCCTGAGAGCGTATCCTCTGCTGAAGATGGCTTCAGTCGCTTCGAGGAGAAGATGAAGGTTCTGTTTGAAGATGGCTTCGGTAAGTTGTCTGCGGCGATGAAGTCTGGCTTTGAACAGTCTGATTCCAAGTTCACCATCCTGACTAGGAAGGTGATCCGCATAGAAAAAACAGTCCAGTCTATGCAAGCAGCATCAAGGCGTCCAAACACCAACCTGTGGAACCTGACGCAGATAATGAGAAGAACGAGCCGTCTGTTGAAGATGGTCGAGCCGAGGAGAAGGCTGCGAAGGATGCTGCTGTTTCGGAGAAGGATGCGAAGGATGCCACTCCCAGGAAGGATGCTACAGTCTCGGAGAAGGATGCCACTCCCAAGAAGGACGAGTCGTCAGGTGAAGAGGAGGAGGAGGAGGCTGACATCGGCGAGAAGATTGGCGATAACTCCACCGAGAAGGCTGCCACTCCTAAGCAGAGAAAAGCTCCAGCTCGGGTTAGTAACAAACCCTCTCCTACTATGAAGAAAAATCAGCCTGCTGAACCTACTAGGATCCTTCGAAATAGGAAGCAGAACCCCAAGTACAAGCAGTAGATTTGTCTGCTGCTGCTTTTCTTGTTTTATCATAAACTTGTGTGTTTTAACTTGTTTCTATATTTGTGAATCTTTTTCTGCGGAAAACAATGAACATATCTGTTTTATATGTATATCTGTTTGCTACAAGTAAAATATTTTGATGCAAGCGGCGTTCATTGTCATTTGCAGAAACAACAAGTTTTATCTCCATGCGGTAGTGACAATGGCGTAGACCCGGACCTGGTTTTCGTGAAGGAGTATACACCAACAAAAGCTGAGGAAGTGGAAGAGGCACAAGGATGGCATTAAAACAACAAGCAACAATAGATATTGCACGTGCAAACGTACAGAGACAGCGACAGCTGGCCGCATCACAAGTGTCTCCGTTTATAGGAGATAGCACAGTGAAGGGAATCATTCCTAACAAGCCACGGCTTGGATATGGATATGATCCCAACGAGCCTGTGGATAAGGACAGACTTGCACGGCTGAAGAAAGATTTCAAAGGCATTTTGTAAGTATTTTCTTAAACTTCCTTGGTTTGGGCAGATTTATAGCTTGTTTGATTACCAATTGTGATTTTTATGTTTTGTATCCAGCGGCCCGACGAAGTTCAAACTCCACATTCCACTAATGTGGTGGCATGAATTGGTCACGCAGACGGAATGGCTCGCGGATACGGTAAGTCGCCTATAATGTAGACCATTTTGGTAGAGCATGTTGGTAGACCATTTTGGTAGACCATTTGGTAGACCATTTTGGTAGACCATTATGTTAATGTTTTCTTATTTACTGTCTAAGAATTTCGTATATGTTTTCAGCACATGGACGCAGTAATGAACATGTTTCGTCATCGCATGAAGTTGCACCCCGAGTGGTTTAGGAGTGACCGACTGTGCTTCTGTGATAGTACTCCTAGTATGCTGTGGCAAAAAGACAAGTGGAAGAGGTTTTTGAGTACAAAGCCCGATGGACAGGGACTAGGAAGGTGGGTCCCGGGAGGTGCGACCGATCTCTTCGAAGGGAAAGCACCACGTTTCTGCCAAACCTTGAAGAAATGGGAAGTAGATATTGATGAGATCTACATGCCATGGAACGTCAAAGACGCTCATTGGGTGGCCTTGATGGTTTCTATACCGAAAAGGCATATTACTGTGTGGGACAGCATTCCAGGATGTCTATCGGAGAGGTTGTTAGCCAAAGCTATCGAGCCCGTTGCTGTCCTTATGCCTTATCTACAACGGCTCATGGCTGACATCGGTGATAGGTATAAGTATCCACTCGACCGTTACACCCACGAGTATATTTCCGGAGGAGATGTGCCTGCGCAAGACAATTCGAGTGACTGTGGAGTCTACTGTCTAAAGTTCATCGAGTATCATAGTCTTGGGAGGCTTTTTCCGAAGACGCTTTGTGGTAGGAACATGAAAGCTATAAGAGCAAAGCTTGCAGCGGACCTATATCACGAGATCAACTGTCGCGGCCCTCCAGAGCGTAACTGGGAGGATCTGGACAATGACATATAACTATCTAGGTAGATCGGTATATATCAGTTTTAGGCTGGGTGTGTTTTGTAAAGCGCTCATGGTACCATATTTTGCTGTGTACCTAAACTCGACGCTCTCATTATTTTTTGGTGTAAAATATAACTACCTAACCCAGCTAAATATATAATATAACTGTTTTCGGATAAATTCAAATTCTTGCATGTTTACTAACATGGACGTACCCCGTCAATATCAAACAAAATGAATAACATAAAACATTAGTAACTCAAAACAGCTAAAGTAGACCTCTTCGGTAGATTGTTGTAGTAGATCGGTCGGGTAGACCTACGTAGTAGACCGAATATTACGTCTACGTAGACAAGGTAGACTAAACATGCGGTCTACCGAATTAGTCGACTAAGTCAGTCTGCCGCTGCGTTGTTCATCTGCAGGAGTTATGGAACTCAAGTAAGGATAAAACTGAAACATTAACGGAAAGAGGGAGTTTTCAATGGCTTACACAATGAGGTCGGGTGTGTCCTGGAACCCTGCACAACGAACAGCTATAAACTTTGTGGACCTTCCTTGGTTTGGGCTGTCTCTTCCTTGACAATTCTAGCCATGTTAGATACCTTGATTTCTTTTTCCGGCCACGAGTTGGCGCCACTTCTGGAGGTAAGCAAATGTCTTCTTCTTCCTCTGCATCTTCTGTAGGCTCCGGGTATATGGGACGTGCATATGTTGCATACAAAGATTCTTTCGTGTATGTCATACACACGTTTTGCGAAATGTGCATGTTTGCCTCAGTAGACGCTGCAATCGCATGTGAACAAGGTATTTTCTCAATCTGGAATACACCACATTCGCAGGAACGGTTTTCCAAATTCACAATATAATGCCCTCCTCCGCCTATAACATTGAAAGTCCATCCATCTATGTGTTCCACAGTGTATGTTTCTGCGTGGTGTGTACGAATAGCTAGCAAATATTCAACTCCCTTGCTGTATGGGGTCTGAAGACTCAAGGCGTCCTCTCGCCTTTTGGCAAACCAAACCCCCAACTTCTCCCGGATGAATTGCAGCAGATACGGTATTGGAAAGCCCTTTGCTCTCTTCAATGCGGAATTGATAGATTCAGCAATGTTACTTGTCTTTATATTGTATCTATCCCCTGGAAAATGTACTCTGGACCATAACTTAGGATCTGCTAACTCTAAGTAGTTCGCAAGTGCAGGTTTAGCAGCCCGGATTGATGCCATGCAACGGTTATACTCTCTCAGCGTATGGGCGTATGCAGCTCCTTTCACCAAGTACATCAAATCCTTTGCACCCAGCTCTGACTTTGAGACAATGTTTCCCTGAAGATGGTAGTAACAAATACCTCTGGTTACCCAAGGTAGAACATTGAGACATGCATTAGGTATGGAGGGGTGCCTGTCCGAAATAATGACCATGTGATGAGATGAAAAGCATTGCTGCAACTTGTTCATAAACCACCCCCATGATTCGTTATTCTCGGCATCTACAATCCCAAATGCCAACGGGAAAACCTGAAAATTAGCATCTTGTCCGGCTGCAACCAGCAATGTTCCTCCATACTTTCCAGTTAGATGAGTCCCATCTACCACAATAACACGTCTCAAGTACTGAAAGCCAACCATTGAAGCATACAAGGACAAGAAGCAGTATTTGAATTGACCATTAGCCTCACATACAAGGTCAGTCACGGAGCCCGGGTTTGACTGCTTCACTCTTCGCAAGTACGAGGGCAAAGCCGCATATCCAGCTTCTGGTGTTCCCCTAACAAAAAGTTGGGCAGCTTTTAAAGCTCTGTAAGCAGTGGTGTAGTTAAGCTTAAGTCCAAGCAACACCCTTATCGCGGAAGCAATATGCCTTGGGACAATTCCATCAATGATTCCAAACTGCTCTACAAATATCTGCCCAAGATACCTTGGAGTACATCCCTTGCGGAATCGAGCACGGTCCACCACAGAGCATGTATGAACCTTGACATACTTTGTGACAAAGAACCTCTTTGCCTCATTCTTTATAGCAGCTCTGCACATCCATTTGCATCCATCTACAAAACATTTTGCCACATAGAGCTTGGTAGTAGACTTAGAAACCTTGAAGGCGAATCTAGACTTCACTGCCTTCACTCGCAAGGCAGATATGAGATCATTCTTGCTTACATAGCTCTGGCCAACTGATATATCGCCTGACCCACACAGAAAGAACATTTCAAACTCACACAGAAGCAAGTAAACAAACAAAAGCAACTAACTGTTCGAGATAAATTCCAAAATATTTGATATATTGAAAGGAAAACGACATTTCAAAAAACACATAATAATAGACCTACAACGTAGACATTCATAGTAGACGTTAACGGTAGACCGAAATGTAGGTCTACGCCACGTGGAGGGTTAGTTTAGCAATTGTTCGAGGAAAATGTTTTTTTGGAGGTCTACCGTGTCGGTCTACTACACGTGGCGGGTTAGTTTTGCAATTGACCAAACGTTGACTTTTTGCCAAGGTCTACCGTCTCCGTCTACCAGAAGACGTAGACCTCCAAATCGGTCTACCGTAAAAAAGTAGACCTCCAAATTAGTCTACCGTATCGGTCTACCTAAAAAACATTTTGTGATGGCGTTGACTTAAGTTTGACTTTCCTCGGGTAGACTTCCGTGGTAGACCTCAGTTTTTTTGCGTTGACCAGTAGACCTCACTTTCGGTCTACCAAGCAGTAGACCTACACGGTAGACCTCAATGCCGCAAACTCTCTCCTTTTTGAGGAAAGTCAAACTTTTGTCAACGGCCGGACCAACGTTTTTTTTTTAGGTAGACCGACCTGGTAGACCTACGACAAACATTTTACTCGATCAATTGCAAAACTAACCCGCCACGTGTAGTAGACCGACACGGTAGACCTTCCAAAAAAACATTTTCCTCGAACAATTGCTAAACTAACCCTCCACGTGGAGTAGACCTAATTTGAGGTCTACCACTTGTTTTTTTTGTTTGCAAAGGAATTGACCCGGTCTACTTTTGGTTGACCGGAGGTCTACCATGTAAAAGTAGACCTTCTCTTCCGTCTACCTTTGCGGACCAAAACTGAAAGTCGTTCAATTTTGAAAGAAAGGTTACCTCGCCGTCGGAGAAAGGCTCTTCGAAGCCTGATAACTTAAATTTGGGCTTCCAGCAACGATCTCCGGTCGTCAACGTAAGCTAGACAGTCGGAAATACCAAGATCCAAGATTTGAGATTTCTTCTAGATTTTGGGATGAAAATGGAGAGAAAATGAAGAATAAGAGTTTGTGAGATGAAAGAAGGAGAAATGGTAGCTCACCAACGAGTTTTCGGAGCATTGAAAGCTCCATGTTCGGTGAAAATGGTGGTTGGCCACATTGATGATATGGCATTTTCGAAATTTTGTGTAGGAGATGAGGGGTCTTTGGTCTTTCAGCAGATACGGTAGACCTACAAATCGGTCTACTAGTCGAAAAAAGTAATGGCAATCCTGTAATTAATTAGAAAAATCTGGACAAACTTAAAACGAAAAAAGCAGGAGGTTACTTTTGCATTTGACCACAAATTTGGGTCTAGAAGTGAAACAATCCCTTTTTAAAAAGTGAATTTATCTCACGCAAGCGTGGGAAATCACCTTCTAAATGTTAGTTCATACAAAATAATACTTCCTCCATTTCTTTTTACTTGTCCTTCTAAAGAATTTTATGCAGACTAAGAAACTAACTAATTTTATTATTTTACCTCTATTTAATACATTGTTTTGTTTAATATGATTAGTCAATAAGCTAAAAATATAGAGATATATCATAAATTATATCATAAATGTACATTGCAAATGTAAAACGGAGGAAATATAACACAAACAATTTTAAAAACGTTGGAAACATGGAAAGGAAACTACTCTTGCTCCTTTATTTTCGAACAAATAAAATAGTGACATTATTTTGCAATCAACGTAATAAAATAAACAAAAAAAGGAGAAAGATTTTTATGTTGTGTTGTGTAAGTTACATAGCATATATGATTAAACAAGGGACTTGGGTGATTCGGAGATGTTGATAGGCAGTCCCTTTGGGAAATGTGGGAATGGTGAACGCACGAACTCCACTTCTTGGGCTAGTGAGAAATCGTATTTGGTTACAAGATGATGGATGAAAATTGACATCTGAAGCCTCGCAGAATCGGCGCCAACACACTGTCTAGCTCCTGCTCCAAACACCATGAACGTCTTAGACGCAGACCGCAACTCTTTCCCCTGTTCATTTTTCATTGTTCATTAGTCTTGTAAATTGTAATATTTGTTTTTTAAACAGAAACTAGAGAGTAAATTAAGTCAAACTTTATATACCTCCCATCTCCATGGATTAAACTCCAAATGGTTTTCATATATTGTGGGATCAAAATGGACGGCTGAAGGTACAACCGCCGCAATCCAACCTGCTGGAATCGTGTATCCTGCATGTTGTTGCCAAATAATTTCCATAAATCTCAACTTTTCAATACAATATTGTAGAGTCTTTTTTGTTATTTGTTGCTTATAACATTTTGGACCATTTCCGATTTGTTCGTGCATGTCATCCCTGCGCAAGGGGTTCTCCATGTGGCTCCAATGTCTCCGAAAGGACTAACAATATTATAGAGTTTAATTTGGCTATATAAGATTCGTGCTAGAGATATAGTTCTTGCCTTTTATCTCGACATCATTGACAGCCTCTCTAAACAATATAGGTCCCGCGTTTGTCAATCGAAGAGTTTCATTGATCACCTGCATGATACAAGATTTATTCAACTAACGTGCCGATCTTGAAATTAATTATATATATTAAAGTTACCATGTTGGTGAAAATCATCTTGTGTCTGTATTCTTCCCAGGTAACTCCAGATTCCTTATCTTCTCTGTTTTGAAGGATTGCCTCATGCTCTCTCTGCCATATTTATAACGAGCATATATATTATATCACCCCGATCCATTTGCATTTTCTTATTGTTTTGTTGTTTTACATATCAAAGCGATTGTGTTTGGGCTTTCTGGATCCATATCTATATATATATATATATATATATATATATATATATATATATATATTATTACCTTCAACTCTGCGAGAGCTTTAGGGTTTTCGGAAATGAATTTAATGGCCATGCAAATAACGATAGAGGTAGAATCTTTAGAGAGGACCAAAAGACCGAACATGAGGCTTATAAAATTTCCTTGATCAAAAATGACGCTTTCTTTCTCCAGCTCTTCTACCAATGTGTCGAGGAAGTCTCCGCATTTGTCTCTCGACGCTTTCCTCCTCGTGAAAGCGTCATTTAGCACCTTCACTGCCTCTCTGCGTGCCTGGGGAAAGAACAGTGTCATACATACATAGCATGTGTGGATCTTAATAATACCTGAGAGACCAAATAACTTACAATATAGGCTCTGTAGAGAGTTTTCAAGGTCGTAAGCCTAAAGGGCGACTGAAACCAATCCATATTGAAGGCGTTGATTTGGTCCAAAAGATTTCTCCGAGTCTCTGGCTTGAGGTTACTTATCATTTTCGGGATAAAGTGCGCCAATATCAGCTGCAGAGATAACGTAAATTGGCTATGAGTAGTATTAACTAAGTGAATTGTTCAACTCATCATGAATATTTGAAAATTATGTACGTACGCTTTTAACTGCGTCCTTGGCATCAAAGCTCCCTTGGCTAGCCTTGGATCTAAGATGGTCGCGGGTTGCTCTGTCCATGTCTCTTATCATATTTCTCTTCAGACCCTCAGAGCCAAGAAGTTGCAGAGTGATTTGTTTTAACTGTTTGTGGATGCCCCCATGCTCGAGAAACAAGTTATCTTTTCCAAATGGCTTGACTATAGCGCTTGGATAGCTTAACATGAAAGACTTATTCTCTTGCCGGAAAACCTCAAAGATCACATCTGGTTCTGTCAAAACCACTGTGTTGGATCCGAAAAGGTTGGTCCGAAACAATGGCCCATACCTGTAAATATTGTTACAATTGTAACTATATATTAGAAACTCTATAAATTAGTATTCTTTAATATTCTTGGAATTTTGATATTTTATTAATTTATAGAATTATTATATAATCAATTTTGAATAATTTTTTATATTAAAAATTAGTTAAAATAATAAAACAGTTAATTAAAATAACATATTTTAAAAAGTTTATTGTATTTTATAATTTTAAAATTAGAGATGAACTATAAATAGATTTCAGTTCTAATAAAAAGTAAGTAAAAAGTTATACTTATAATTTATTATATTATTATAAATATATATGTGTAAGACTATGTATGGTAACTAATATTGAAAATATCATATATATATATATATATAAAAGTTTTAAAAATATTATTATTTTATCGAATTTTGTTAATTTTTATACTAAACCAATTGGGGACTAGAGAAAATATTTTTTTATAACATTTGTTTATATTAGTAATGTTGAATTGAATATAAGAATACATGAAATAATAATAAAAAACATATAAGAATAATGAAATAATAACGACATATCAAATGAAGTTAAATTTATAGTGTCTACTATATCTATCTTTTTGGTATAAAAAGAAAGAGATTTAAAAAAAGAAAAAAAAATTCAAGAGATTGAAAAATGACCTTGACATCCTCTTCTTGACAAAGGGTGAGATCTCATAGCATCCATGAGACTTAAAGAACTCGATTGTTTCTCCAACAATAGGGAAACCCATTGATCCCGGTGGTAATTTGCCATTGCACTTAGGGTTTGACCATCGGTACAACCAGTTGCTGATCTTCACAACGGCTAAAGCTATAGAGCACAACGCTACGGTCCACAAGAAGCTCATCTTTCTCTGCGCCTTTATCGTGCATCAAAAGTGCATGAAAGGTGAGACAAATGTTTCAGTTGTTCCATATTTATCATGTTTTGTCACACAAGACAGCATGCAACAAACCAACAACACAAAGGCCGCATGCTAACAACAACGCATGGGTTTATTGATAGTCTGATTGTGAGGCTTTGGCCACCGAATATGGCGGATGACACGTTTGAACGATATATTGACACCTAACCCTTTTATTTAGTGTGTGTGTGTGTGTGTGTGTCAAGTATCAACAACATGACAAACATCATCTGCTTTTTTACTACTTATGAGATTTTATATACACTTTTCTTCATTAGTTAATATGGTGAATATCGATCAATGCAATTTGCTACGAAGTAAATAAAATGGCTTCCGGAGAAGACACGTTTAAACGGTACATTGACATCTAACCCTTTTGTTTTGTGTGTGTGGACAACATATGCCATCTTCATTGACAGCAAAAGTAATATCTATATGAAAATTCTCATATCTACCACTAAATCAAGTATATCTTTAGATAATATTTTAGATTTCCTAGCTAGTTCACTCTTTCATATAAAAAAAATAGTAATAATGAAGGGATCCTAAAAAACAAAATGTATAGCGAATCAGACTTATACTCCTTCAAGCTGAGACTACCAGAGCCAATCTTCTCTGCGTCCTTCTCCACCACAATCACGGGTTCATATTCGCTTTCACTTGTTCATGTGATCTTGTTCCTTTACTTTTAGTCTAGTCCCAAAAAAACATAAAGCTTGAACCTTTGGTTTATAACTTTCTATACGGTTCTAATTTGTTGTTGGTGCATTCTGGATAGTTAGTGGTTGAATTATTAGAGCGTGAGCCTTAATCCAATCCAAGAAGGTTTTCTAGTGATTTTCTTTAACCATCTCTCTCTCTCTCTCTCAAGGGATTCGTGAGCTGAAAAAAAGAAACAGAGCACGAGTAACCAAACAAGTATATAAACGTTCTAAAATAACATGTTTGGAAGGGTGAAAGAACACACAGACGAGCCCAAGCTAAACTTTTTATACTTGTTTTTAATTTCATTCCATTGGATACCGATTTATCGTAACTCAAAAAAAAATAAAAAATTGTGACGCTATAAGTATTGTAGTAGGAACGGAGGGAGTAGATCATAAATATTAACAAAACTAGGATGTTGTCCTAATATATGAGCTGATCTATTTCCTTATGATTTGATTATTAAGATCTTGCAAACATGTACAATGTCGTCCGTCGTAGAGGTAGGTTTAATGAATTTGAGATCTCGTTGTTCTGTACCTGAAATATAATTGCTTCCTTTGTTCTGTACATGAGTTGTGATTGCTGCCTTTGGATGATTGCTACTGAATTTTCGATCTCCTTGTTCTGTACCTGAATTATAATTGCTTCCTTTGTTCTGTACATGTGAGTTTGTCTATCTAATTTTTGGGTTTCATAACTTTGACTAAGATATAGAGTAAACTGAGTTTCCATTAGTAGAACCAAGATATTGATCTTTTATCTCTTAAAAACACTTACTTTGTTGCACTTGATTTCTTCATTTTGGCTCTCAATACACAGTCATCAATCGTGTAAATTTGAGTAGTTGTTCTTTCTAACAATGATTATAGATAGCATAAGATTCTGGAAAATTCTCTTGTTTTTGCAGTAAATATATATGATCTCTTACTGATTTCTTTATGTGCTTCTTTGGAGCTCCAAGGAAGACACCAGATGTAAGTTCTTACTGCAGTCTATTTTAGAGAACTCGTTCTTTGAGTTGTTGTTGGGCATGTGCTTAAGTGCTCCTTTGATATTCTGAAGTGTACAGGCAGGTGATAAAGAGATTAAAGTGTACAGGTAGACAAATATGAGAAGATGAATGATCTTCTTAGTACTCTTCTCAACACTAGAAGGTAAGCTCCTCGTACAAGTACTTTGTGATGATGTTGATCCTTTACTGATATCAGTTTTCACGTTTGTGCAGAGAAATTAGTTAACGATTACAGTTTTGTGGCTTCACCTCGAGTAAGTTCTCAAACCAAATATAATCTCTAAGTGACCATAACTGACTAGATTGTTTCTGGACTAGATTTTTCTAGGATCTTAGTCTTAGATAGTTCTTGTTCTTAGATTGTGAAATAATATGTGAATTTGACAGGCAGTGGTGAGTGATGATGCTCAGCTAACACTAACCTGCATGGCCAATTGAATGTTCCGGATATTTCCTTACACCAATATCTCACAAACCAGGGCACAAGACCTCTACACACTCGTCTGCTCCTAAAGCATTACCAGGTTTCAACTCCTTTATACTTTAAGTTTCTTAATTTTCGTTGCCATTGACACTTTGATTGGTTTCAAAGTTTTTTGTTTTTTAAAATATAGATAACGGTTTGTCTCGTGAAGAAAAATTCTTTCAATTGCTTATATACTAAGAGTTCGCTGATATGTTTGATGCTGAACTAGTCATATTCTGCTGCTTTTTTCCTGATTCTCTCCCTCTCTCGTTGGTGCTATATGGATTTTAGCTGCACGCTCCAGTTCTGAAACTAACTGTGTACTATATACGGAGGGACACTGATGTTTGAGCTTTAAAAATCTGTTTGTAGGGATTTATAACCCCATTAAAACACGTACCTCAATTGTGGTTTGTGTTACTTAGCTTATATCTTAGCTTTTGTTCTTAGCTTATGATAAAATCTTATATGTGATTGTGATTGTGATTTCAGGACATGAGACAAATACATTGCTTTACTTAGAATACAAGGAAGAAGACATGTGATAAATACATTATTTTATTTTGCTATCACTTTATGGTATACATCATGTGAAGAATACATTATTATGTTACTAAGTAAAGGTGTCTGATTCTTCTATATTACAAATTAAAGATATTTTAGCTTAAATATATATTTTTTAATTTTAATCTTATTTTTAGTGTCATTTTTACAAATGATTGTAAATATCATTTTTAGTATCACTTGTTCAAGTGATACTAATATCAATTTTAATATCATTTGTTCAAGTGATTCTAATCTCAACTTTAGTATCATTTGTTCAAGTGATCTTAAATGTCCTTTTTAGAATTATTTGTTCAAGTGATACTAATCTCAACTTTAGTATCATTTGTTCAAGTGATCTTAAATGTCATTTTAAGTATCACTTAAATTTAAATGATGCTAAATTTTAATTTTTATGTCATTTTTACAAAGTGATACAAAAAAAACTTAGTATCATTGATTTTAGTATCATTTGTAAAAATGATGCTATAATTCTTGTCTCATTTATAAAATGATACTAAATTTTTTTAAAAAATGACACTAAAGATTATGTTTCTTGTAGTGACGGTCCACAAGAAGCTCTGCGCCTTTAATGTGCATCAAAGGTGATATAGTTTTGAGAGGGACAAGTGCATGAAAGGTGAGATAAATGTATTATTTGTTCAAATATTTAGTACTAGGTGGTTTGCCCGCGACCAGCGCGGACTTAAGTATCTTTAAAATGGCAATTATTTGTAATAATAATAATATTATATCATTTTAAAATTATTATTTTCTTTGGAATATGTTTGTCATTTAATTTAATTTTCTTGTATTAAAATTTTGTTTCATAATCTTCAATTTATGAAATCAAAATATGTCATATAAATATTATTAAAATGTTATCTGTGGTGGTTTTCTTTTTATCCACCGTTTTCTTTTCTTCTCATCGTGTTTTTATTCCTTCTTGCCTATGTCTTATATTTCAATTATCAATTCATTATATATTTTAGATTTTCTAGGATTCCAATGAAGTAATAGTGTAACATTTTGTTAATTTGATACGAACTTATAAATTGTGAAAGCACAAAAAAAAATAGTTAAATTTTGTAATGATTGTTTTCTTCTCCCTCTTATTTTTTTTAAAAGTGATCCCATCTTTTTTTTTCTTTTTTTTTCGTTGTCATCATTTTTCTTTTTTGCTTCTTCTTTTTCCAATTTTTGTTCTTCAACATTTCTTGTGTCTTCATGTCCTCCAACTAACTATTCTTATTTTTCTTTCTAATTTTCTTTACATTTTTTTTCGGTTTATTTTCTTCCTCATTCCCCATTCTCTCTATCTTTATCATCTTGTCTTCTCTTACACCATCTTATTTTAGTTTATATTGATCTCTTATTTGTCTTCTTTCCCTTCACATTTTATTTTTTCTTCTTCTTCTCGAAGTTTCTCATCTTCTTAAGCACTGTCTTCTTTTATTCTACTCGTGTTTTTATTCCTTCTTGCCTATGTCTTATATTTCAATTATCAATTCATTCGATACTTTAGATTTTCAAGGATTCATGAAATAGTTTTTATCATAATATAGTTGAGATCTTTTAAAAATCAATTTAATTTATGTTGTTATCTTTTGATTATAGATTTGCTTCTATTTTAGAATGGTAAATATAAATTTATAATCAGTGATTTTTAATGTTGCTATATTTCTATTATAATTAAAAGTTTAAAAAATGCACTAAAAACTAAACTCCACACCCATCAATATAAACCCTAAACCCAAACACCACATTATAACTCTCGCCTGAAACACACACCTGAATCTCTCACATTACAAATTAGTTCTTGATTAGCTTTTATTTTTATTTTATTTATAATTTTTTGTTGTTGTAATTGTTATTTTCTTATCCCTTTTATTCTTCTCTACTAAACCCTTCTTTTTCTTTTTTCTTCTATTTTTTAGTCCGTTGTCATCATCTTTTTCTTTCTACTTCTTCAACTTCCAATTTTTGTTATTTAATCGTTTTTTTTTTGTCTTTATATCCTCCAACTCACTATTCTTGTTTTTCTTTCTAATTTTCTTTACATTCTATTTCCGATTTTTCTTCTTCCTCATTCCCCCTCTTTCTCTATCTTTATCATCTTCTTCTTTGACATTATCTTATTATAGTTTTTATTTATTTTTTCTTTGTTATTTTTTCTTCACATTTCATTTTTTTTTCTTTGATTTCTTTTTCCTC